CTTCGGACCAATGAGCCGTCGGACCAATGGGGCTTCGGACCAATGGGACTTCAATGGACTGTCGGACCAATGGAACTTCGGACCAATGGGACGTCGGACCAATGGGACTTCGGACCAATGGGACTTCGGACCAATGGGACCGTGGACCAATGGGACTTCGGACCAATGGGACTTCGGACCAATGGGACTTCGGACCAATGGTACTTCGGACCAATTGTACTTCGGACTATAGAGTCGTCCCCTTATCAAAGCACTACTATTGACCTTATTGAAGGGGAATCGTGTAATTGTGCATGATTTGTAATTTGTGCATTATGTTCGTTTGAAGCAACAAAAGTGCTCAACATCTAAAGAAGGGTGCTGAACAACTAAACCTGATGAAGTTTCAGCTCAGTGAATGCTGCATATTTCGAGAAAAAAATATTCTAGGACTTCGACTTTAAATCGAAAGTTGCCGAGTCATGTTTGGAATTGGGCCTGAATGCAGTGTACGAGACAGCATAAGACTTAACGCAACAAAATGTAGTGCAAGCAAAGTTATGAAATTGCGGAGAGACAAGTGCTGTTGCAGTTGTTGTTTCCCAACTCTCCCCCCCCCAAAAAAAATAAATAAATAAAAATAAACAAAATATAGGCCTATACTGATTTCAACATGACAATCGTAACTCCGTTGTTTCCGATTTCGAAATTTCACATTTTGTTCATTCTGTTATTATGGTGGTAATTCGTTATGGTTAGTGCCATCAGCGAGACCCCATTCATTGGTGGACAAAATAATGTAAATGGATTGTAAGTCAATACAATATAATAGGATGAAGCATCCTGTGAAGTGCACCCGAGAGTATGATTGCCGTCGTTTTTGAAAATAAAGAAATTACCATAATTTCCTCACGATTTTTTTTTAGAATCATCGCGCTTTCAACGGACACGTACCGAATTCTTTTGCGTCGAGAAAACTGAAGGTGCGTTTCAGTTTTCCCCAAAAGTATGATAGTGACCTGAAATAAGTTTCGACAAGTCGGTTTTTTAATTACCTGCTTATATTGTATACTTTGATTCGGCAAAAAGGTTGTTTTTAGCAAATGGTGTGACACCTTTATTTCAAAACATGACACAAGTTTGTTTACAAATTCGGATTTTTTTTTATTTGGCTCAGCGGTATTACGGACAAACGTTTCTATGGAGATTATAAAACGTGACGTGACTTTGCGCCTCAGTGATTCTGAGTCATGGATTTCAGTTGCTTTGTTGCTTGCAGACTGGGTTTTGTGTGAATATCACCCACCCCTGTCCTTCATTTTGACATCACCGACTCTTTTGTCATTTTTTTTTCCAAAACGCGACTGGAGTTTGTTTACAATTTCGGTATTTTTGGGAAAACCACTTCCGTCTCTTTGGAGAACTGCTCAAGCCAATTTCAGATTGATAAACTTTGCCCCTCGGTGACTTGCGTCATTGGGTTCAGTTGCTTAGGTTTGTATGAGATGTCAAAATCATGTAGGTCCGGAAAAAACGGTCCTACATTCGTCACAGAGACCCCGTTTCATACTGATATTTAAGGGTTTTTTTCCCCCAAAAACATAACTGCATTTTCTTCACAATTGTCAAAACAAACACAAACGACAATTTAGAAAACCACTTCCGTCTCTGTGGAGATATGCACATGCCGTTTTGGGTTTGATAAAAAAACGTTAGCTGCTGCCTCATCGGTGACCTTGCGTCCGGGTTCAGTTGTTTTGCTTCTTGTTTGACTGTCTGAATATCACGTAATCTGAAAAAATCAGTCCTGTATTTCGTCACAGGCCCCCGTTTTCATACTGATATTCTTCTTTTCAAAACACAACTGGAGTTTGTTTACATTTTTAATTATGGTTCCGTCTCCGTGGAGATTTGCATGCACAAGCTAATTTGGGATTAATAATTGATTCGGACTTTGTGCCTCAGTGACTTTGCTTCATGCCATTCAGATCAGTTGCTTTGTTTGTTGAAGACTTGATTTGGTAGTATCAAAATCCCATAGACCCAGAACTTTCATGCGTTTCGTCAAAGACTTAGTTTTGTGTGAATATGACCTCAAATCCTATGTTTCGTAGACACATACACTGCATTTGTATTCATGCATTCGTCAGTGACAATTTATTTTGTAAGCCTTATAATTAATTTAATTGAAATGCAGTCAATTTTCAACGCACGAAAAAGTTACCATCGTTCATGCTGCACAGTCTTTTAATTGTTTTACTTCATTTGGTATCATGTACATTCTTCTCCGTCGTTACTTTTTTTTCTGCTGTAGAACCAAGTTTTGTTTGGAACCTAGTCAAACCAAAGTGGGAATAAAGAAAAACCAGTCAAATCAGTAATCGGTCTTCCAAAAAGTGAAGCTGTTTTGTTTCCCTGAAATATTGTCGGGCCTTTGGACGACCTTGAAAAAACCGCATTTCCTTCCTTAAACTCCACGCCCAGCGGTGTCAACAAGTCAGTGTCAGGTATCGTCATTTCCAACCAAGTAAACAAATCAACTAGGCCTATAAGTCTATACCTAAACTTAACTTAAAGTTGCTATCCATGTGCTCCCGAACAGCTTAAAATCGAACAAACCCTTCCTTTTTTTTGTGTGTGTATTGGAGGTTTCCCTCTGAAAATGCACTTTAGGTTGCTTGCGCACGTAATGCACACAAAGCATAATGACTGCATTATTGTCGGGCTACAAATAATTCGAAAGTCGTCTAGTAAGTCCACATAATACTAAACGTGGGTGGATTTTTTGGGTTCGGTGTCTTATTCAGAAGAAAACAACTTTTGCGTTGCTAGGAAACTAGCAGTTTTAAGAAAAACAAACTCTATTTTTTTGGAGACTCGACAATAGCACGGAGAGAGCAGCTTTAATCACTATTGAATCACTATTATGCTTGAACCAATGACTCACGAAAACATTTGTCAACCGTGCTACACACTTATTACTGACTCATCTCCGGCAGGTTTACCGGTCGCCGTAAACACGTTCACGTGCAAGTTTACCCACCCCGGTTATCCGGCTCGATACCGGATATCGCCGGAGGAAGGAAATCATGTACAAGGTCAAATGCACGAATCTCATAACAATGTCAGGTTGTCACCACAGCGATTCAAGATCTGCTGATATACCAGGCGGGAAGGGGTTGGGGATGTTGTTTCCACAGAGGGTGTCAAAATGAGGGGGTGTTCTTTCAATTTTTCACGAATCGGAATATAATCTGTAGATGGAAAGGGGACTCAATATTGGAGAATCGATTTCAAAACTGTAATCTGCACTTCTCGATCGTCTGTTAATTAAACATGTTAATTAAAAAATAAAAAGACCCTTTTGGGGAGGGGCCTAGTCTCCGGGAATAGTCATCTGCAGAAATTTATAGGCAGTTACGTGGCACGGGGGGGGGGGGGCACGCCCCATGCCTCAGGTGCCCCCATAATGAAAATTGGCCCCTCTCCTGAGAGGAAATGTTTAAGTAGTTAAACTAGACGATTGGCCGCTTTTCAACTTTGCGCAATAAACTAGCATCTGTATAGGCTTTCATGGGAGCCTGAACCGGGGACGACTGTTTCGTAGCCCAATCGAAAAAAATGACAGGTACACAAAGTGTGACGTCATCAATACAGAGGCTTATTTATTGGCGCACTAGCGTATCCAGCTTTTTAGGAGGGGGGGGGGTGGGTGGCAACAATGACTTGACTGTACATCGCATCGACGTCTGAACTGTCTTTGAAACAAAAATGCGGCGGGTGTGCTAGTACATTGTATGTGTGAGTTTGTTTTCTGAATTCAATATTAAACGTTTAGCAATATAGCGAAAATTCCCCAAGGATATGGCAATCGTGTACCAAGGAGGTCTTCCTAAAAAATTAGAGTACAAACAAAGCAGAGGGACCCCTGATTGCAGGCGAATACTCACCTGTGTGTGTATTGTTGATGTACCCTAACGTGGCGCGCCCCCTAACGTGGCGCACTTTGATTTTTCGCCTGTAGCGCCTAGCTAGAGCAAAAGTTTTAACTGAAATTTCACAGAAAGTGAAATTTCATCAAGTTATAAACACTCCCGTTCATAAATCGCGAATTTATTTACCCGCTACAAAGTTAAAAGAAAAACTTATTTTGGCGTGATTTTCCGATTTTATTTTCAAGTGCAAAGTGAACCCTTTGAAAATGCCCCGAAAAATAAGAAAATAATTTTGTGACAAACATCTGGCTGGGTATGTAAGTAGAGATAATAATGATTTATCAGAATTTATCAATTTTTCAGAAATTCTTAAATGTTAATTTGGAATTTCCCGAGATTTATTTAAGTGCGCCACGTTAGGGAACACTCCGCCAAATTGTGCCCAATTTCCGGACGCCACCGTTTTTTAATTTCGGCTTAAATTTTATGAAACCGAAATTGTTCACAGAGGTTAAACAGCAAGCATTAATAAGGTAAAAGTACTAGTATTTTACTGCATGAATTTGAGGTTTGTCAACAAAGAGGTTTGGCAACACTACACAAGGAAATTTGGGTATGCTTCGAAGTGCGCCACGTTAGGGTACACCACCATATGTGGGGTGGGGTGGGGTGGGGGTTTCTCCCATGCCCCCCGCTGGATGAATCGGACTTTCAAGCCCCTGAAAATTTGGGGAAATTTTGTTGTGGATCCACAACAAAATTTCCCCAAATTTCGATCCACCAATTAAGCACTCTCCATGACTATACTGAGTGCCCCTCAATAAGATACTGGTACCCCTCCCGTTTCCCTCAGAGTTTCCCCCTCCCCTATTAAAATAAAAATCCTGGCTACGCCTCTGTTTGTATAGATGGGCAAGTCACTTTCTTTTTTAACAAAATATTCCACCTTGCCAGTGAATGCCCTCCATAATACTTTTGTCGAGTCACTGAATCAAAGTGAAAGAGTAAAAATGGGGATTTCCCATGATCGCATAGCGCGCCCTCTATGTATACCACCGTAGTATATAAAAATACGTCATCGTGTGCATTTTCAGACATGTTGTTTGCAAACTATGAGCAGAGCTCATAGTCATATTACGCACACATTCTCAAATGTCATTCGTAACTTTAGACACGTCTTTTTTCAACCAAGATTGAAAAATCATGATGGCTGGAATTGAGAATCATGACCGAGAGCAACCCAGGGTTGAAAAGGGTGAGTATTTATGTTCAACTCTTGTTTTTTGGGCAGATAGCTTGATTGAGTAAATCCAGCTGACATGCTCAGTCCATGGAGTTTTGCTCCATGCTCAGTCATATTCATATTCAATGGAAGTTTTGACCGTAGCCAAGTTTACCCAGGCAGTGGAGTGGGTTAGGTTTTACCTGAGGGCAATAGCAGAATGCATATTCGTCCCTTCTGGGACTCATCAGCCGCTGGATTCAAAAGAATCCGTAGGTATGGGTCCGAGTTAAAAGGAACTCACTGCCTTGAGGAAAATGTTCCGTCAAAATTCATCTGATGACACTTACAACTTCATTAAGATGAGATTGGTTCCTCCAAGAGTGAAATTAGGATGTCAAAGGTATTGTCGTTCTCAGATAAGTGGGAGACGGGTTGGTATACAAAGTTGGATCTAAAGTTTTACTTCAAGCTTTTTTCTCGGTAGGGGAGAGCCTTGCTTTCCGTTGGTAAGCAATTACTGAATCTGTTGAAATTGTTTTTTAAGCCAATAAAATAGATGAGATTTTTTTTTTACATGTAACGGCTGGCGTGAAGTGGGATGGGGCGAAGTGGGGATGGGGCGAAGTGGGGATGGGGCGAAGTGGGAATGGGGCGAAGTGGGGATGGGGCGATGTGGGAATGGGGCGAAGTGGGGATGGGGCGAAGTGGTTAGGGGCAAAGTGACATGGGGCGACGTGGAAATGGGGCGAAGTGTCCGACATTCCCTTCACATGTAGCGCTGGAGACATAACTAGGGAGTTAGAGTGTGGTAGCAAGAGACCCTTCCAGAATGGCCTCCCAAAAATAGTCCTTTTTCATCTCTAATATCCCACCCCAGATTTCATTTACATACTTCATACATTCAGCAGTCATTCACAAAGTTAATGATCTACTTGAAACAGACCTAGTCTGAGTAACTTGGACCCAACTTATCGCCATTTTAACATTCGGACATGGTCTGGCGATAGTCATGATAGTGGGGTCCAAGCTAATGGTTATATGCCGAGCAACACAATTCTGTCATTGACCCAAAAATCCAACATTGCCCAACAAAAACATCAGATTTCACCCTCAAAATGGCCTCCAAATTACTAGATACACCACCTGAGGTACAAGTAGACATCGATAATTAAGATGGTTGTACTGAAGTTTACTTGCGATCCGGATGAAAAGGGACATTTCCCGTTCAATTGTGAACACGTTAAATTTCCGACTCGTGTTTGAATTGCGATGTGGTCTTCATGCCCAGCGTTCATTTGATGGTCCCCCGTATCCCGGGTGCGATTCCGTTACCGAGCATTACGCAATGCATCGATTATGATAATGAGCAGACTGGATCACGTTTGTAAACACAAATGTATTTCGAACAATGAAAGGGACTCGGGAACTAGCTTGAACCGGTTTCCGTCCATAAAATCTGCCCTAGTTCCCGACTCCCTATTATCGTTCGAAATGCACCTGTGTTTACAAATGTGATCCAGTCTACTCATTATCATAATTGATGCATCGCGCGCACTTGGTTGCATGGCGCGCGCCCGGTAACGGAATTGCAGTCGGGAACGGGAATCGCACTGGGGTGCGTTGTTGCGGAAAGCAAGATGAGAATGCTTTCCACGACAACACACCAGACGAAAATTGGACTCACTTGCGGCGCCTGAAAGCGGTGTGGTATCCACATACATCGCGCGCGCAGATTTTTTTTCGATGTCATCACGTGATGCATGCATTTACATAATAAACCAAACAAAATGGACGACAGCTGTTGGAACTGGACATTTTTTTACGGACAAGCCACCGAAATCGTCAAGATTTTTCACATTTGTTTTTTTTGGTGGTCTGTTTCAAGTCGATCATTAGCTTCATGAATGACTGCCGAATGTATGAGGTATGTAAATGAAATCTGGGGAGGGATATTAGAGATGAAAAAGGACTATTTTTGGGAGGCCATTCTGGAAGGGTCTCTTGCTACCACACTCTAACTCCCTAGTTATGTCTCCAGCGCTACATGTGAATGATTATGAGCATGTCAGCTGGAGTTACTCAAGCTAGGCAGACTGGAGCGTTCTTAGCCCGGGGTTTGTGTAGCTCAGGACTCCCCCGTTTTTTGTTATTCTTAAAAGCAACAGAGAGGAGCCATGACCTATGAGGACAGACTGCATACACTGAACTGGTTAAGCCTTGAAACTAGACGACACAAACTCACTGTTCAATTTACCATTAAATGTTTGTTTGGCCTCATTGATTGTCTCAGTATTACATCCCATACAGTAGTCAATACCCGTCACCTGGACACAGTTTCATTTAATCACCATTACGCCAGAACCCTAAGTTTAAGGAATTCCCCTGTTCATGCTTTTCCTCGTATATGGAGTAATCTCCCAATCCACGTTAAGGACTCATTGATACTTGATTCATTTCAGTGTTTTAATCGTGAATTATGTGCTCATTTTATTGATGGTTAAATGCCTGTAATGTTTTGTCTATTTATTGCTTTTGATCTAAATTGTGTTTTGGATATTGGATGAGCGGGGAGGTTTGTCCGAGTCGGGATTCGGGCCCGGGACCTCTGTATTGCTGTTCCAGCGCTGGAACGGTAGTCCAGGGGTCTCGGGTTCGGGTCCTGGTTCGAACAGATTTCTTTGCTCAACTAATATTCATTTCAAATTATACCAGTCAGTTTTCTTTCCTTCATGAATCATTTAATTTTTTTTTTCGTATAAAGTTCTCTTATTAACTTTTGGTTTGTTTGTTTGTTTGTTTGTTGGGGTGTTGGGCTGTTTGTCGTTTGTTTGTTTTTTGTTAATATGTTTTTAGTGTGTGTGTTACGTTTGTACATGTATTAGACTGTTCGTATAATTGTAACTTTGCTTGTCTGTTTGCATGTGTACGGTATCTGTTATGTTTTTTCTGTATGGTTTTATCTGATTGTTCTTGTCTTTGTTAAAAGCTTTTTTCAACTCGTTTGTATGTTTCATTGCTTACTTGTTTATCACTTATTGTGTTTCTTACTGAATTATTTTATTTATGCTACTTTTTTATTTTCATTTAAATTCATTTACATATTTAGCAGATATTTATTTACCCATTTTTTTATTCATATATATTACCCTCCATTATTATAGCATTTTTAATTTCCAGATTTATTTTTTAACTTCTCATATTACTTGTATTTAATAGTTATATTTTAAACTTATTTCATGTTACCAACCTAGGATTGGATGAACAGGCTTTTGAGTCACAGTGTTTTCACTTTTGTTCATCCTGGCCATCTTAGATTGGATTGTCTTTACTCTGCTTGTTGAACTCCCTCCCACTTCCACTCTTCCCCAATCCGCTCCCCTTCTATACATTCCTCATCCCCACCCCCATTTCTTCCCCATCTCATTCTTACCTACTGTACCTATACACATCTATTCTTTTTGATTGGTATTTGTTACACAATTTATCTTTCATCTTGACTGTCCTTGATGTATGACATTTCTTACATTGTATGTACATGTACATGTTTGTATTTTGAATGTTTTGGCCGAATAAATAATAATAATAATAATAATAAAAAAAGTTTTGTCGCTCCCCAAACTCTGCAGTCTCAGAAAATGTGCTCGTAGTTATCAGTGTTGGGAAAAAAATTTGCAACCTGACACCACTTGTTGAACTACGGTACCTTCATTGAGATGATATACATGTATAAATATCATCTCAATGAAGGTCATTCATTGCAAAAGTGATGATAAGACATTAGCTCTACTGACGACTTGAATGGAGCATTGAACTACGGTACCCTCCATACTAACCCTCCACCGATTTGGCTTACTTTGGGGGCATGTACACGGTATGCATTTTGTGCATACCCTTGCGAGGACAAAAGGCCCCCCCTAAAAACTGGAGAAGAGAATACAAATGAGAAAGACAGTAACCCTGGATAGATGCCGAGTTGTGCAGTCCATTTCACTGACATGACTGAAATCGATCATCGAGCGCGTGTGTGACGTCGCTATTGAAGAAAAACAAGTCGCGCTTAATCAACGACTGTTTCATGTAGTCATAGTGCCCCGCGCCGTCTGACAGTATGGGCTTTTGGCGCCGGGCACATGTCAGTACCTAAAACAGTCGTTGATTAAGTGCGACTTTGTTGGCGGCCAGAGTTACCATTGATTGGTGCACAAACAAAATGCGTGTACAAATTAAAGAAATGGCAATGCGCGGTCGATCACCATGCACAGCGCGCGCACCAGTCACACTTGCCAACTGCATGTTGCGGTGCGGCATGGCGCTGAATTGCGCAAACCTGACGATTGTTTGATGCACTACTGCTGCACTAACTATGAAGCGTCACTCGCATCACGGCTGACAAACAGTCGTTGGGTGTGCGCTTCAGCGCCATGCCGCGCTGCGCCATGCAGTTGGCAAGTGTGACTGGTGCGCGTGCTGTGTATGGTAATCACATTTTCTAAATATTGTAGAGTGTAGAGTACGAAAAAAATATATAAAATCACACACTGTGAGTGATCAGCTGAGCAGAACTTTATTGTCGATTCTTGGCTCCTGTGATTTTCTACAAACGTGTCGAAATGCGAGTAGGAAATCTGACCGAAATTCCTTTTCTAGAGATTTTTAAGATATATGTGTATCAAGAAGATTACATTTACTTTTCAACACGCACTTCGTCTGAAAAAAAATAGGTTATTGGAGACCAATTCACAAGACGTAGGTTTTCCTTTGAAGCGATCTGGAACTAGGAAAAACTCCGGAACTAGTAAAACGACTGTACATGTAAAGGCACCTGTGTGCCTTCTTATTTTTAGCAGTATCGTTTGTTGGAGTCGCCATATTCAATGTTATATAGCCTATGTAGCTGTAACTGTGAGGGCAAAAAGGACAAATAGTTGCATCCAGCTCATTCACAAAGCTCTGTCTCCAAAATACAGCCCGTTGTGATCCATGTCTCTTTAACATTTGGTAACACTGGATTTTAAGATGGCAGACTAAAAATTTCTTGAGAAATCATAATATTTCTAATCTGCTGGTGTTTCTTTCCTTCAGTTGTCATAGTCCATGCAGGAGAGGATCTGGACAAGACTATACGACCCCTGGCATCCATCTTAGAACAGCGCCTCAAACTGGGCGAACAAGCAGATTACAAGAGGAATTTCAGACCAGGTAATCAAAGTAATCGTTCTTCTCTTTGTCGTCACTGAAACTGTGCATTTTATTATGTAATATTGAAGGAACTTTAAAATAGCAATTGATGAAAAAGAATTGGAGACAGTAGACCATTACATCTATCTAGGAAAGAAGATCAGCCTCTACAGTGATACTGGGGAGGCGATAAAGAGAAGAATCCAGTTAGGTTGGGTGAAGTTTGGCACACTCGGCTACATCTTTCGAGACCACACCTTTCCCATATCCCTGAAAAGGCCGGTATTCGATCAGTGCATCCTACCTGTCCTATCGTATGGTGCCGAGACATGGACTACCAACAAACGCCTGGAGAAAAAACTAAGGGTGACAGAGAGTGCTATGGAAGGAATAATGACAGGAGTAACAAAGAAGGACAGGGTGACAAATGAGAATCTAAGAAAGAAATCAGGAGTGCAGGACATTATTAAGACCATTAAATCAAAGAAGTGGAGGTGGGCAGGTCAGCTGGCAAGGAGGTATGACAACGGTGGACATGCAAAACGACCAATTGGACTCCAAGAAATCAAATCAGGAAAGGAGGGAGACAAAACAGTAGATGGAGGGATGAAAAATAGTCGAAGAGGCTTACCTTCTGCAGTGGAGTGAAATAGGCTAGACAGACGGACAGTATGGGAATTAGTGAAGTTAGGACAGGAAAAGGGCCCTCTTTATCACTTCACTGAATATTCATTAATTCAAATATTGATATAAAGGTTAAAGAGCAAAAAAGTAAAAAAATTGGCAGCAATTTTGTTGTACATTTCCATTTCTTTACTTTTTAAAATAGGAACAGATGTTGCTGATTATATACGAAAAGCGATGCTTGAAGACCATCCAGAGGAACACACACGACTGGTCGTAGTCCTCAGTGAAATTTTTGTCGCAAAGTATGCAACCAGCCCATCAGCTTTCCGTGAAATAAAGAGTAAGTAGAACTAGAAACAACCTCAGATTTCAACCCACACACAGCCCGATTGCTAAGTGTAGCGCATTGTGCAAACACAACTCAGCCAATTACTGACACATGATGTCAGTCAGAAGTCTTACAGGTATACCTCAGTGTGCACTTCGACCTGATGTATCAGCCTGCCCAGCCAACTTGCTGGAAGTTTCCTGAGACTGAGAACAAGTCATGATATTTTTGACACGAATATTGATGTCAGTATTTGTTATCTGAGAGCAAGATGTGACATTTTTGACGCAAAAAGTGACATCAATATTTGCGACTGGAGTGCAAGACGTGAATTTTTTGACACGAATATTGGTGTCAATATTTGAGATCAGGGAACAAGTCTTGAAATTTTTGATGTGAAAATTGACGTCAGTATTTGCGACCGGAGAGCTAAATGTGACATTTTTTTTATGCGAATATTGATATCAATATTTGGGACCGGAGAGTGAGACGTGCATTTTTTTGCCAGGAATATTGACGTCAATATTTGAGATCAGGGAACAAGTCATGAAATTTTTGACATGAATATTGACGTCAGTATTTGCGACCGGAGAGCTGGATGTGACATCTTTGACGCAAATATTGACGTCGATATTGCGACCGGAGAGCGAAACGTCAATTTTTTTTTTACACAAATATGAATGTCAATATTTGCAACCAGAGAGCGCAACGTGAATTTTTTGTCATGAATATTGATGTCAATATTCACGAATTGGGGCAAGTCATGAATGTGAATTGTCGTGATTTGCGATGTCCCTTCAAAGCCACCATAGCAACAAGTTTTCACATGAATATTTCCATTATTCTTGGAGTAAAATGTCTGTTTAATGTTGAATGTTCAGCCTGCAGATGCTTACACTTATACATGCACATGTGTTAGTGCTCTCAGTACATTGGGATTAGTGAAAGAACACGACACTCTACACACATGGGGCATTCTTCAGTAAGTGTCTTTGGGCCTTTTGAAAATTTTGAAAATTGTTTTTTCAAGCGTTGAATTTCTTTCATGGGATGTGATCATTATGTATCACGGCAACTGTAATTAACGCACGGCGCAATCTTTAGGGGAGTTTTAACCATTTTATCAAGATTCAATTTTCAGTGTTGTAGCATAGGAAAAAAATGCAAAAGTCGTATCCGTCACACCTTTTGCGACGGAAATGACAATATGGGTTTTCCGGACATGGGTTTTCCTGGGTCGACATCACACATCAGAAAATAAAGAACAATATAAACTTTATTCTCTAGCTTTTTATGATAATTTATTATCAGAATTATGTTTATTAACATAAATCCACAAAAATGTATCATAAATTTACGCATTTTCTGTCTATATGGCGTCAAAGTATCGGGACATGAAAGTAGACACTTAACGAAGAATGACCAACATACTTGTTTCATAGTTGTGGGGACTACACACGAGTTGTCCCATGGTACTATGGGTATCAAAGATGCTGTGGGGACAGCAGAAAGTCCCCATAACTCGGTCCTAATTTGCCTAACAATAAACAACTTCCCCATAACGCGGTGATGGCCCGCTCATACATGTACATGTGGGTAGGCATTACATTCACTGTGTGGACTTCCGAACAAAAGAGGTCCACATGAACCGGTAGAGGAGACGTTGTGTGGACTTGGGCAAGTCCACTCAGTGTTTCCCCATTTCTGGAAACGGGGAAACACTGTTTCTGGAAAACACTCAAGGGAATCATAGAAGAAGAAAAAATTGGGTTGAAAGAGTTTTCACAGTTTGAGAAAAATGATTTTTTTTTCACTGGTTTTTCTTAACTATGCGAAAGCAATGGAATGTCCACACTAGGTATGTAATGTAGACATGCGTGTTTACATACATGTACATGTACATGTGTGAGTGCTCTCAGAACATTAGAATTAGTGAGGAAATTTGACACCCTACATCTGACAGCTATACATTGACTGTGCTTGTTCATTTTGCCTGAGCAGTTATTTGTGTCTAAGCTTGCCCTCCTTAATTTGTTCTTCTTCATATTTTCATAGGCAAGCTCCTATCTCGACCCAGCACCAATTCAAAGTTTGCCGTGGTTTGTCCGAGCGCTCTGCCGGCACAGTTGGCCGGTCTAAGATGCATCATCTTGGACAACTTTGTCAATAATATGGAGGGGGGCAATGTGGCTGAGGCCATCTTCAAGGAGTGGTTTGGTGAGTAAGGGAGCATTGGTGTACAAAAAAACCAAGTGTCACAATTTTTTTGGTTTTGACTTTGTTAACCCTTGTCCAGGCTGATTCATGTAGAGGCAATGTGGTTTACACATGACAACTCTTTCATGGCTTTTCTTACTGTAATTGTAATAACACTGTGCTGTATTGCACAGAGGCGTCATTATTAATGCTATTACTATTATTTGCAATGGTGTTGTTATCTTGGCAGGCCCTCAGGCCACCCTGGCATCCCAGGCACAGCTGAGCATGCAGAACCTGCCCCTAACTTCTCATGCTGCTGAAGAATTCACTCTGGACAAAGGTAGGGTTGCATGTATTATTGTGCAGAATTCTTCCCCCATTTTCCCCCAATCCGGTTGAAACTTCAGTGAATCACATTCCATCGTCCCCGCCAAAAGTGATTGTGAATCCCCGTTTATTGTAAAAGTAGGTGGCATAAAGAGGGCTCTCTCACCCACGTGACCCAGCCTATACCTGGCCACCAGACAGTCGGCATTTCCATTGCAGTAGGCAAGGATTATATAGCGCACCATGCAGTAGGCAATAATAACAGGTTCTTATATAGCACTTTTAACTAAGATCAAAGCGCTTTACATTATTATTATTATCCCTAATCATTGGGCCAATTAAACATTCCATATACCATCTCAGCTCCCTGGGGAGTATACAGCTCGATGCTGCATGTTAGGCGCAAGGAAGCTGCTTCAATCACAATAACCATCTCTGCCCTCACAGGTACCCATTTACTCCTGGGTGGAGAGAAGCAATGAGTGACAAAGTGCCTTGCCCTAGGGCGCACACACCATGACCCCGCCAGGACTCGAACCCACAACCTGCAGCTTTACCCACAGACCACGAATCAGTGCCCTTAACCACGAGGCCACAGCACTCCACTTCAACGCTGTGATGGATGGCAAAAGACTGTGAGAAAAACACAGCGTTGGGTTGAAACAATCATGACAACAGTACAAGTTTTTAATTTTCTGGACTCTTTTTTTTATTTTCTTTGTATTTTCTAGTGAAGATAATCCATGCAATGACCAGACCAGAGCATCGACAGAGGTACTGGGGAAAGATCGGCTCTGCGATTGAGGACGTTGCCAATCCTGAAAACACAACTCAAGCAAGACTGCACTTCAGTAAGCTCACCAGTCTCCTTGCTGCTTGAACCCTAACTCCCTAGGCATTTTTTGCTAGGATGCAACCTCAATCCTGCAAAATGCTCCATCTACCTCCGTGTAAAAATAGCATACAGCCTCAATCCACCAAAATCCTCCCTTATTTCTTGTATGTGAATAATGAAAGGTTTGCGGAAACACCATGTGCGAATAATTTCTCAACTAAGAGAATGGTTCTGAAAAAGAACCTCAATAAGTATAACTCTTTAGTTGATAGTTCGTGTAGTGTTTATTAGTCATCAACCAATGACAACAGCGGCTGCAAAGTAAAGGAAAAGATTACATTATGAATCATAGTTCTATATGCCCCCCAAGTCTTTGGGAATAACAAAGGCTAACAATTCTAGGAAGAAAAGATTCCAAATGTAACAGACATAACTAAGTAACCTAAAGAAATGCACAGATTGCAAAGGCGTGAACATGAACAATAAGCAAAGATCGAAACAAGAATAAGCATAGGTTATAGGAAGTAAACTGTAGCTGTAACTTTGGCTATATAAAAAAAAAGAAGAAAAAAAAAAGGTCCAGAGTATATGGGTGTCCTATAGTTCATCCCTAAGCCTGGCCGGCGGTCGTGACAAGCGAGTGGATCGGCGAGGGGCAGTCAAGGAGCAGTCCAGGGGTGGCAGATCCACGGTCGGGGCCAGGTGTTCCTTCAGACCAGGAGTATTGTGTGGCAGGAGGCCGCGGAGTGCACGGGGAACGGAGCCTGGGTGGGACTGGCTATTGGGTGGACGCGTGGTGGCCACGGTGGGTGTCACAGGTGAGGTGGGAGTCGGTTCCAAGCCATCCGGGGTTGGAGGATGGTTGGTGCGGGTTGGCTGGGAGACGGCTGGAAGCATCGCAGGTGGTGTGGCTGAGGCGTCCTGTGGTAACCGGTTGTTGGCCTGCACCAGAGGGGTTGCTTTCGGGTGCTGGCTAGCTGCATGCGACCCCGGCAGCAAAGGTGTTGGGCTGGGTGCCATTAGGAGGGGCGCACGTGGAACGACAGGCAAGTACTTCCGCAAGAATCGCCTGTTGCGTAGGGTGACTCGACCAGATCCATCAACCCTCACGACATACTGGTCGAATTGCCTCACCTCCACCACAACCCCGGTCTTGTCCCATTTGGTCGGGTGCGGTCCGGTCTGGTTTTGGATACGCACGCAGTCGCTGACAATCAGTGGCGTGAGGGGACGGGTGTGCTCTGAGAGACGCTCTGCAGCGCGCATGTGCCGGTTGCGCAGTGCCTCCTCGCGGGATGTGAGTGTCTCCCGCCATGTGCTGTGTGGGTTGTACTTCCCAGGGTGGATGGGTATGAAGTCACGGATGGGACGCCCGAAGACGCACATAGCAGGGGAGAGGTGTGTGTCATGGTCGGGCGTGTTGCGGTACTGGAGCATGGCACGCTGAAATTCATCAGTGTTAAGTGTGCCTTCAGCGTCAGTATTGTCAGTGATGAGGCGCTTCACAGTCTTGACGCCCACTTCAGCACGGCAGTTGCTGTGGGGGAAGGCGACGGATGAGATGCGGTGACACACGCCCCAGTTGCGGAGGAAAGCGCGGGTGGACCCTGCGGTGAACTCTGGGCCACCGTCTGAGGACAGTTCATCGCTGATTCCATAGGTCACGAAGGTGCGGCGCAATGCAGTAATGAGTCCATTGGCGCCGTTGGCTGCCTGTTCGACGATTGGCCAGTTGCTGTACCTATCCACCACCACCAGGTAGTGACAGCCGCGGTAGGTGAAGTAGTCAGCGGCAATGCATTGGAATGGATAATCGGGCTGGACGGGAGGCGTTGGCGGTGCGCCTGGCTGTGATGGCGCCATACGGTTGCAGGGAGAGCAGCGTGCCCGTGTATCGGTGATGGCGGGGGTCATACCTGGCCAGAAGAATGAGGACTGAGCTCGTGCGCACATCATGGTGATGCTCTGGTGGGCCGAGTGTAGTGCTTCAAGGACCCGGGCACGGAGGGACGAGGGAATGATGACACGGTCATTGTACAGGCATACGCCATCAAACTCTGACAGATTCTCACGGAATTGGTGGTATGGCCGGAGCTCACGGGGGAGGTCACCAGGGAGAGTGGGGAAGCCCCCTTGTATCATCTCAATCAGTCTGCACATGTTTGGATCACTGGATGTGGCGAGGCGGACATCATTCCATGTGACTGATTTGATCATCTTAGCAGCTGTGGTGGCAGACTGACTGCATACTTCGACAGGGTCTGGGCCACTGGTGCGGACAGCAGTGAGGAAGTCATGTGGCAGCACAGTGGTCGTTGGTTCGCTTGAGTCATAGTGCACAGGTGCGACATCATCAGGGAGCTGTAGCGGTGCGCCTTTACCCACGGGGTGGCGGGATACCCCATCAGCTGCAGCGTGGCGTGCACCAGGTATGTGGACGATGCGGAAGTGGTAGCGCAAGGACTTCTCCTTGAGGTTGCGGAGGCGAGGGTTTGGGATGTCCTCAAGTGAGCGGTCACCGAACACCTTCAGGAGGGGCTTGTGATCCACCGCCACTATGAGGTCAGAGCAGCCAAGGACAAAGTGGCGGGCCTTGTCAAGTGCATCGATGACAGCAAGGGCCTCCCCCTCCACTGGGGCGTAGCGGGACTCGGCACCTGAAGTGAAGCGGCTCCCAACCAGAGTCACCCTCCAACCAGTCTTGCAGCAGAAGGGTTTTGAGGAGGGGCAGTCGCAGTGCTTCTGGAGCAGCCAAAATCCCAGACCATCTTTGCTCCAGTCAGTTGCAAGGCAGGTCGGCTTGGTCTTGTCGAATATCTCCACCCCTTTGTGGATTTCGCTGACGATGAGGGCCTTTGATTCCTCGAATAGGCAGTCCAGCTCATCGGTCCACGAGAAGGGGGTACCAGGTTTGAGGAGTTTGCGGAAGGGCAGCATGCGGTCAGTCATGGCGAAGGCATAGGAGACCTGGTTGATAAGCCCGAACCAGCTGCGCACGTCTGTGATATTACGGGGCGTTGGGAAATTCTGGATCGCCTCAAGGTACTCAGGGCAGGGGCGTACAGAGGTCGGGGTGATCTCAAAGCCAGCAAACTTGACAGTCATCTTGGCGAAGGCGAACTTTTTGGGGTTCAAGGTGACGCCATGTCTGCCACAAGTGTCGAGCCACTCAACTGCCTGGAAGAAGGCCTCCTCGATGGAGTCAGACCATACCAGGGTATCATCCACGCACTTGGTCTTTTTCGGGATGTCAGACACAATCTCATCAAAGCGGCGGCTGTAGCCATCACCGGAGGCGATGTACCCCTGTGGGGCGACACAGTATCGGTAGCGGCCCCAAGGTGTGATGAATGTGGTGAGGTGGCGGTCCTCCTCAGCTAAGGCAATGCTGTGATAGCCGTTCCATGCATCGAACACAGTCTTGCGAGTCTGGGGAGGGACTGCACGTGCTTGGTGGAATGGTGATTGTGTGTGGTGGGTCTCACGAACAGCGTGACGATTGAGTGACTGGAGGTCAACCGTCCGTCTGGGCTGGCCTGACTTCTTGGGGCAGATCACCATCTTGTGGCACCATGTGACAGGTGTACCGACTGGGACTGGCTCGATGACGCCGAGGCGGACGTCGCGGTCAAGGCCTGCCTTTACATTGTCCTGCCAGTGGACAGGGACAGGGATAGGTGTGTGACAGGCGACAGGCCGAGCGTCAGGGTCCACCATGAGTCGCAGTGGGGGGCCAGCCATCATGGGGAGTAGTTGGTGCTCACATACATTGAAGGTGCTCGACTTGTAGTATTCCAGCAGCCATGTCTCAAGCTTCTCCCGGTTCTCCTCAGTGGCTGGGAATGGGAGGTCTGCTGGGGGAGACGGTGGCATCTGGCGTCGTGGGCACTCGCATGTTGGTGTGAGGCAGGCTGCTGGTGTGGGCGTCGGGGATGTGGCAGAGGATGCGACGCTGGCACTGTCGGGCCTGATTGCCTCGCCAATGGTGGGGAACCTGGTAGAGATCATGCCCAGGGCGACGCAGGCTTGCTTAGACAAGAACAGCCGGTCGGATGAGTCGGTGAAGTACACTATCTGCCGGGTCTCGAGTTTCTCTCCAGATTGGGAGGTGCCAGAGATGCGGAGGACCAGGGCACCTGCTATGTCGATGCGGCAGTTGTTGGCAGCATTCATTTTCATTGTGACAGGGATGAGGTGTTTCCTTTCAAGCCCCAGTTTGGATAGGAGTTTCGTGCCAGCCAGGCAGGACTGGCAGCCAGTGTCAGCCATAGCAGGGTAGATGGCTGAGGAGGTGGTGCTGAGCAGGGGGGTAGGGAGGCCGAGGTCACGAGCATCCTCAGGAGTTGCTTTGAGAGAGACGTCCACCATGGGTTGGGGGTCAGATCCTCGCCTCTCCCATGCGTCGCAGAACTGATTGTAGATGTGGTGCTCTAGAGTGATTGCATTCGCGTCCATGGGTGGGGCGTCGTCGACAGAGCACAGGGTTTCGAAGACTGCGGTGGCATTGTGAGGTGACTCCTGTGCCTTGGGCGTGGCTGGCTGCTGTCTCCGCTGGGATTGGCGGCACACACTCTCGTGGTGGTGGAGTATGCCACACTTCGCGCATGTGTGATTGTACGCGGGGCACTTCCTCACGCGCTCCTGTTTGTTACGTTCATGGCCCGCCTTGCCACAGTAGTCACACACCTGAGGTTTAATGTCGCGGGGCTGTGGCTTGGATCTCTCCCTTCGTTTGTAGGAGCTGGCAGCTGCAGCAGTCGTAGTGGCAGTGGCACCACCCTCGAGGAGGCGGCCGGCAGAGCGTTTGCCACTCTCTTTCGCTTCGACAAATTGAAGCACTTGGTCCAAATGCATGTCCTGTTTGGATTGTCCGAGGACATCCAGGCGGATCTCCTCATCCTCTAGTCCACGGATGAGGGTGTCCCTGACCATGATGTCACTGAAGTCAACGACTAGAGAGCACGTACAGTCCTTCTTGTAGTTACAGACGCTAGCCTGGCCACGAAGGCGGGCGGCAAAGGCCCTCACTGGTTCGTCGCGGTCCTGTCGCATTTGCTGGAGCTGCACACGAGCCACCATGATGTTCTCTCGGCGAACTGCCAAGCTCTTGATGTTTTTGAGGATGGTCGGTTCATCCTGCGACGTCAGGGCACCGAATGTTCTGGTCAGGTCTTTCCTGAGTCGGTCGTCGCAGCACTCAAGCAGTTGGTAGACTATATCGGTTCCTGTGAGATGCGTGGCTTCTTTGTATTCGGACCATCGTAGCTCGAAGTAGGACCATTCTTCACTCGTGCCGGCAGCCATGACCATAGGTCGCCTGACCTTCTCCACTTTGGCGGCGCATGAGGCGGGAGTAGGTGCAGGGGCAGGAACGGTTGGGTGGGCGGTGCGGGCGTGTAGGTTGATCAAGGCGAGCAGCACCTCTGGGGGTGTGTTGCTAGGCCAGGATGCCTCACAGTCAGGAGCCGAGCAGTTGACGTGAGCCATTGGGAGGGGTAGAGCGTGTCAGAGAGTCTAGATTGTCGCTGTTGTCATCAATAAGTATAACTCTTTAGTTGATAGTTCGTGTAGTGTTTATTAGTCATCAACCAATGACAACAGCGGCTGCAAAGTAAAGGAAAAGATTACATTATGAATCATAGTTCTATAGAACCAGAGGTATTAACTCGACGTTCCGGTCAGTATGCTCTGACCGTCTTCAGGAGAGTGAAGATGTATGTGGTCCTTAGAGGTGACCACTGCCTCAATCCTGCAAAATCCTCCGGCAAGCACTGTCAATATGTGGAGGCAGAGCCAGTGACATCCTTGTAATTTCAAGTAATAATATAGGCCTAAATTTCTGCATGGCTGAGCATAAACAACTCAAGGTCCAGCCTAAAGCCCGGTTCATACTTCACGCGAAAGCGAAAGCGAAGCGAAAATTGTGACGTCAACAATACATTGGAAGCGCGTCCACGATTGTGACGACATGAATTTCGCTTCGCACATGCTTTCGCGTGAAGTATGAACCGGGCTTAAGAGCTTGACACAGTGCATCCTCCAAAATCAGCCACACACTTTTGCCACATAGCCTCAATCCTGCAAAATGCTCCATTTTGCAAGGAGGATTTAGGAGGATTTGGGAAGGTTAGTGTTAAAATGCTGTGTTGTAATTGAAACTTATAATATCTACATGTTACACATGTATTAAAATATAGAACATTCTGTTTCCCGTCAGTCAATCAATCAATTTAACACACTCAATCTGAAAGGTTGTCAGTAGTGGAAATTGAAACAATGCAACAAATGACTCTGAAACAATGAGGAATACATATGGGTGGCATGGGTGGCTTGTGCGTAAAGCGCTCGCCTCTCACCAAGGTGACCACGGTTGGAATCCTGGCCGCGGATCACATGTGAGTAGAGTTGTGCGTTGGTTCTCTCCTGTGCCACGAGGGTTTTCTCCGGGCCCTCCGGTTTTCCTCCTTCCGGAAAAATCCAACACTTTCGATCTCAGGCTGTGCTCTGTGGTCATATATGGGTTGATGTGGCCGGCAGCCGTAGGCGCCTTTACGTGCCAGCGGCCCAACCAGGTTGTAGCCGCGTCCTTTGCAATTCAGCATACCAGCTGCGAGTAAGGATGATTAGCCTCCCAAATTATTATTATTATTATTATTATTATGGTATAAAAGTTTTGAAAAACTTGTGCTTAGATATTTCCAAGACTCGGACCTGAACAAAAAAGTCCTAGTGCCAGAAAAAACACAGGTTATGTTACGTCATCAGTAAAATCAACATAGTTGCCCCTCGTTAGGTCCAGAGTCATGTGCAAAACTCATTGTGTTTGTGTCTGATGGGACAGGCAATCTATTGGTAGTAATTTTTTTGGGGGGGGGGGGAAGGGGATGGTATTTTAAAATTTATTGCACAATGATATTTTTTTTAACCCCAGTTACATAGGTTTGTTATTGAGAGCTTTATTGATATTTTGACATTGTGAAGTTAATACGGAATTGTGTTTTACATCTTTGTTTATTTGGCATTAAAAATTGAAGGGGAAAAGAATCAAGTGAAAATAGATATAAACATGTGTACATTTAATTCAAGATCTTTCATCTCTGTGGTATTTTAGGGCAAAGCAGTGTGGCACAGACGGTACTTGGGGACGTGGAAGGCTTCAGGAGGTGTGCTGAAATAAAGAAGATCAACGCTGTGGTGATTTGGTGCTCTAACATGCTTGCCTCCCTCAATCAAGATCCAGCAGCTAAGGCAAAGGTCATCGGTGAGTTCATCTGAAAGTTAACAGGGAGATCTGTCCAAAGTTTGCTTTTGTTTCTCTCCAGAGTTACAATCAAGTCATGGCAATCCTCTCAATTCAGTAAAATATGATCAGGTCTTCAGTCAAATCACAAGTTATTCAAATAAACTGCAACAAAGTCAATTCGTTTGCCAGTGTTCTTTCCCTGTTACCTGTGCGACTTGCCTTGTGACCTGCCTTGTGACCTGCATTGTGACCTAACTTGTGACTTGACTTGTGACCAGACTTGTGACCTGACATTTGACCTGACTTGTTACCTGACATTTGACCTGACTTGTTACCTGCCTTGTGACCTGCCTTATGACCTGAGATGTGACCTGCCTTGCAACCTGCCTTGTGACCTAACTGGTGACTTGACTTGTGACCAGACTTGTGACCTGACTTGTGACCTGCCATGTGGCCTGACTTGCGACCTGCCTTGTGATCTGCCTTGAGACCTGCCTTGTGACTTGCCTTGTATTAATGTGGTACTTATGTAGCACTTTATAGGTGCTTCACAATTATTAGCCCTGTTCATCAGACCGTTAGACCAGTTTTTCTGCAGCTCGAAGATCACTGCAATCTGGTGTCTACCCTTAGTGCTGTGATCCAATGGTTACGGTGTTTGACTCATGTGCAATGGTACTTGGGTTCGAACCCTGACTGGGAACATGGTGCTTGTGTTCTTGGGCAAGACACTTTACTACAAATGCCTCTCTCCACCCAGTATAAATGGGTACCTTTGAGGGAGGAAACCCAATTGTGCTGATCTCAAGTTGCTGTAGAAAACTAGTCTCATGGCCTGATGAACAGGGGTAATAATTGTGAAGCGCTTTGAGACCTTTGGTATAAAGCGCAATATATGCACCACATTGTTAGTATTATTATTACCATCACAGGTACCCATTTATACTCCTGGGTAGAGAGTGGTGATTGTTGTAAAGTGGCTTGCTCAAGAACACAAACTACCACCACACACTTGATTTTGTCACAGCAGTGATAGACTCAACTAGAGATGTAGTGTCCCTGAATCAAACGTGATTAACCATTTGTTTCAGTTTGGTGAAATGTAGTCCATCACTTTGTGCATACAGCTACGGATAGTGTTTGGTCATTTAGTTAGCCAGTAGGGAGAATTTCCCAGTCATTCACTAGCTGAGCCACATTTGCTTGTGATTTGGAAGATAGCAAGTGCTTGCATAGTTTGACATGACCGACAAACCAGTGCAGCGTACCAAAAGAAAGAGGCTCCTTAGTTTCTATTAACCCTATGTACCCTCATGATGTTGCTCATGAATGTGGAAATATACATTAGCATGAAAACCAACAAGGGACTAGAACGCCCGGGAAATGCCAATATCAAGTTAACAGGTACATTTCAAGGATTGCATTTTGACAAAATTCAGTTACATATATGCGCTTTCAATGTTTTATTTTAGAAATGCTGTGCAACGACACCCAGCCCAAGAAACTGTTTGCCCACTTCCTGTTTGGTGTGGAGAGGCAGCAGATGCAGCGATTCTCCCAGCAGTTCTGGACGTTCCTGGCCATCCACAAACACATGGCCTACATTGATGCCGCACAGCTAGAAGCACCCAACGTGGACTACAATCCTTATGCCAGCATCTTTCTGAGAAGCTGGGCAGGTACGTTGACTCTGCTCCCTTGGAAAGGATCGGCCTCTCATCAAGCATAGGATTTTAGCAGCCTTGGAATTTATTTCCCCTCATCACCCTTGGGCAGATCCAATTGTCCTTGACTGGAGAGATGCTGTCACAGTCAAGTGTCTTGCTGAGGGACACCAGGACGTTGATTCTTACATTTTGGTTAGGAAGATCCTGTCACTACACCACAGTCCAACACCGTCAACCCAAGCTTCATTTCTAGCTGCGGAAAGCGGCTCTAGAAGTCATTTTGTCCCTCCATTGGTTGGTTAGTAACAAACGTCAGCTCATGCCTTTTTTGGCCATCAATCACCTTGTTCCCTTAGGCACTCGCAACAACACGTGCTCCAGGTCTTATTGCAGTCGTGGAAAGTTGGGTCACTGGAGTCAAAAACCAGATGTTTGTACTGAAAACTGTACTATAGAGGGCACTCATTTCGCATTGGGGCTAGCACTGTGCTGCACACAAATTGGGTGTTCCACATGCTATAAAACGCTCCATGCACCAACTGACGTTTAATAAATGGGAATCCTTTTCAATTGACAGTCACGACCACGTGAGTAGTTGTGCATTATAAGAACAGGCTTTTACAACATGTACATGACGTATAGGCTACAGCAGATCTACAGTTTGGCCGCAGCTTCCGAGATCATTTCCAGCTTATTTTGTTACAGACCTTCCTATATCATCCAAACTCTACCAAAATCATTTCAACTTGAAAGGGGTATTAACCCCCTTGAAAATGTGGAAGTGGCTGGGCTGCACCTTTTTTTTCTGTTCTACGAAATCCTCTGGTACATGTACCTCCCAGTACACTGTGAAATATTTTAGAGGGTTAGGATAAAAATACCCCACTTTTTGTTCACTAGGATTCTTTGGGTTTTTTTTTGCAGGCTCAAGAGAGCCGAAGAGCCCAGAGGAGTCCTTAGACCCAACCATGACCTCCTTGGAAGATATTTCTCAAACCACGTCAGGCTCGACTCGGCGCCACTCCGATCAGTTCCAACCCCAGCAGAACCAGAACGGGCATCACCTGGTCATGAACGGCGACTCCCTGGACCAGAACGAAGTAAACCGCACCCAGCAGACGGGCAAAGCTCTGCGGTCGGCCGACTCCTCCACGAAGGATCGGCTACTCACTGACGGTGAGTCCTGGGACCTCGGGCTCGTGGCCTCGGCCAACAAGTCCCGGGAGTCACAGTCTGACGGATGCTCCAACCCACCGGGGAACTGGAGTCTCTGCAGTCCCAGAGGGGAGCCGGGGGCTGACCCGGGGCAACAGCAGGGCCCAGTCCAGCAGCCCATGCCGGGATCCAGGGGCCAGAACCGGCTGGCCACCTGCGGTATACAGTCCGTCTCTGTGGATAGCCAGTTTGGGCACATGCAGGTTCCTGCTTCAGGTAATGTAACTACAGTGCCCTTCATTTTGTGACAGCTTATCTATTTTGTTATGGAATTTATTTCCTTGATTCGACGGAATTAACACAATGCTCGATTGATACATTAGCTTGTTGTCTTCAAGCATCGTACATCCTGCTTTATCCACAGTTAACACAGTTGACATCTGTTTGGAATTTTTGCCATAAAGTGATTATTTTGTACTTGAATGGAAGGCCTCAGCATTATCTTGTACGATTTGAACTGGCCAGCAGATAACGGCAGGCTTGGTAATCAATTCTTTAGGATGTCTGCAGTAGTGAACAGAAGGTCGAGGGTTCGATTCCCTTCCGAGCAAACTTGTGAACTTTTGAAGACATCACTGAGAACTTATAACATTGTGTCAGTGATGGGCAAACCCAGTGTGAAAAAAAATGATTCAGCAGTGTTTTACATTTTTAAGATCCTTTGTTTGCGAATAAAGAATGCTTTTATTCACAAGGCTAAAACAAGGATTTGTGCAGTTCAACATGTCAAAAAGAAAGATGGTTGAGGAAGCTGAAATAATCCCATTAGAGGCAGATACTTGGTGATGTACTGAATCGTATTGTCAATATTCAAAGCACGTCGCCCCTTTCCGTTTCCCCAACCTCACAGGCCCACAAGGCGTAGCCCACCGAGGTGCAGTCTCGCTACCCCCTGGGTCAGTGCCAGGATCCCTAGCCGGGGATCAGCGCATCACGGCACAGCCCCACCAGCCGGTCAGCAGAGCCAATTCAGGCCAGAACAAGTTTGCCCCAAGTGGGTTCCAGTCGCAGGCTATCGACAGCCTGAGATCTAACGCTTCCTCTACGGGCCAAGAACCGACCAGCCGGGCTGCATCAGGTACACTGAGCAGATTGTAGAGCTGTCCCGAATATATCAAATATTCGGGCATCAAACGAATATTTAAATAGCTTGTTGCCTGTTTGAATGGAAAAAATAACCAAACATTTTATTGTAAAGTTGTGGCGCTTTACTGTCAGGTGCCACTTTTTTGGTCGACGATAATTTTATTGTCGACGGTGGTTCATTGTTTACAATAGCAGGTTAAAGCCGTTATACAGTTAAAAAATACTAACTGCAAAACACTCAAGCACCCCATATCGATCACTTCAAGTCCATCTTAACTGGCACACTCTTTGTTCAACTTTTTACTGGTGCAGCACGCAGTTGTAGCAGGCAGTTTCAAATATCCAAATACTCGGCCAAACGCAGTTTCGTGCAACCGAATACTAAACTATTCCAAACTGGGCCCAATTTCACGGCGCTGCTTAACAGTTAGCAGAAAAGTTGTGTTTAGCATAGCGGAAAAACGTGCTAACCTTAAGCACTATTTCACGGCGTGTGTGTGCTAACGGTCGCGCGTGCATGGAGATTTCTATTGTTACGTCACTAAGTTAAGCAAATTTTCCCTCTGAGGTAAGCATGCCTTTTGCTGTGCTTATGCTTACGGTCTCCGTGAAATAGACGGAGGCTCTGTTAGCAGAAAACCGTGTGCTTACCAGCGCCGTGAAATTGGGCCCTGGACAGCCCCAGCAGATTGTAACAAGGACAAATTGCTCAGATGTAACAATACCAGTTTGGGGATATTAAAAGATGTGAATCAAAGGCTATTGACAGTTCTGTAGTCCAGTCCATCACAAGTCCATCAAATTTTCTTTACAATTCCAGTCAATTTTTTTAAACCACTTAAATTTTCTCGGCTAATTTGTTTGTCCCATTAGATGCGACGGGTACCGTTGGCGGCAATGTGTCTGGTTCATCTGAGCCGGCCATGCGTCACGGAGATAGTACCCTGTCCCTGCAGCAGAACCCCGTCCGGCTCTCGTCCGACGCAGCCCAAGAGTTGGATGTGGAGATGAGCTTGTGTAAGAACCATTAAGCCAATTTGATTAGCATTAGCCAGTTTGCAGAGCTGTAGCGAAATCGGCACACGTTCTCACAAGTCAATCACAAGTCATCACGAGTAAGACCTGTGTATTCCAGTACGTAGTCAAGTGACAAGCTACTCTGATAAAGCCCCAGTCACCCATTTTCGTTGGAGCTACGAATATCGACGGTTTACCAAGAATCAAACAATCACGATGAACCATCAAGTTTCGTGGAGGTTTCTCTACGAATACACTACGGTTTATCAAGAATATGGACGGATTGGTGAAGAATATCGACGATATTACTGAGAATAATGACGTTAACGCCACGGTTGTCTGCAATTGGGGCACGGATAAAGCGTGGATATCTGTAGTACAACCTTAGCAGAACCCCAGCACATCCGGCAGGCGCGGTTCTATGGGAGGGGGGGCTACAGCCCCCCCCCCCCAAATTTTGCCTAGCCCCCCCAAAATAAATTCCGTAAAAAAATTGTATTAGCAAAAAGAAAGATTGTGATGTACATGTGTACATGCGAACAGTCTCCCCCTAAAGAAATAGTCGTGACAAGGGTGCATTTGTAGTTAATATAGTGTGAATGATCTTAGGATTTTATTGGCGCTCCCCATTGAAAATATGGCCGTGCTTGGCCGGTTTTAAACAAGAACATTTAACCGAGCAGAAGGTTCCAGGTTCAAGGTTGCAGGTTCAAGTCCCACCCGGGTAAAGCATGTGAATGATTTTTCTCCACAAACTCCCAGGAAGCACTCAACATGCATTGCTTATAATAGACCATTATCATGCTGCAGCCATCTTGATTTTTTTCCCCATTCAAATCAACGTAACCAAAGCGAGGCTGGAAGGAAAAATAGTCTGGTTTCTTTTAGCACAAAAAACATCATTCAGTACTGTTATTGGATTCAGGGAACATGACTGAAATGGTGGTAGCATGATAAAGGTCTGTATTATACAACTGAGGGGTAAAACCTGGCGTTCCATTTAACATCAACCAAGATTTGAAACTCTTTAAAAAATCCAGTTCTTTTGCATGTGTGTGTGTGTGTGGTTTTTAGGTACTGTGGGTTTTCCGTCTGTTGGAAACCAGAGCATGCATGGGCAGGACAGAGCATCTGCATTGACAAGTAAGTAAACACAATCCAACCGGGGCCCAATTTTCGTGTCGCTGCTTATTTCCACAGCTTCATATTGTGAAATAGACTCAAGGACATAGGGCCAATGATTTTCAGTTTCAGAAAAGTGCAAATTCTGTTTTCAAAAATCCTAACTTCTGTTTCAGGCTGAAAAATTCTGTTTCACATTTTTTCAGTACATGAAAGTGCATTTAAACAAACACCATGTACACAGGCAGTGAAGAAAATAATTCTGAGACGATAATGAAATAGTCATCTGGTTGGAACGCGGGAAATTGCCCCCCAAAAATTGCTATTTTATCAACGGCCGATCAATTTACAGACGTAGTTATTTAACTTCACCACAGGCAAGTTATTATACTGCACTGCCACCAACACACAAGTTAATTCTTGTACTGCCCCAAACCGCCCCTACACTACAGTCGAATCTCGTTAGTACAAACTCTGTTAATACAAAATTCTGGTTATAACAAACATAATGCCTTAGTCCCGACTGTGCATTTATGTGCACAATGAATGGGACTGATGTTCCTCTTAATACAAAATTCTGATATAACAAACAATTTGGCTAGGTCCGAACGAGTTTGTATTAACGAGACTCGACTGTATATTGTTTTATGGATACGTCAGGGAATAAGTGCAATGTAGTACAATGTTCAAGCATTTGAAAGTTCTATTCCAGTCCCAGTATTGAATCAAATCAATGGAAAGCTACCTTTTTGGACTTGAGTAGAGGAGCTTGTAGCTCGTAGCAGGGCCTCGGTAACGCAGTTGATAAAGACACCGAGTTGGTATCGCAAGCTCCTGCTACGAGCTCTTCAACTCAAGTCTTGAAAAAGGTATCTTTCCATTGATATAATTAACAGTATTGTATGGTTGGTAATGGGTTAACCATATCCTTACATAATCATCAAAGGTTTTTATTTTTTTGTTAGGTAATCGGCAGAGTTTTCCATCAATGGGACAACAGAGTGCACAAGACCAGGACACTGCGTCTGTAATGAGCAGTAAGTAATTGTCCAAGTTATTTTCAGCTTTAAAAAGATTTGTTTCCAATGTCCTTTTTCATAGCAATACAAATATCACTCTCTTTTGAATGAGACAAGGAATGAAAACAAAATCTGCCCTCGTTTAAATGTTGAATAGTTGCTTTACACATTTTGAATATCATGTATATGCCGTCATATATTAATGGGTGAATCTGTTTGTGCATTTTAAGTACAAAAGCAGCTCGGTATAGGAGATGCCTAAAATGAACAGAAAAAAAAACAAGTAGTATTTTTGTTAAAGGGAATATACATCATTTGCTTTTGCTGTAATTTTCAGAAATGGATGGAATTGGGGGGTTGGAAATATATAGCAAATATAGTTACACTGACTTTTTTGAGGTTTTGGGTTCGAAAATGCTATAAAAACCAAGAAAAACAATCATTTTCCTGTAGTCTGGTTCCCGCCTGACTCCATATAAGAAGAAACAGAGCAGTTTACATACATTGGGGAATTGTAAGGTCAGGGAACCAGTCTAGCTGGCTCGTACCCGTTCATAGGTTTGTAATCGATTGCAAACAAGTGCGATGGCCAATTGGGGCCAGTATTTGAAAAAAAAGCCAGTTGTTTCCAACGCTGATCGGCCGATCAGCGTTGGATATTGATACAAAAATACCACTTTTCTTGAAAATGACAGTATACCAGGTGCCATGATTTTACAGGATGCTTTACATTGTCATTCACTAACAGTCCAGCAAGGTATTTCAAAATGATTTGGTAGTTTTATTTTTTGATGTTTGCAAATGTTGTATATTCCCTTTAAATTAAAACAAATTACATGAAAATTCATTAGAAGAAAAAAATTAACTTTGTTTTCAAGAGCATGAACATTATACAGGGTGGTAAAAAAAACCACCCCAAAACCAAACGGCATACTCCCACTACCTTGAGACTCAAACCACCTGTACCAAATGATGGAGAATCCTTTTAGAAGAATTATGATACCAAAAATATCCCGATTTGGTCCAGTAGCTTTTGCTGCAGAGCCTATTTTGTGAAGCGCACTTCTTTCATGTGGGTATAATTACATAAACAATCCCTCTATCAACTACAGGCTAAGTTGAATTCCAGGGCGTGGTTTAGTAATTCATCAGGACAAAAATGACCCCCACCTTGCTTCACATAATAGGTTCTAGAACAAGAACTACTGGACCGAATCGGGCGATTTTGGTTTTATTTTTCTTCTAAAAAGATTCTCCATGCATTGGTATGTGGTTTGAGTCTCAGGGTAGTGGAAGTATGCCATTCCATTTTTAATACCACCCTGTTTAATGTACATTGCTCTGCACTGCACAATCCACTTCTACATCGACGGTTCCACAGTCATACTGCAGTTTGCAGTAGGCCTACATATTTGGATAGTTAGACGCATGGTGGTTGTTGGAGGGGCTGGTGATTGGCTTGGATTTTCAGGGTCAGTACTTCAACCTAGGCTAAAGGGGCACTCACAGCCTTATTTTGCTATAGATTAGGAACTTGGGAAAAACTAAAATACATGATAAGGCCAAAAAAAAAAAAGTCTCCGGTTTCTGGTATGCGCGCGCGTCGCCGTAGCCATGCGCGTCGGCAAAATGAAAAAGTTTTTTTTTTCAATGAAAGATGATGTCTCAAAACCGCCAAACTCACTGGTTTGACTGGAATCCTGCTGCTGCACAATTTTAACGTGTTTTTAGATTGGGTTATGGTCGAGAATAAGCTTTATGTGGCCTCTCTGGACTCCCATATATTTGCACTAAGTTTAGTCGGGCACCATTTGCAGTCATCAGCCGACATCAGCCACAAAAAATCAGGTAAAAAAAAAAAAAAAGCCGCGTCGCTGCACCACTTTTTGGGCAAGCTCCATACCAGAAACCGGAGACTTTTTTTTTTGGCCTAAGGCAATGTCGGAGTAATTAAAAAATTAACCAAAATGGACTGCGTTTTTGGGTCCCATCAAAACCAGAGAGTTCCTGTGTAAAAACCATTTTTCTTGATTCCAGTCATATTTCCCCCTCCGAAAGTTGATAAAACTCCAAGATATATTCCTTTATATCTAATTACTTCCAGATTTGTTAAGGTTTTTTTAACAAACCTTACAGAAAGACCGATTGAAGTTGCTTTAGATTCTTAAAAAAAATTCCGACCTCTAAACTCTCAGCTTTCATTCCGAGAATATTTCCATGCCTGGCGCGATGAAATAAAAGCCGTGCTGTAGTTGGTCAAGAGAATTAAAGCGCCCTCAGTCGACGGCAAATGATAACAGGCAGCCGAGTGCGAGACTCCAATGATCCTGGTGAACAAAATTGTGGTAAATTTCACACGTTTATTTGACATTTAAGGGATTTCAACCCACCCTAGAGGTACCTATCCACATCAAGATAATACTTGTGAAATATTGAGGCCGAACATTTCTTGACAGAAAGAGAGTTTGGAGGTCGGAAAAAATTGAGAATTTTCTGCTACACAGCAACTTCAATTAGTCTTTCTGTAAGGCAAAAAAAAAAAAAAATCTCTGGTCAGACCAAAGTTCCAGAATTGATGCGGCAACGCGTTTTTTTTTGGGGGGGGAGCTTTTTTTTTCAAGCTTGGATTGTACAGACAAGGTGGGTACTATTTTTTGCTGGTTTGTGTTCTCATATACATTAGTGTCCTCCATAATTTGCCTTTGTGCCCCCCATCATTTGCCTTGGTGCAATTTCCCCATTCCTTGGTACAACAATTTGAGGAGGTGCGGCATTAGAGGGCGCTGTTGTAGCTACCGCGGACAATTTGAAGAAAAAAAATAGGTAATGCGCATGATTAAAATCGACGCGCACGCTGACCAGAGACCGACTATTTTTTTTTTTTGCCTAAGGTTTGTAAAAACCTTAGAGTTCTGGAAGTAAGATCTAATTACAAGTATTTGCAAGGACATGTGACTTATTAGGACCCACATTGTGCCCGTAGCTACAACTTGACATTGGAAATTACAATAACATATTTTGCATTTGAATTGACGACAGATAATAGTGCTACGTCTCCTATTTCTTTATACCGGTTTTCTTGGCGATTCATAAGAGTGATTACGTTTTTCTCCCTCTAGCTTCTCAGAGCATGCCTGAAATGTCCCCTGCATCCAGCGTCCCAAGTTCTGAATTACAGTCGGTTGCAGAAGGAGCCAACCCAATGCAGAATGGTACTAGACATAAATGATTTATATTAATTCTTTTGGTCGCTGGCCTGTTGGTGTGGTCCAGTCAATTAATAAAGCTCCATCTTTACAGCATGTTTCATGCAAAGCTAAAGCAAGAAATTATGCATAATACTAAAACTTTAAATTGCTGATAATGCATTGCCATCATATACTTGACTTGCATACCTCAAATTCCCTGAAAATGTCAGAGCCACTTGTGTTCCTGGGATTTGACTACAATCCTACTCGGTTTAATAAACCATATCTTAGTACCTGTTTACCAAAATTAAGATATTGTCATGTGATGCCGTGTTTAATCAGCTGTTCCATTCTGCACTGCATGTACATCTCTCGGAAATATGAGTGTTTTAAAAGTGTTTGCATTTATTGTTTTAATGCAGGCAAAAACAATTCTTATGGGCCAGTCACATTATATGCGCTCTCATAGAAGACCTTACAGCGACCAAAAGTATTTAATCAATTTAACCATCGCAGCGAGGATGCAAGAAAATGACAATTTTCTGTCTCAAGTGGCCAGAAAGTAGCTCAAGCTACGCTCATACTGCGCTCATCCCACGCTTACGATGCGCTCAACCCGCTCTCGATGCGCCCCTGTCGAGCCCAATTACTTGATCTAGTTGGTGCCGCTCTGCTGTCACTGTGCTCACACTACGCTCTACTCGCTGTTAATACGTCCTTGTAGCTCGCGCTCTCTATCCGACCAAACTACGTTCACGTGACCTCACTTGCGCTGTATAAATACCACGACAAAACGGTCAATTCGCAGTTGAGTTTCAAATTTATTCTACAAGTTTATCGCAATCAGGTTACTTTGTCATGGAAACTACATCGACTGCCTTGTGCCTATAGGCTGCGTCATTGCCACGTCAATGTTGCACAATTAATCACGCTTGCACAGCGCCCGAGATGCGTCATTACGGAGCCCTGGCCAGAGCGCAGAGGTGTTGCGATTGTTTTGAGCATGTTCAAACACTTTGGCACTCATCGGAGACCCTTAAGGTGCCCATCTGGCGACCTATGTAGTTGTCGCTGCCATCTAGTAGCTGTTGTTGCGCACCAGCCATTTTTCAAGGACGCAGTGAGAGCGCATATATGATCGCAGACAGTCTGACAGGGCCTTTAGGTGTTTGCTGTAGCCTGTCAGTTCCCTATATTAGCATGATGTCACAGAAGATTATGGTCTATAATGGCAGGAAGTTTTTTTTTACTAAATTAAGATTAATAATGGCAAAAACAAACTTTTCAAGCTATCTTCTGGTCTTTCTTTTCTCAGGTGAAAGCAGCCTCCCCTCCGCCCAGGCTGAGACGGACCAAGAAGCCGCAGGCCCGGTGCCCTCCATCACCTTCCCCAAGCCAGTCATGCGAGGCCTGGAGCTCCGTCTGGACCCCATCAAGTCGGCCATCTCGGACTGGCGGGACCTGGCCAGCCAGTTCAAGGTACCCAGTGAGCTCATCACTTACTGGAAGGGCATGATGTCCACCCAGGGCAACAGCTCGCCGACGGAGAACCTGATTGAGTGGCTGAATTCCGAGAACAAGGCGGTGACAGTGGAGGACTTTAAGGATGCCTTAAGGGTGATCGTCCGATTCGACGTCCTAAAATACTTGACTGAGAAGGGCTATTAAAGATGCGCTCCCTGGGCTATTTTCGAGTTTCAGCTCGAAAAGTAGATTCCTTTTCCAAATTGCTATTTTTCTAGCAATGCAAAAGTTATTCAGTTCTGAATGAGGCATCGACCGAGAAAATCAGCCCATGTTCAGTTATTGAATTATTACTTTACAATTCGGGTGATTCACAATAAAGTGCGCCACCAAGAGTTTGCCACGGAAAGTTCATTTTTCCCAGTGCATTGTGGGAGATGGTCGACAAATTCGCAGCGCGGGACATTTGAAATTGTTAGTTTGTCCGGTCAGTAGTTTCGTACGCGTATGATTCGAGTACATGTTTGCCCTTTTCTTTTCTTTTTATCAATATGGTGGGTTATTTTTGTAAGGCGACAGAACGCTGTGCCCCAATCTATAACAAATTAACTAAAGTTGTCTAATGACACTTGTTCAAATGGGTGATGTTTTGTCGACAGTAAACTTGAAAAAAGGACTCTCCATGGCAAACTCTTGGTGGCGCACTGCATTGTGAATCACCCGAATTTTGAATTATTGGCTGCCTGAATTCCCATTCTCGCAGGGTAGGCTGGTTCCCGCCCCGTAATCGCCCCGTAATCGCTAAGGGCGGGAGTCAGTCTGCTCGCAAAGCGGATCTGTTTGTGCCAAAACAAAAGCCTGTTTTTCAGAGGGTTGTAGACGTCCAAAAAAGGAAATCCAATTTGTTGAAGGGCACGGGGAGCGCGTCTATATGTAAATGCAAACGCAAAGCATGTTTGACATCACAAAACATTTTGACTGAGCTGAAATTGCCTGCAACTGTTGACAATTTTAAGCACGTGAACTTGCCCATGATGTCACAACTTTGCGTTTACATTTGCTTTTGCTCCAGGTATGAATCAGCCTTAACCACTTCGCGCCGGGATTATTTTGACAGTGACCAGACCCAGGCGCAATATTGTTTTTCACGAACCTCGATGCCAGACGGGTTCAGGCCGTCATCTGCGGGTAGCACACCCTGATATTTCCGGCCTCGCTCACTGCGAGCGGGTCGCTGACAGATATTTCTGGCCTCGCTTGTTGCGTGTTTATCTGTAATCCGTTCTGAATACTGCAAAACCTTTGCGTGTATACACGTCCGACGTGAACTGGTCAAGGCTGTTACCCTTACACGTTTAAATGGTTTTGAAATAGAAGATGGTTTGATAATGTTCTGAATGTTTTAACCAAAAAAAACTGGACGGTCCATTTTTACAGAGATTCCCAAATTGTACATTAACACTACGCAAAGTTTACATCCCATTTTATTGTGTTATTTTACATAGCTACCGGAAACTGGGGATGTTTTCAGGCGACTTACATATTTTGGTACTGGAAATATAAAAAAAAATAACTTTACAAAAGTTGCATTTTTTTTTTCTTCAGATACTGAAATATTTAATCCGTGGAAAAAAGTAAAGTATTGTAATTTTCTGAAAAGTAATGTTCTTTCAACATTAACAACGTACAGTGTCCCGACAAACTATTTTATATTTTCCAGTATTGTTATGCTACCGTTCAATTCGAACATATGTGAATTCTGGGTTAATATATTTAGGGGATTAAATGGTCACATCCAAAGGTGTGGGACACTGACTTTAATAGCTCAGTTCATACACAATTTCTCAACGAGTTTGAGAGCTTCAACCACTGAACTACGCAAGTTCCCATACTGATTGGCTAAAAAATGGTCACGTGACCATTCTTACTTTTCCATTCCCATGTAGAATGGAAAAAGGGAATGAAGATGTAGTTAGTCTGGTTCCCAGACCAAAAGATTCCGACTATTTCTGTTGAATATTAGGTCAGGTTTCCGAAAATGTCGTAACTTTGCTGTATGTAATTCGCTGACAACCTTGGATATCGCCTGGGTATTTCCAGGTGTAAAATATTAAATTTTATTTACCTGCTTTGCTTACTAAAAAATAAAAAAATGAGTTGATAATTAATATTCATTACTTGCATTTTGAAAACTTGAAATTCAATGACGATTTTGTGCATCAAGTATATGCACTTGTATCTTATGAGGGGCGAGCTTTGCTGCGTCATGTACTATTTTGAATCTGACGACTGTTACCAGGATTTTCCAAAACTCGGCAAGGTCTCCAATTTGGCGTCGCCTGCTAGCAGTGCTATTTGGGTCGATAACTTTTAAGATTTAAGGTCGACATTAGTCAATGTTTTCTGACAGAAATATCAAACTGTGTGACATGAAACGAATTATTTATTTTGTTAATTTGATTGGAACATAATCAAAAGCTATAAATGATAATGCCAAACCGGCAACGAAGCCAAGCTTTGAAAAAGGGCCGTCATGTTGATATTTAACCGCTGAGATTGCTACGTTTATTCGAATAACTAGTTACAATTTATGAACCTAGATGTATGCCCTCGTCTCATACCAGTTTGTGTTTTTCTAGGTTGTGTCTTTGTGTGTCTCACTGTTGTCCATTTTGTCCTTTGTCACTGTCTCTGTTTTTCTCGGTCATGTCCACTTGTCTGTCGATAGGTTAGGGTACAAAAGCGTGACGCTTCACCTTATACCTAAATGTTGTCGTAAATTTGTTCTAGTATTGATCCATGTACATTATTATACACAATTACATAACTCCTTGCATTTTGCTCTGTATAATATGTTTACACGGCATTGTAACATTTTATTGTGTGGAAATGGCAACATTGAAATAAATGTTTCTACTATTCAAAGATTGCCTGACCTACAATTTAGACGTATGGGGGTAGGGAATAATTGTCTGGTTAGGGAACCAGACTAAGTTGTACTCAGTTGTTTTCCATGGGATATCATGGCATTTTTTAAATACTGATGTATTTCCCTTCCAGCCAGTTGATAACCAAAAAATGAAACATACATTGTATTTCCTTTGGAAAAAAATCCAAACTCTTTGTGTTTAGTCACATATGAATTGCCAGTCACTATATTCATGTTAGTTCTTGACTTGACTGATGTCTGTTTATTAATCACTGTAATCTTGATCTGCTAAATGATGGTCAGTTGGTCATGTAGGGTGCACTAAAATAGGCTTGTGCATGACATTTGAAATGCGTCTTCACAAGTTGCTCTTGTGAATCATGTGCTGGTTACATAATACTTTTTTTACTTGTGTCCACTGGGTACACTTCTTTAAGAAGTCGGTTGTGTAAATATGTGACCTGCAAAAATCCTTCACATGGTGAATATTTTCAAGTTTTAAAGATTTTTTTATAACCACAGAGTTTTCTAGGGCATGTATTTTAATACTGATGACAATTACCACAATAAAAGTTGGAAGTTGAAGATTTAAAAAAAAATGCCTGTTATGCAGTAACACGAGATATAATGGCTATATGCATCAAAATCTTGATATATGCCAAGTGAAGGATATTCAATGGATCACATCATAAATGCCTGTATGTTTTAAGTAATTGTTTTAATTTTGTTTTCAAAGCTTGCCACATTGATGAAATGTTCATGATCTAGCCTGATGATTCCTGTTAAGCATTATTATTGAGTTCGTTTTGATGAAAACAAGTCAATCGTTTTGTGTTAGATGTAGCTTTGCTAAACCCCACCTTAAATGATGAAATGATTTTTTGGGTTTGTATTTTTAAGAATTCTGTCTTCAACCTTCATGTTTGAAGACGGTATCACATGATGATACCGTCTTCATGTAATACCATCTCAGTTTTGGCCTTCATTACATCTGCAACTAAACAAAATGGCAACGCTTCAGGATCCAAAAATGTTTGAAATGTTTTCCTTTGGGATTGATTGTATCTGATATTTTTCACATTTATGACCTTTCAGGGGCGTGTCTGTAATTGGAGCACCATTTCAGACCGAACGGGAGATTTCAAACATTTTGGGGTTCATGGTATCTCCAATAAAAAGGGGAGTAATAATATAACGATACAGTATCTACCGATAAGCTTTTGGAACGTTTAAATCTGTAGATGTACAGTGTATATATGAATAAAATGTGTATATAATTATTATATATCGACAGTTCACAAGTACTGACCAATATTTACCCCCACACTACCAGACTACAGTGCGAGTAAAAAAAAACTATACAATTTAAAAATCGGCCATAGTTTGATTCTGTAGCAATATAGATAAGATATTTTAATATGTACTTTTCGAGTAACTCTTCCTGCTTCTTTTGGTGACATTTTCACTGGATTAGTTTTCATGCATGACTGCACAGGAGACAATTAAAGGGGTCGGGTGAAATCTGACTTGCGCCCAACTGGTCAGGGCTGGATAAAGTACATATGTGACCCGCTCCGCAAAAATGAGTCTGTTGTGGCAAAACTGACATTTTGAGTTAACTACATTAATAAAATGGGAATGAAATAAGCTTTCATTTGGTATATCATGGACCTCTCTAGGACATTTGGTTGCATTGTTGTGCTTGTTTCATTCTGTAAAGGTTTTGCAAAGCTAGAAGTGTCTCAATGGAGAAAAAAGGCTTTGAAAAAAGACAAATACACTGTAGCTAACCAAGAAAAGCACCAAAGATTCATGATTTTTTTCTTTTTCTTACAATATTTACATTTCTGTGTAAGATATTTGAACTAAAACTATCAAACAACCAAAATAAAACAAAAACAAAAAATCAAAATTTTGAGCAAATTTTTCCTGTTTCCATTTCAAAATGGCAAAAGCTTGAATTCAAATTATGCGACATCAGACTCATTTTAGCAGAGCGGGTCACATATGGAAATATCTTGCAAAAGCTTGAATTCAAATTATGCGACATCAGACTCATTTTTGCAGAGCGGGTCACATATGGAAATATCTTATCTACATTACTACAGAAAAAAACTATGGCCAATTTTAAAAGTGTATAGTTTTTTTTGTGACTCGCACTGTATTATTCAGGATCATGTGTTATACAAAACCTGAAGAAATCCCCGTCGTCTGATTGGTGGGTCGTTGATCATGTGTCATTGGTTTATTCGTCCCATCCCACGGCCCGGATGCTCTGCGAAAATAGATGTTCTATTCCATGATTGGTGGCGCTCTGATCAATCAGATGAGGTGGATTTATTCAAGTATTGTATAAAATGTTTCACATTCGTACAATTGAAAGAATAATTTAATAAGGCGACAGATGGAATGTTCCATTCCACTCGCCTCTTGAAATGAAACATTCCATCTGTCGCCTTATGAAAATATTTTTACCATTGGACTTAAAAAAAACCATTCATTATTAAAAAAAACTATATTTAAATGTATACAAATCTCAGAATGATGGTTTTGTGCTTGGATCTTTGATTGAGAAATCTCAAAGTAAGATTTTGGACAATTATGGGGAGTGAATTTTAAATTGGAATAAGTATGGTACATGTAGACAACCACTAGACTGGCTGCTGAATGCTGATTGGCTGAATTGCTTCGATGCAATCGATGCTGTTTTTCCATCTTACCCAAGGCATGTGTGATTGTTGTAATACACTTGCAGTTGCCTTAAAAAAAAAAAAAAAAAAAAATTACAAAATTAAAAAACGAACTTGAAAAAAAAAGAGAACCTGGAACAGTAGAAAAAAAAAATCAGTAAAAAAGAGGGAGGAAAAATCCCCAAAATTCAGAACACTTAAGTAATTTATACAACAAAAAAAAGTTAAGGTATTGCCATCTTTCCAAAAGCATAGTGTCTGTTGCAATACACTTGCAGTTGCCTGAAGAAAAAAAATTATAAATTTAAAAAAGGAACTAAAAAAAAAAAAAAGTAAAAGAAAAAAAAAAAACTCGAATTTTTTTTAAAAATAAAACAAAAAAATATGAAAAGTAATAAATAGGGAGAAAAAAACAATGATAATCCCAAAAATTGCAGATTTGAAGATATGTAACTGTGTATGTTGGGTTATACGTCACGGGTGAACGTACATGCATGGTCCACTGCTGCTTCACTATGTTCTCATTCATAAATACCTAAGACAGTTTACCCATGGTTGAGAGTTCGTCACGTGGCCGGTTTTAAACGAAATTTGGCTTCTGTGAAATCCTGTGTCTTTTACCGTTTTATTGGTTGAACATTCACAATCCTCGTGCAGGCATGCGCAATTCTACCAGTGAGTCAGTATTTCATAGTCCCAAATTCAAAATACTGTACACTGGATCAGCTGCGTTCTTGCGCCACATCGCGCAGTACGCGCGACATGCGCGCCAACCTCCATTTAAGGAGTTGTTTACGTCTTCTTTGCGAGCGGAGACAATCCATAATGTAGCTAGAGGGGTGTCCCGAAAAACAAAGTAAAACAGTTGTTGGAAATATGTAACTTGTGTCTTGTTTTTACATTTGGACTGAAAAGTTTTGATATTTTTGACTGAAAAGGTATTTATGAATGGGAATAAATGTGTGCTTGGCCGGTATTAAACACTCTGTTTAAGACCGGTTGGAGTCTGGATGCTGATAATTACCAACCGGTCTTAAAAAGAGTGTTTAAAACTGGCCAAACACACATTTATCCCCTTATTGTAAGCCAGTCTAGTTAGTATACAAAGAGTTTATTTCCAAACTGCGATAAATGCCAAATCCCTTTTTAGAATCTCACTCTCTCCTATCTGCCAAAGTCAGTTTTGACAGCTGTTACATAGTAAAATACATGTACAGGTTAAGAATACAATAATGCAAAAAGAAAATGATTTTTAGAAACAGCTGTTTTATGTATTTTTTTTTATTCTTAAAAATTTCATAAAAGTGCAAATTTTTCACTTTTTTTTAAATGGATATATTTCGTTTTGGAAATAAACATTGCAATAGTTCTCAGCGTACAGAAAGATGTATACTTGCTAGTTTTGGATTTTGAAAAAAAATATTGTGAAGGGAAATTTCTTTTGACCATGATACACATGTTTTTCACTAAAATTGTTTTATTGCATATCTCGTTACATTGTATACATTCAATTGTGTTAATTGAAAATGCAGCTGCTATGCATTTAAATTCAATAGAACAAAAAAACATATCTAGGTTTTAATAATGTATCAAAGAAAATAATAAAATGAATTTCTCATTTTGGTACGATAAATTATCATTCTAGTTCTGATTATTCCAGTTGTCGATGTCTAAATCTGAAACTTGGATTCCGAAACTTGGATGGAGGTTATGAAACCACAGTTTTGTCTCAGGTTCAGCTACAGCAGGTTTTGGCTCTAGAATCATTTTGAAGCCTTCAATGTCCAACACCATTCTCTACCCATGCTATTAAACATATTCAAGTTTTTTCAAACAAACTTTCAATTTGTATGTTTAAGTTAAACGGAAAAAGCTACTGTTTCTTGTTTTGTACGTTTTCAACCCTCTAAAAATAATGGTTTTATTTTTGGGTCAATTTAACAAACAAAAAGATACGTCTAAAATAATTCAAAATTCGGGTCACAAATAATTCAAAATTTGTAAAAAGTAAATAGTACATAACTAAATGCTGGGAGATTTTTGATTTGATGTCTCATTCAAAAGACTTTTTTATTGCCCCCCTCCCCCCCCCCCCCAAAAAATACCACTTAAAAAAATACATTTTTTTTTACAGTGAAAACTCAAAAACATCACAGGAAAAGCAACTTTAAGCAATGGGGAAAAATATGCCTGTTTTGAGTTCTAAAACAATCTGCTTGCAGAACAAATTACAAACTAGCTGCCTGGAATATCTGGGAATTCGGAAAACTACAGTCCCTTACCTATGCTTAAGATGAGATATTGGGATGATAATGCAACTACACACATCAAGAACATCACTAAAAAAGTTTACTTTCTCCTTCTGATGAATTTTCCAAGTTGACTAAAAATTAAATTTGCTAAGGTTTGTTGTCACAGTGTGCATGGCAATAGTTTAGAATCTGTCTTGTCTATATCAGTGGGGCAGATAGGGGAAATATTTGGGGGGAATTGTGCCTTTGATGATACAAGCATGGAATTTGGCACACTGTCAGACTATGTCATGAGAAAGATATTTGGCTAAAGGGACATCGCAGATTTGTTCTTTGAAAAATATAGGTGGAATAACAAGCAATTTTCAGAATTTTCAAAATGGCTGCCATTGCTTGTTATTCTACATTCTACACTTACTCGGGTTGTGAGGGACCCAACCAACAGCGCCAGTGTATGTAAGCGGCCACGCTCAGCTTCGCTCTCTTTCTGCTGTGGCCTGTAACCAGAGCGCGGTCTCTGTGAAGTCTCTGATGTAGCACTAATTAACCTCCCACAATTAACCAATCACCTAGGCATTAACCAATCACCTAGGCAGCAAGTCGCAGTGGAGGGACCCCCCCCCCCCCCCCCACCAGTGAATGCGTGATAGGGTGTTACTTTGGGCAGTCTGCTGTGGGCCTGGCAGTAAACTTCTGTCAAAATGTGTCTGCGGTTCCAGCCAGAGAGTTAGGCCGTTCACCGATCTTGGCCAGGGCAGACGTCCGAGGACAGTAACGGTACAATATTTACTCTTGGGTGGGGAGAAGCAATGAGTGACAAAGTGCTTTGCCCAAGGGTGCACCCACCATGACCCCACGCTAGACTCAAACCAACAACCTGCAGAATTACCCACAGGCCACAAATTCAATGTTCCAGACCACCACTAGATAGGCCACGGCACTTCACAGAGTTGTCATTAGGCCAAAAAAAAAAATAAGTCGGTCTCTGGTCAGCACGGGCGTCGATTTTAATCATGCGCGTCGATCTTTTTTTTTCCAAAATGTTCCGCGGTAGCTCCAACAGCGCCCTCTATTTTCGCACCTCCTCAATTTTTTTTTACCAAAGAGCACCAAGGAATGGGAAATTGCACCAAGGCAAATGATCGAAAGCACCAAGGCAAATTATGGAGGACACCAATGTACATGAGGACACCAAAAAAGCAAAATAGTACCCCACCTTGTCTGTACAATCCAAGCTTGAAGAAAAAAAAAAAAAGCCAAAAAAAAACAAAAAAAAAGAAGCCGCGTGGCCGCGTCAATTCCGGAACTTTGGTCTGACCAGAGACCGAATATTTTTTTTTTTTGGCCTTATATCAGGTAACCCTTTCTTCCAAGTCCACAATCGGGAAAGGATAACCTGCACAGTAATGCGCACACACATGCAGTAATGCGCACACACATGCAGTAATGCGCACACACATGCAGTAATGCGCACACACATGCAGTAATGCGCAGGCACATGATGTATCAATTCCTTGGCTGATGTGAGTCAACCCTAACTCAATGGACGCTATTGTGGAGACCATGTGCCCCACTCTGTCATTTATGGAGACGTTCCAAAGAGTGAAGACATGTGACTTATCGGAGGATGCATTGAGCCAGACAGTGTCAACGTCACCGTGAACTGCCTGCAGAGGAGGTAGCAGACAAAGCTCCTCTGTAAGGGTGCTCAAGGGACACTGGACCGATAATACTTGTGAATTTGCCTCCTGTATGGAAGATCGTGATGATCGGTGGATCCGTTGCAAAGCTGGACTGTGGTCGTCTGAGTTGTAGTAGTAGTAGCTGTTGTGAGTAAACTGCACAAAACACGCTCAACAGTTCCTCTACAGAGTCACTATTAATCTTGCCAAAACCATTCACTAGTACTAGGTTACGAAGATGTTCTGACTTCTTGAGGAAGTCTTTGTGGTCGCACCTGCCCCTCCTGACATCCCAATCACTGATCTCCAAATACAAAAATCTGGATGGCCCAAGGGCCGTTAGAAGTGAAGTCACCGTCTGCCATATTACCACTCCAAGAACAGTAGATTTGTAAAGAAAGACATCTCATTTAATTTATATGTACACTTCTCTCAGTTTCACTCAACATATTATTTTTATGTATAAAAAAAAACCCAATGGCACCAATTAAAATATATTTAATGTAAATTTTCTGTTTAGAAATTTGTTTTTTTTGTATACTTTAAGACGTTCTATTTTAGAATCTTTGAACGCTGGGAGTGGTTGCGACTGGTTCCCTCCCCACATTCGAATGGTAGGATCGGGAACCAGTGCGTAGCTTCACTTGTTTGTACAGCTTGGAAAGTCCAACGAGCTATCCAGTGTTGTTACATAGAGATCAGTGGTCCCAATGGGATAAAGACACTACGGTCAGTTCATGACCGTCTGTCGCTCTACCAGCTTCCTAAACACGCCGTCTTCAACTCGCATCAGTTCTTCGTAGGACCCTAGCTCCACCACGCTGCCTTTGTCCAGCACGGCGATGTTGTCGGCCCGTTTGATGGTGGACAGACGGTGGGCGATGGTGATAACCGTCCTGCCAACCATGAGACGCTGCAGCGCTTCCTGAACCAAGTATTCACTCTCTGCATCAAGGGCGCTGATAAAAGAAACACACAGACAAGTTTAAAGGCATATGGGATCATTTGCAAACACTCTAAAATGAAACTGCCAAAATATTATGAAACAAGTCAGGTGTGTTTACAAACACAAATGCCCCGCAACCGTGACTGTTCCCATGACATAACACAACTCTTTTAACATCAACTTACATGTACCTTGGTCACATGGAACGTTCATTGACAGCATTAGTGTTTTCTGTGGGTTTTATATGAATTAATCCCTATGATCTTAGAATAAATACAAGATTTCTATTGTTTTAGCCACTGTGACCTTGTACCTTGACCTTTCGACCCCCAATGCAATAGGCTCTTCGAATTACCAAGAACAATCCACAAACCAAATTTGAAGTTCACATGTAAAGTATTTCTCAAGTTATCGCACTGACAAGATTTATCCGGACACACACACCCACCCACGGAAGGACAAGGCGGAAACAGTATGCCCCTTCAGCTTCGCCGCGGGGCATAAAAAGCCCACTTGATTGTAAGTAAATAATAAGTGAGAGGTTTGCGGTAACACCATGTGGAACTCTCTCTTTTGTGAGTATGTGTGGTTCTGAAGAGAGCCTGTTGGTTTAACTCGACGTTTCAAAAAGTATGCTCTGTTCATCATCAGGAGAATGCCGGACTCTAGCTGGAATATTGGTTTAAGTACTGCCAGGGTGCTGTGTGTTCGGTGAACCATACAGGTGGACAATTCTGACTGGATGCTAAGTAGGATCCTGAATACTGGGGTAGACTGCTGGTGTTTATATTGATCTTTGCACCACGCAAACCCTCAAGTCTCATTTAAGTAAATAATAGTATAAACAATCCTGTAAAATCGTTCAGCCTGGTTTGCTGTCATTCTCAAGAAAAAGAGGAATTTTGTATCAGTACTAAAGAGTGTTAAGACCTAACCATTGCTGAGAGCAAACATTTTTCTAAAATACAACATCCGTTAAATGACCACGAGCCAGCTGTTGCCTTCATGGGTACACTCGGGTACCCTAGGTATATGTATGTATTGTCTTTCCCGCAACAGAGCCCAAGCACGTGCGCCACGTTAGGGGGCCGCATCACGTTAGGGAACACCATCAATACATAGACTCGCTGTGCTCAAAGCGTCAACATTTCATACCTTGTGGCTTCATCCAGTATGAGAATCTTGGGGTTCTTGAGTATTGCTCTGGCCAGGGCAATGCGCTGCTTCTGACCCCCTTTCAAGAGAAGGGAAAAAAAAAACCTATTCAAAAGAAACTTTCACTCACCAACCACAACTTTTACAAAGCTTCTTTTTGGAAAAACAATTCTGATGTGATACATAAATATGAAGCAAAGATGAATCCAGCAACCATTAGCAGACATTTGGCCAAGTAAAAAAAAAAACAGGTTTCTCGTCTGGGATTTTTTTTAAAAGGGAGGAGCGGCCCATTTTTTTCTCCTCAAGATGGCGGATTTTTCCAAGATGGATTCTTCCATCTCCTTGACTCTTTTGCCAATACTTTTGTGTCCTAAGGAGCCGTCACCTGTGAACCTGCGTTCACAGGAATGGAGTGCCCATCTCTCTTTCATTAGCGATTGGGCCAGACTCATTATGCTGCTGTGGGGGGATCGCCACACCTCCTCCACAGCGAGTCTGTTACCTTCCCAGCATTGAATAATGCCGATACCCATTCAACACCTGGGTTGAGAGGAGTAATTGAGGTAAAGCCCCTTACTCAAGGGCACAACACGCATGTCCACGTTGGGGCTCGAACCCACAACCTCACGATCTGAATGCATCAAATTGGGTCCTAACACATTGCATCTATGGATATGAAAGATATTTTAAAGTAGAATACAAACGTTCAAACAACTACATTCCAAAGATTTGCGGTTTTCATGTAATCATCACGTGGACGAATTTGAGGTACAAAGTTTTAGTCCTTCAAAATTGGAGTTGTTACAACGCTAGTGGTCATTCCATTCACACAAGTTTCTTTCTGTGACAAGGAACTTTAAAATATGGCTAGTAAACAATATGAAATGCAAACTTTTGGCGATCTTCGGACTAAAGCACACCTTTAAATTTAAGATGCACATGCACTTTGGTAAGTTGTAAACATAATCTCAGTTGAGCTAGGCTTATGTTAACATCAAATTGCAAGTGAATCTCTGGGGCTTGAAACTACAGCACATACCTGAAAGCATGAGACCTCGTTCCCCGACCAAGGTGTCAAACTTGTCCGGGAAAGCCTGGATGAAACCAAGCGCGTTGGCCGTCCGTGCTGCTGCCACTAATTCCTCCGATGTGACTGATTCTGGATTGTTGGCACCATAGGCAATGTTCTCACCGATGGTTGTTGAGAATAGAATCGGTTCCTGCCAACCAACAGATGCCAGAATTACGGTCAAATCAATGACAAGTCAATGACAAGTCAATGCTGAGGCAAGGACAAATCAATGACAAGTCAATGACGAGTCAATGACAAGTTGTTGACAAGTCAATAACAAGCCAATGACAAGCCAATGATAAATCAATGGCAAGCCAATGACAAGGCAATGACAAGTAAATGACATGTCAAGGACAAGTCAGTGACGAGTCAATCAAGTCAATGAGAAGTCAATGACAAGTTAGTGACAATCCAATGACAAGTCAATGACAAGCCAATGATAATTCAATGGCAAGGCAATGACAAGTAAATGACATGTCAATCAAGGACAAGTCAGTGACAAATTCAGTGACAAGTCAATGACAAGCCAGTGGCAATTCAATGACAAGTCAATCACAATTCAAGTTGATCACAAGTCAGGCCACAAGACCACTGCTAAGAAATGCTTTCGGCACTGTTCACTTGAATTGCCTGTCACAAAGAGATCTTGGTACTAAAATTATGAAGAAGCAAATTGCAGAAGCCTAAATTTTTATATAGAGTTTTTTTTTCTGAAGGTCAGTTCCCAGTCTGGAATATGACTTGGCCATAACCTACATTTTAGGGAAATAAACTTCCTTTTGAAGCCATCATCAAGACCAAGACAAAATGAAAGACATCCTAATGAGAGATTTACCTGGCTGACTGTTCCTATTTGGCATCTCAGCCACTCAGGGCTCAGTGTTCTGACGTCCGTTCCGTCCAGCAAAATTTGACCTTGATTACACACAAACAATCAGAGGTTTTATATTGATATATATAGGGTTAAAAGCTTTATATTAATGAATTTAGAGGAAACAAATATGGCAATTTAAACTTGCGCGATCCCCCTGGCATTATTTATACAATCAGTTAGTAAGCACACTTTTCAGTGTACCTGACCAAAATCAACAATGACCTCATTTGATCCCTAGACGACCTTTGACCTCAAATGTCTCAAGTCATCTGAAGTCCCACTACCCAAAGATTATTGTCACCAAGTTTGGTTGAGATTGAAGTCTGACTTTTCATATGACAGCACTGAACAGTTGCAGGCATGCAACTGGGAAGTCACAAAAAAAGAGGAAATTCAAATCTTTCGAAGACTTTGTGCAGTGTTTTTCAAATTTTAATGGCACACATGGAAGGTAAAAAAGAGGAAATCAGCTGATCCGAGGAAAAGTTGCATGCCTGCAGTTGACCTTACCAAAATGGAACACATGGACAGACGGACGGACACACACACATACACACAGAAGGAATACACTATTGAAATATGCCCCTTTATGGCTGAAGCCAGGGGAATAAAAAGGAGGCTGCTACAAAGTTCCAACTTTTCCGTTTGTCAAGCTTGCTTGAAGACAAATTTGTTATCCCACTCATGCTCTAGTCTGAGTATCACCCGTTATCCACGGAGCCATCTCCTGTCTAACGTCTGATATGTCAAAGCATGCAGATTTATGCAAGCAGCGCGACAGCCAATCAGAGTCGACTTTACTATAAATCGTGACGTCATTTCATCCCAAAATCAGGACTAACGCTGTGATTGGTCAATTCGAATGCAGCGTTTTGTAATACAACAACAGCCGGAAGCGCATTCGCGTAACATGGTAACATGATACCTGCATGATACCGAGCGCCGCGACATTTTTTTTAAAATCCATGTCTATGATGCACAACGGGTGAATGACCGAAGACGCGATACACCTGTAGAAAGCGCCTGCTGATTGGTCAAAATCTAGGAAGTCAAGAGGCGGGGTCTTGCCTAATTAATCAGCAAATCTGTTCGCGCATAATAATAGACTACTCATGCTCGTGGAACAAGGAAAATAAAATGTGACTGTGTCCGCTATACCACTCGGCCTTCAGCCCAGTGTCATGTGGGAAATAGACGCACTACATTAGCCCATGTTCTTTGTTCGTAGGACAACTAACAATATCTCATATGATATATATTTTATTAAACAGTAATATTACACTTATTGTATAATTAACAATTGTTGACCGCTGTGATGTGGGATGTGACGTTTCGAACACCCAAGGGGCGCATAGCACCCGAGGCGAAGCAGTCAACAATTGTTTTGTTATACCTCTGTCTTGGTTTCTTTGGATTTTGATGTAAAAATCACGAAAGCAAACAGCAGAAAACGCAATTAATCATGACAATCAAACGCCAACTCACATCATGTCGCCGTCACATGTTCGAAACAGCTCAGTGATTGTCTGCTAGTTCCCTGCTCCCACTCATGTGTGAAAACATGGTGAAAATAGCGTGGGTACCAAGGAAACAAGTGTTTTACACCTAGTACACTTACTGTAAGTACAAAATCATAGCACACTCCCTGTGGGATATCACGTGATATCCCACAGGGAGTGTGCCATGACTTTTTATCAACTTTACACGTGATCGTTCTCAGCCAATGAAATTACAGTAGTCAAGACAGAGGTGTAACAAAACTAATTATACAAATTAACCATAGTAAAACCTTGCCAGTACCTTGATCTGCGTCATAGTATCGTAGTAAAAGCGACCCAAGTGTAGATTTCCCCGACCCGCTGGATCCAACGACAGCCGTGACTGAGCCTGCAGGCACTGTGAGACTCAGCTCCTTAAAGATGGGCTGGTCTATCCTCAGTGGGTAGGCAAAATGGAGGTTCTTGAAATCAATGTGCCCCTGAAGAGCGGAGGTATTTGGGACAAGACCGTCTGAAGGTAAAGAGGTGTAGACATTTTAAAAAAAGTTATTTTGCAAGGTGTACAGGTAGTAAGCTTAAAGGGAAAATACAACATTTGCAAACCTCGAAGAATAAAACTACCAAGTTTTTACGAAATACCTTACTAGGATGTTGGTAAATGACAGTCTCAAGCAACCTGTAAAATTATGGCACCTGGTGTCAAGTCATTTTCAAGAAAATGGTATTTTTGTATACATTTGCAACGGTGGTCGGCCGACCACCGTTGGAAAAACCTAACTATTTTTCAACTACTGCTCATAATTTACAAACTTTTTTTCAGTCCAAATGTTGTTTGCTATTGGTTACATGTTTATGAACGGGTGCAGGCCAGCTAGACTGGTTCCCTTACCTTACAATTTTCCGACATCTATAAATTGATCCATTTTATCTTTAGTGGAGTCAGGGAACCAGACCACTTAAACATTTTTGTTTTTCTTGATTTCTCCAGCATTTTCGAACACAAACCTTCAAACACGTCAGTGTAACAATATTTGATCTATTATACTAACCCCTCAAATAGTTCATTTCTGAAAATTACAGCAAAAGCCAATGATGTATATTCCCTTTAAAGGGCCATTACAACCTGGAATCCCTGAAAAGTTTGTGGTTTGGATTGTTTACTTATACCATTTCAAAGGTCTGGTTGAAAGGAAACTAACCTAATGTCTTACCGTTCCTGAGAGAAGACGAAAATAAACAGTTGTTTACATCGGACGCGACGGACATTTTGTGGCATACCCATACGTAGTTCAAGTCGTGTCTATTGTGAGCGTGGTACACAATACACACATTACAAATACAAAAAAGGTTTCTTTACACGTCCGCAGAGTGCGAACCACTGTTTGGCTGGATCACAACTAGCACCGAACAGCTCTATTTTTCGTGGAACAAAATTTTGACCCCCGATATTCGTTCTTGCATGATTCTCGCAAGAATAACACAAAAATGCCCAGTTTTTAAAGGATGGTTGTGGGGACGTATATATTCTACTTTTAAATGCTCTTTCAATAGGGAAAATACAACATTTGCAAACATCGAAAAAAAAATGACCAAGTTTTTACGAAATACCTTACAGGATGTTGGTAAATGACAGTCTAAAGCATCCTGTAAAATTATGGCACCTGGTGTGAAGTCATTTTGAAAAATTATATTTTTGTTTACATTTCCAACGGTGGTCGGCCGACCACTGTAGGAAAAACCTAACTATTTTTCACTACTGCTCCAAATTTACCATTTTTTTCAGTCCAATTTTGTTTGCTAATTGGTTTTATGTTCATGAATGGGTGCAGGTCAGCTAGACTGGTTCCCTTTGCGTACAATTTTCCGGCATCTGTAAATTGATCCATTTCATCTTCAGTGGAGTCAGGGAATCAGACTACTTGAACATTTTTGTTTTTCTTGGTTTTTCCAGCATTTTCGAAAACAAAACTTCAAACATGTCAGTGTAACAATAATTTGATCTATTATACTAACCCCTCAAATAGTTCATTTCTGAAAATTAAAGCATAAGCTAATGATGTACATTCCCTTTAATATCATTTCATTTACAACGTGTTTTGCAGCCCAATTGGGCGCATTCAAGGCCGTAATGTCCCTTTAATTTTTCTACTTCAGTTACTACAACACACCGACATTCTTTGGGAATCACTGGTGAAAGAAAATGCTGCATTTGTTTACCTGTGAGAGGAATTGTCGGTGTTCTGTCCAGGATTTCCCAGAGCCGAGTGCTGGCCCCAAGACCTTTCATCATCTCAGAATAGAAAGAGCTTATGCCTGTATAAAACAGGAAATCAAATTACTGTGATGTTAGTCCTGTATAAGAAAACATAACATGTAGCACGATATGTGACAGAGGGAACCCCCCCCCTTTTGTGTTGGTCATTGTGTTACCAGAATCTCAGGAATTCATTTGAGATATCTGGGGGGGGGGGATGTGTTAGCTCAATTCCTATTTTACTCACGCTGTATTTATACAAGGCAGTGACACCTATTTAAGTTGTTAGGAAAGCAATGTCTTAAATGAGGGAATAAATGTGTGCTTCATGTACCTTTTAAACACTATGTTTAATACCGGTTGGAGTCTGGATGCTGATAATTACCTGAGCTGAAAGCGAGGGGAATTATCAGCATCCAGACTTCAACTGGTCTTAAACATAGTGTATAATACCGGCCCAACTAATATTTATTCCCATTCATAAATACCATTTCGGTCAAAAAAAATCAAAACTTTTCGGTCTAAAAATATAAGCAAGTCAAACATTATAAATTTCCAACGATTTTGTTCAACAAGTTTACGTCATGTTTTTCGGGACACCCCTCTAGCTATATTATGGTATGTCCGGTCTCGCGAGTAGTGGTAAACAACTTCTTTATATGGAGATTGGCACACGCATTGCCGTCCTGCGGGATGTGGCGCAGAATGCAGCTGTGCCGGTGTTGTGAATTTAGGACTATGAAATGCTGACTCACTGGTAGTGTTGCGCTTGCCTACGTAAGGATTGTGAACGTTCAACCATTAAAACGGTAAAAGGCACCAAATTTCATAGGGCTCCAAATTTCATGTGACACTGGAAAAGTGTTTAAGACCAGCCAGCCGAACAAATCAGCCAGATTGAACAAATCAGCCAGATAACACTGACTGGATAAAGTCTTTACATACCTCCTACAGATATACCAACATAGGCAGCGTATAGCAGGAATGCCGACAGGCTCCCAACAGTGATCTGTGCGTCAGTCATCATGGCACCGCCATTATACAACACAGCTAGGATGATCAAGTTGCTGGACAGCCCCATCTACATAGGTCAAAGGTCAACAAGTCAAAGGTCAAGATGTATGGTGAACATCTATCGGGTCATTGGAAAAGAGCTCACATGTTGCATGTGTTGCGAACAATTGTTTTACTATTTATCTATTAAAGGGAGTCTTTAAAAATCCTGAAATAAGGGGAAAAAAATCCTGACAAGAAACCCTGAAATCAGGATAAATCCTGACAAATTTCGCCCTGGATGCGTGGCCTACTCAACAATGCCAGTAAATGAAGGGCACAGGTGCATCCCGTCACAGATTGGCATGAAGAATGCAACCACGCAAACTAGCACCGCCTTTGCAAGAGGATGGACCTGCGTGACGAGGGGTACGTGTTCCATGCGAGAACTCCAAAGAGTGAGAGATAACACATGCATCAGTTCTGTTAAAACATTCCTGGTGTGGAATCTGAAGACGGGAAAGAAACGCGACCAGGTTTATCCTGGGTACTTACCGCAGCATAGAAGGCGCCCCAAAGCAAGGACTCCTTCGTCGCTAGATCCAGAACGTGTTGTACGCTGCTAGAGTACGCCCGTTTCTCACGGTTTTCCTGCGCAAACGCCCTCACAGTCCGGACGCTGCTGATCTTCTCTTCAGCGACCTGAACACACAGGCAATACACACTTATTCAGCACTGAATTAGTTGTGGTATCGCTTCAATTTGAGAAGGGACGGTATCTAGTGACGCGAAGCAGTAAGTTCAGTGCAGCTAGTCCTTGTGCCAATAGCAAATGCGCCCGACTCCAAAGAATATAAAGCACTAGTTTTAGCCCCCCCCCAAAAAAAAATTCCATAAAAAAAATTGCATTAGCAAAAAGAAGGAATTTGACATAGTATGTGAACGGTCTCCCCCTAAAGAAATAGTCGTGACAAGGGTGCATTTGTAGTTAATATATTGTGCCTGATTGTAGGATTTTATTGGCACTCCCCATTGAAAATATGGCACAAGCCCCCCCTCCTCCCCACACACACCTATTGATTTTCGGAGGCCTAAGTGTCCGGAAAAAATAACCGGTCTACATTTCCGCACGCCTCCCTGAAAAAAATTCTGGATCCGCCCTGCTAGCCCCTCCCCCCCCCCCAAATATTGGCTCTAGAACCGCGCCTGCACTCTTAATAGCTGCATGAGTTGATAGCACATCATAACCTAAAGGTTTCTCACACAACGATGTTGACGACTTTACAGTACATGTACAGGTAAGTGAACAGCAAAGTTGATAAAAGTGCTGTAAATGGCTCACTATGGGGAGTCAGGATGGTGAAGTGGTCCTTTCCTCGCCTTCTACCTAAAAGTGGTTCGATTCCTGCCCTGGTCCACATGTGGATTGGGTTCTCAGTCCCTACCTGATTCCGTGGGTTTTCCTCAGAATATTCTTCTGGGCTTTTTCCTCCCACCTCTAAAACTGTAATTTCTTCTCATTGTCTTCTCTCTACATGTTTCTTATTGCTTGCAAGCTACAGTGCCTAGGGCTCTTTTGAGGATTCCTTGGTTTCTTTACCAGATGTAAATAATAATAATAAAAATAATAATAATTACCTTGGATTGGACATTTGGGAGACATTCCCATAGACTTGTGCACAAATTTTTTTAAACTGAAATGTGCCCTAACCCAATATTCCTTTGTCCTTTTCCCATGAATTTCGGTATGTTTACTAATTAGACCACGAGCCACAAAAATAACCTAATTGCGACGATAAAGTCTTGCCTCTAAAGGGTGGCTGTGACATTAGGGAGACATGAAAATGTCTCCCTAATGACCGATGTCTCCCATCGTGTGAAGAAATTACGATACCGTGTCTCCTTAATGGTACCATTACACGTATACATGTAATAATAATAAAAATCAAAAAAAAAAAAAAATCAAATTTTTGGGTAAGATTATTGGACAAAAGTTATATCTAATGAAAACAGATTGGAAAAAAGGCAATTTTGATTTCATTTGTAGATCGTTTTGTGGGTCTATGTTCACTACTCTAATACAGGGATGAATGCAACATTGAATCACTTCTTACTTCGGTAGACTTGGCCAGTGCGTCCTGCACTTGCTTGGAGATACTACGAAGGAATCTCCCATAGACAACGGCAATGACGGCCACTGGGGGCACTATGCTGATGACAATGGTAGCAAGTTTAACTGAAGTATAGAACTGTCACAGCAATAAAGACAAAATAAGGGGAAAATGTTATTCAAATATTTGAAAGGGTTAACAATAAGGGGTTGGAAAGTTGGGCCCAATTTGAGGGCAAAAAAACCCCCTCCTTATTACAATTCCGTGCTTAGGGTTAGCGTATTTCACAGGTTTGCAAGGAATTTTGGCTTTTGTGTATGCGTAACTCCCATAACTGAAGATTCTGTGCTTACAGGGTTAGCACAGAATTTTCTGCTTGTGCAGATAGTATACAAATATTGAATGTTTGTGAGTGCAATGGTAAGAATAATTTCATGAAATGTTCCATTCCACTCGGCTTCGCCTTGTGGAATGGAACATTTCATCTGTCACCTCATGAAAATTATTCTTTCCATTGCACGAACGTGAAACATTCATTATTTGTTTTATTTAATACCTGAATAAATCCTTGTCATCTGATTGGTTGACTTTTAACTGCCAATTTATTCAGATTAAAAACTGTTTGAATGTCTGACAAGGAAGTTCTTCATATTTAATTTATGCAAACTGTTCAACAGGTAGAGAACCATCATATACAAGTAATCCCGATTTAAAACAGTGCCACAGCCACCAGCGATGACACCGTGCAATGGAAGTTCTATTCACTGTGCAATGGAACTTCCATTGCACTGTGCGCTGCGCGCCATTAGCGCGCCGTGTGTTGGGAAGAATAATTCAATAACATGTGATCAATGATCCATCAATCAGATGACGGGGATGTATTCAGGTGTTGTATAACATACAATAGTGATCGCAGGCGTGGAATTTTGTGGTAAGCAAATTGTGTGGATAGATCAATGGACTAAACTGATTAATGAATTTTGCTGGTTTTCAATGTACCATCATGCCCACTCCTCCTATGGCCTGGGCCAGAGCCCTCAGTCCGTCTGAGATGTTGGTTGTGACCGCATTGCCGATGACCGTGGTGTCAGTGGACAGCCTGTTGACCAGCTCCCCGGTCCGCGTCTTATCAAAGAAGGCAATCTCTTGCTTCATGATGGAGTTGAAGATGGACTCCCGCAAACGTTTGATCACACGCTCGCCTGAGAAAAGATGCAAACTTGTCTTCTTCAACTCAAATAAGGAGGGGATTTAATAAGCAAGTGGTCTCTTTATCTTTCAGAATTATGGCTTGTAACATGCCCCTATAGCTATATGTAGCCTTATAAATGTGGCCTTAGCCCCATAAATGTGGCCTATTTACTGGACTGCCTCCGTAAACACAGGCCACACATCCACATGTACAAAAACGTGTCGCACTTTGCCAAATTTTGATTTTCACATTTAGGCTTAGTTTGTAGGATTTTTTTGCTTTAGAAGCATACTCATCCTCTTTATAGGCTAGTCAGAAAGTGCTGCCTTTTTCAGATGTCTAATTTTTGTGAAATTTCATGTTGAAATTTTGATACGCAAACGTGTAAAAATGAATCTGGAAATTTCACGAAAAATATACATCTGAAAAAGGCAGCACTTTCTGATTAGCCTATAAAGAGGGTGAAAATGCTTCTAAAGCAAAAAAATCCTACAAACTAAGCCTAAATGTGAAAATCAAAATTTGGCAAAGTGTGACACGTTTTTGTACATGTGGATGTGTGGCCTATGTTTAAGGAGGCAGTCCAGTAAATAGGCCACATTTATGGGGCTAATGTGGCCTAAGTACTGGACATCCTCATCAGTGGCTGTTGCCTGTCGTTCAGTTATCATTGGTTTGAAGTGCGCTGTTGACTAGAATTGAATGACAGGCAACAGCCGTCGATGCACTTTGGCAAAGTTGACGCACGCTCAGTGGAAAGCACGATTATCATGACCCATGATAGTGCTGCCCAGTACATTATGAATAACTACTCCAGAGACAGCAGTGTCAACACCATACTGAGTAAACTGGGTTGGGAGTCTCTACAACACCGAAGAGCCATCTCCAAAGTTGCAATGATGTACCGGATCACCAACAAACTCATCGACATCCCAGACAACCACCTTATCCCGGTCGACTCATCTACCAGAGGCAACAGCCAGAAATTCCTCATCCCACCCACCCGTACAACCTTACTGGAGGGCTCCTTCTTCCCAGACACCATCCGCCTGTGGAACTCACTGCCCCAGCAAGTTGTTGAGTCACCAACCCTGGATGTCTTCAAGACCAGAGTGAACGGTGTCACCTTCAGATAACCAGCCTGTCCGAAAATAGCTGTTTTTAATTGCACTTATTTGCCTTTTTATGCCTCGAGTTATGTCTGCACCTGATTGTTTGCACTTCAACCAATGTGCGAGTATACTCCAGCGGAGGTTTCTGCACAGTATAGGAAGATGATGAAGATGATGACCTCAAGCAGATTACAGGACTATGGACGCCATCGTGTTTGTGTGTGGCCGAAAGCTGTCTAAAATCTGCCTGAAATTACAGGATAACTAGACCTCTGAAGATACTGAATTCAACAGGTTTTTTTTGCAGTTAAGTAACGATATGGGCGATTATCAACTGACAAAAGAATTCCAATGTTGATTTTATTTTCTGCTACCCTAACAACGGACCTTTCCACGCATTTAACGGCTGTATGGCTTACTGGATGTCCAGTACTTAGGCCACATTTATGAGGCTAGTTAAGGCCCCCCAAAAAAGTCTCCGGTTTCTGGTATGGAGCTTGCCCAAAAAGTGGTGCGGCGACGCGGCTTTTTTTTTTTTTTACCTGATTTTTTTGCTTAAAATGTCGGCTGATGACTGCAAATGGTGCCCGACTAAACTTAGTGCAAATATATGGGAGTCCAGAGAGGCCACATAAAGCTTATTCTCGACCATAACCCAATCTAAAAACACGTTAAAATTGTGCAGCAGCATGATTCCAGTCAAACCAGTGAGTTTGGCGGTTTTGAGACATCATCTTTCATTGAAAAATTTTTTGTTTCATTTCGCCGACGCGCATGGCAACGGCGACGCGCGCGCATACCAGAATTATTTTCTGTCATGTTTTATTTTCAATGAAATAGTTTTTAAAAAATGAATAACATAATATAATACATTTGCGGGGTGAATATACAAGAGAGGTCACCCACTGAAAAAAAAGCGCTCTCTCTTGCCCACAATATTTCAAAAAAGGCGTATATGGACCTTATAGGTAGCAGTCATCAAGGCAATACATTTGTCTTGCTGTGACATACCAGAAATAAACCTTTTAAGCACTCATTGTTACTGAATTAAAATAACGAAGGATGCCCTATAAGACGGCCGCTATATTCATAAAGTCTACCCATGAGGTCTAAGAAATACGAAGGGTGCTCAAGTTTAAGGAATAAGTCAATCTGGCATGAAATGTCATCATGGCCTACGTCAAAGTGAAAATGCACAAAACGCTGCTCTGTCCCATAAATTCAAAACTTTTATTTTTCGATTCATTGACATTCAACGGTTGTATTCAAAAATGCTATCAAAAGCTTGGAAAACACAACGACTATCCTCTATCAATAGAATTTCTGTAGAAATATAACTATGCAGTTTTTCTAGTATATATTTTCCCGCTCAGTCTTGCAATTGACTTTGTATTTCGTTAATCTTTCAGAAATTTGAGATAATTAACACACTGTTATAATGCAACTCAAAATAATTATAATATACACGACTACATGTAATTGTCGCACAGATTTTTCATATTATTCAGGGAATTATTGTAATTAAGGGAATTATTGTTGTTAATGTATTTTTACTCTGTTGGACGGTTTTTAATCAAATTTGGTATACTACTTTTAATTGGATAGTTGTATTTTTGGGAGACAGGTGTTTTTACCAATTAATCTGAATAAATAAAGTATTATTCCATCCTGTATGCTCATTGTCTCTGTCCCTTTGCCAGATTCATGCTATTGTGTCTCATTCAGTGCACATCACTGGAGTTCGTTTCATTCCCTTTAACGCGTTTCTATCATTCCGTTCCCCCTGTGAGCGTCCTTCGTTTGTCTTCTAAGGCCAAAAAAAAGTCTCTGGTTTCTGGTATGGAGCTTGCCCAAAAAGTAGTGTGGCGACGCGGCTTTTTTTTTTTTTTTTTACCTGATTTTTTTGCTTCAAATGTCGGCTGATGACTGCAAATGGTGCCCGACTAAACTTAGTGCAAATATATGGGAGTCCAGAGAGGCCACATAAAGCTTATTCTCGACCATAACCCAATCTAAAAACACGTTAAAATTGTGCAGCAGCATGATTCCAGTCAAACCAGTGAGTTTGGCGGTTTTGAGACATCATCTTTTATTGAAAAAAAAACTTTTTAATTTTGCCGACGCGCATGGCTACGGCGACGCGCGCGCATACCAGAAACCGGAGACTTTTTTGGGGGCCTAAGGGTATGTAAGCTATAATTCTGAAAGATGAACAGACCACTTGCTTCGCCTCGGGTGCTATGCGCCCCTCGGGTGTTCAAAATGTCATATCCACATCACAGCAGTCAACAATTGTTAAATGGCAACCCCCCCCCCCCAAAAAAAAAGAGAGAAAGTTTCTCGTACCAGAGGTGTACATCAGGTACACACGGCCAAAGTTGGCGCCAGCTCCCAGCAGGAACACAGCAGACAGGACACCGCACAGATAGGTGAGATTAGTCATCATGACACCGCTACCAAGGCTATCGTAAGACCCACTGTAGATGACATCGATCACCTTGCCGAGGGCAAAGGGCACCAACATGGTCACACCACTGGAGAAAGCCAACAGGGCTATGGCAACTGATCAAGAAATGGGAGAAAGTTTACAACACATCTACATGTAGTGAATCATGTGCTGGTTACGCTACATATCAGTGTCAGGTCCATCACAGGTCCTCACCAGTCAATCACAAGTAACCCAGTCCAAAGTCAGGTCACAGGCTGTGACAGGGCGAGTAAAAAAACAAACAAAACCCAAACATGCCAAATGTCAGGATTATTGTTCTAGTGAAGTTCTGCATGTAGCCCTTTCAAAATCTAGGATATGACAGCCCAATTCTTAATCTTTCTTTTAGTGCAAGAATCACTCATGTGCTTTTCATGTAACAGATTTTTTAAACACACCCACCATTTTAAAGTTCTGTCCATGGATCACAAAAAAGGTGTGCGTTCTTTCAGCAAAACGAAAACAATTCACACACATCCCTAGGTGATAAGTTTTGGGACTCTCTTACACAGTATTGAGAGTCCCAAATTTTCGGACTACGACATGTTACACTTCCTGTCATAACGCCGGAATTGCCCATAGGGTCTCTTCAAGTATCGATGGGTGTGGAAATTTGGTAACTTCTTAGGCAAGAACAAAATAACAGCTCTGCTTCTGGTTACCCTACCTAGGTACCCTATTTTGACAGCCTCTACCCTAATTGTTTTTTTTGTGTGGAAAAAACCCCGAAAATCATCAATTATTAGCATTACGGACACGGTAATCCTTATCTTTAGGACACCTCTATTTTTACGACTTCTGTTCAAAACTGACTTTTGCAGTTGACTGTCCAGTACCAAAGTGACTTTTGCACGCTAAATCAGTCTTTTTTCTTCAGGTAAATTGATTTTAGTTGTAATTTTGAAAGCACTTTCAAAGAAAATGTGACTTTCCTACCTTTTGTTTTGCAGTTCGCCATCTTGCTTTTTAAATATATTTTCTGTTTGTCACCATCGTCTTTACCTCTCACAAATCAAAGCCTTGCCCTCTTTCCACAAAATTAAACCTGCTGTTATTCAAGGTGTCTTGCCAACTGTTCAAATCATGTGTCAAGAAATATCAGAATGTCACTTTTGAGTGTCATTTACTGATTTAGTCAGCTGTTTTGACCTTATAATAGGAATGGGGTCCTAAAAGTAAGGATTACCAGCATTAACTTTTACCCTTGACTACACGCGCGACACCTCCATTTGATCATACAAAAAAAAAAGGCCAAAAAACAAATATATCCCAACCTACCTACCCTTTTTTCAAATGCCATGTAATCAGAAGCAGAATTTTTTGTGGGGGGGGGGGGGGGCTTTATGTAATGCCTCATCTACATCCCAGACCTCTTTAGACTTAAGTTTAGAGTAAACAATGACAATTAATAAATGCACAAACTGCTACATACCGCCTAATCGTGATGCCTCTGGTTTAGCCAGAGACATGAGCCTTGTCATTTCTGATAGTTTAGGCACCACAGCTTTTGCAGTCTCCTCCTTGGTAGCAACTGACGAATCCAAGTCCGATTTCTCATCGGAAGATGAATACGTCCTCCATGACCCCAAACAGGTTGCCAAGGGTAACCGTTTAGTGTAGGGTAAACTTAAACACTTTGGTAGCTGTTTGGTTACCGATTGCGGTTTTGAAAACAAGATTGAGGAATGGAGTTGTCTGGTGGCGGCCTGACATCTGGATCCGCTTGGAACAAGCATCCGAATTTTTAAAAATCTCATGATGCCCCGTTTGCAATGGGCACTCTGCAAAAGTGGCCAGGCATACATTGCGACTTCTTTTGCCCAATAACTGAAATGATGCCGGGTTGTTTCCAAAAGTTTCCTACGGCAGTTAGGGCTACAGATGAATGTAGGCCTACTGTAGTATTAACGCGTTACGCCATAGGATTAAGAACTAGGACTATGTAGGTGCCGACCACTTTCAACTTGAGTTTGGAGCTATAAATATGGAGGCAGTTGAAAAACGGCTTGGGCCTTGGTGGTCTGACGTGATGTGCTCAGTACGTGACACTGACATGACAGTGAGAGTGGTGATGACTGAGTCACTGATGAGCCGGTATTGAGGACAGAAGGCTCGACACGTTCCTGCACGGCCTGTTCAACCGATAGACATGACGAATACAAATGAATTTCCACTTTAATTATAAACAGTGAAGTCGCGTCCACACGTAATTCTAGTGCGTTATTTCATAAGCACAACTTCTGTTTGTTGAGCTAGCGCCACCAAGAGGCAGATCCTTTGCTTACAGCGCGCGCGGTTAGCAAGGGCGGATCCAGAACCCAATTTTGTGTGTGTGTGGGTGTGAGCTTGTCTTACATACGCAGTGTGGACTTCCGAACAAAAGACGTCCACATAATGTAGGTAGCACCGACGTTGTGTGGACTTACCCCACGTCCACACAGTGTTTCCCCATTTCTGGAAAACAGGTTTAGAGGCATTTTTGGGTTAGGTTTATCTGTAGCAGAATGAAGAGAAACACTAAAGGGAATCATAGAAAAAAAATTGGGTTGAAAGAGTTTTCACAGTTTGAGAAAAATGATTTTTTTCACTGGTTTTTCTTAACTACACGAAAGCAATGGAAAGTCCACACTAGTCATGTGAAACAAGTATGTGGGTGAGTGTGTGTGTGTGTGTGTGTGTGTGTGGGGGGGGGGGGGGCAAAAAATAAGTTTTCCCCCCCAAAAAGTGGGTACACAAATTTATGGCGTGGGAATCGGGGCCCGCTGAAGAGCCCCCCAAAAAGTTGGATTCTAGATGCTGTGTGGCGCAATCTGCTCGGGCAAGTTCTAATTCTCACCACTTTTAACCATTTATTTTTCAAACAAAAGGTGGTGGTGTACGTGTACGCAGTGGTTGTTTTTCTCTGCGACGTCTTCCGCATTATTAAAAAATAATGATAAGAACACAATTAATACTAGAAATGTGTTTGTGGACAAACACTGAGCTGTTTCGACCGTTTTATTAATGACTGCCGTAAAGGAGTTTCATCCAGGTCGAATGAACATGTACATGCGTATTCTATACAAAAAGTGTCCATCTTATGTAAAAACAAACATTTTTTATGACGTCATGATGACGGCACACATTTAAAAAAAAATTCTGTAACTATTTACGACCTAACAAACTTTTTGCAAAAAAGAATTTCGAATTAACCACGTTCCATTGGTGAGATATGAGTAAAAGGTCCAAAAATTGAATAATTCATATAAAATCACATGATGACGTCATCGTGACGTCACTGCAATTTTTGTCTATAACACTTCCTGGAATATCTGCATACCGAGATTGAACCCAATCGGACCTCAGGTTCTCTAGATATAGTGACTTAAACTATGCAGATTTAGGATGATGTCAAGTGACACGTGATGACGTCATGATGCCGTCATGATTCGACCTGAATCTTCAGATGGTGGTCTAAGTGTGTGCCAGGTTTGAAGTCGATCGGACCGTATTTTATACATTTTTTGCAAAATTTGAAGAAAATATTAAAATTTGAAAAATTCATAAAAAATCAGATGATGACGTCATGATGACGTCACTTCAGATTTTGAATGCTGTTATCTATACCTACCTACCCACCAAGTTTCATAACGATCGGACATACCCTTATATGTGAATTAAAAAATCACGTTTTTGATGACGTCATGATGACGTCGCACATTTTACGAAATTTTGTGCATCTATCTATGACCTAACAAACCTGTTACAAAAAGAATTTCGATTTTACCACATTCCGTTTATGAGATATGAGTAAAAGGTCCAAAAATTGAATAATTCATATAAAATCACATGATGACGTCATCATGACGTCACTGCAATTTTCGTCTATAACACGTCCCGGAATACTTGCATACCAAGTTTGAACCAAATCGGACTTCCGGTTCTGTAGATATAGGGCCTTAAAGTATGCTCTTTGAGGATGACGTCACGTGACACGTGATGACGTCAGCATGACGAAAAGTTTCGGCATACATCTTCAGATGGTGGTCTAAATGTGTGCCAGGTTTGAAGTCGATCGGATTTGAAAAAAGTCCAAAAGTGCGTTGTAGAACGAAAACACGTGTTATCCTATGGGAAAAAAAGTGGAAGAAAAAAAAAAGAGAAACTAGAAATGTGTTTGTGGACAAACACTGAGCTGTTTCGACCGTTTTATTAATGACTGCTGTAAAGGAGTTTCATCCAGGTCGAATGAACATGTACATGCGTATTCTATACAAAAAGTGTCCATCCTATGTAAAAACAAACAAACATTTTTTATGACGTCATGATGACGGCACACATTTAAAAAAAAATTCTGTAACTATCTACGACCTAACAAACTTTTTGCAAAAAAGAATTTCGAATTAACCACGTTCCATTGGTGAGATATGAGTAAAAGGTCCAAAAATTGAACAATTCATATAAATTCAAAAGATGACGTCATCGTGACGTCACTGCAATTTTTGTCTATAACACTTCCTGGAATATCTGCATACCGAGATTGAACCCAATCGGACCTCAGGTTCTCTAGATATAGTGACTTAAACTATGCAGATTTAGGATGATGTCAAGTGACACGTGATGACGTCATGATGCCGTCATGTTTCGACCTGAATCTTCAGATGGTGGTCTAAGTGTGTGCCAGGTTTGAAGTCGATCGGACCGTATTTTATACATTTTTTGCAAAATTTGAAGAAAATATTAAAATTTGAAAAATTCATAAAAAATCAGATGATGACGTCATGATGACGTCACTTCAGATTTTGAATGCTGTTATCTATACCTACCTACCCACCAAGTTTCATAACGATCGGACATACCCTTATATGTGAATCAAAAAATCACGTTTTTGATGACGTCATGATGACGTCACACATTTTACGAAATTGTGTGCATCTATCTATGACCTAACAAACCTGTTACAAAAAGAATTTCGATTTTACCACATTCCGTTTATGAGATATGAGTAAAAGGTCCAAAAATTGAATAATTCATATAAAATCACATGATGACGTCATCACGACGTCACTGCAATTTTCGTCTATAACACGTCCCGGAATACTTGCATACCAAGTTTGAACCAAATCGGACTTCCGGTTCTGTAGATATAGGGCCTTAAAGTATGCTCTTTGAGGATGACGTCACGTGACACGTGATGACGTCAGCATGACGAAAAGTTTCGGCATACATCTTCAGATGGTGGTCTAAATGTGTGCCAGGTTTGAAGTCGATCGGATTTGAAAAAAGTCCAAAAGTGCGTTGTAGAACGAAAACATGTGTTATCCTATGGGAAAAAAAGTGGAAGAAAAAAAAGAGAAAAAAAACTAGAGGTCTATGTCTGTTTGCAACAGAACATAGGGCTTTTCCGCATTATGATTTTTTTTAATCAATAATATGCCCTGAATATTCATGAACATAAAATCTGTCAAAAGAATTTTGCATTTTGCATGTTGCGTTCGGGAGATATGGCTAAAAGGTCCAAACAAATAAATATTCATATAAAATCTCAGGATGACGTCATCATGACGTCACCTCATTTTTAATCTATAACACATCCTGGTATAGCCAAATAACAAGTTTCAACCCAATCGGACTTACATTTCTGTAGATTTAAGACTTCACAATATGAACGTGAATTTTCAAAAATCAATAAAAAATTAGGTGATGACGTCATCGTGACGTCATAGTCTAGGCAGAATTTTTTACGAGGGTCTTCCTTGGCTGTAACTTTGATGACGATTCCAGATCGCCAAGTTATAAAAATGGTGGCTTGAAAACGTGTACAAAGTCAATAGGTTAAAAATCCCACAGCAGAGAAACTGCACCTTTAAATTAGTGATTTGCCTTTAAACTGAAACATTTTTATCAAATATTACTTGATATTCTGACTCTTGGGAATATTTTCAATCAAATGACAGGCGTAAAAAAATACGATTTCTTTTTCCTTCTCATAGTTATTCTCAGCCGAAGTTCAGAACTACTCAGTAAGATATATCAGTGTTGTATAGGAAAAGACTTGTGGAGAAAGCTGTGTACAAAGTCTATGAGAAAAATTAATTATTCATGAATCCATAATAAATCATTTGATGATGACATCATCATGATGTCATAGTCTTGGCCTAATTTTTGTATGAGGGTCTTTCTTGGCTGTAACTTTGATGACGATTCCAGATCGCCAAGTTATGAAAATGGTGGCTAGAAAACGTGTACAAAGTCAATAGGTTAAAAAACTGCACCTTTAAATTAGTGATTTTCCTTTAAACTGAAACATTTTTATCAAATATTACTTGCTATTCTAAATCTTGGGAATATTTTCAATCAAATGACAGACGTCAAAAAAATACGATTTCTTTTTCCTTCTCATAGTAATTCTCAGCCGAAGTTCAGAACTACTCAGTAAGATATATCAGTGTTGTATAGGGAAAGACTTGTGGAGAAAGCTGGGTACAAAGTCTATGAGAAAAATTAATTTTTCATAAATCCATAATAAATCACTTGATGATGTCATCATGACGTCACTTTTCGGGACACATCTTGGCTATAGGGACTATGCTTATGCCAACTTTCAATGATGTCTGACAAAGATTAATGCCAAAAGTGATATAATACGTCCCTGTCTACGCGCATGCATGAACATAAAATCTGTCAAAGATAGCTGAAAATCGGCTAAAACGGTCACTGTGGACAGGATTTGACCTCAGCAACACGTGCGCTGCAGGCTGACTGACATACGATGTATGTACCTATGTACAACGTACGAGCATGTACATGTACATGTACATTGTGGACGTCCTGTCCTGTGCATGTTTTGAAGCAGAGGTATTGTCAACGTGAAGTTTTAAGCGTGCGCAGGGTATGTTCGAGTTCGCTTATCGCCTCGAAACTTTGAAATGTTTTAGACCTACCCTTCAATCGACAATTAAAGTAAAAACAAATATAAAAACTGCCATGGTTGATTTTTCAGGAATTTTCAAATGAAAAAGGGTCTTTTTATTATAACTTCCGGTCTAATGACGTCATTAGCCCAAAACTTCGCACACGTCTTAAGTGGGTCAAGGTCATTATATACACCAATATTTAGGCGATTCCGACAAACTTCGCCACAGACATCTATTCAAAATACATTTTTGCTAATTTTCAACCTGTCGCTAGAGGGCGCTCGAAGATTGCATGACGTCATCGATAGATGATTTGAAGAATTCTATTGGCCAAGAGACTAACACCGTTAAAAGCAAGTTCATTTCTATTACCATTTTCAAATAATAAGCCACTTCCGGTTTGGGCCTTTTTCGACCGGAAGCAAGGGTCACGTGATTGCACGCACACTGAATAAAATGAAGACCTTAACCTGCTCTACAACTTGCCGGCAACAGAATGCTGCGGACGTGTACGGTTGATTTCTTATGCATTTTTAAATATTAAAAGTGTCACAATTTAATTGCCTATAAATAAACACAGGATGACGTCATCATGACGTCATCATTCCACAATGTTGTTTGAATTAGGGTCTTTGCTTGGACAAAGATTGGTGTAAATGAATTACTGGCAAAGAGTCAAAAATGCCCTTTGAAAATCGACAATTACTTTTTAATTTCTGTGTACAAAGTCTATGGGAAAAATTAAATATTCAAAAATCTATAATAAATTAGTCGATGACGTCACCATGACGTCAATCTTCGGGACACATCTTTGCTATAGGGGCTATGCTTATGCTAACTTTGAATGATGTATGACAAAGATTAATGCCAAAAGTGGCGTGTAGAATAAACGTGTACAAAGTCTATGGGGTTTTGGGGAAAAAAGAAGAAGAAGAAGAAGAAGACTAGAGATCTATGTCTGTTTGCAACAGAACATAGGGCTTTTCCGCATTATGATTTTTTTTAATCAATAATATGCCCTGAATATGCATGAACATAAAATCTGTCAAAGTTAGCCGAAAAATCGGCTAAAACGGTCACTGTGGACAGGATTTGACCTCGGCAATACGATGTATGTGCGTGTGCACAAGGTCTTTGCTTGGACAAAGAGTGATCTAAATAAATTACTGGCAAAGAGTCGAAAACGCACTTTGAAAATCGACAAATATTTTTAAATTTGTTGATGACGTCATCGTGACGTCACTTCGAACTTTGCATACTAGTATGATTAACTACCTACCCACCAAGTTTCATGACAATTGGACCTTTCCTTATATGAGTTTTGCAAAATCGCATTTTGATGACGTCATGATGACGTCACACATTTTTTTTCAAGTTTTGTGCAAATAGCTATTACATAACAGACCAAATGCAAAAAAGAATTTTGCATTTTGCATGTTGCGTTCGGGAGATATGGCTAAAAGTCCAAACAAATAAATATTCATATAAAATCTCAGGATGACGTCATCATGACGTCACCTCATTTTTAATCTATAACACATCCTGGTATAGCCACATACCAAGTTTCAACCCAATCGGACTTACATTTCTGTAGATATAAGACTTCACAATATGTACGTAAATTTTCAAAAATCAATAAAGAATTAGGTGATGACGTCATCGTGAGTCATAGTCTTGGCATAATTTTTGTATGAGGGTCTTTCTTGGCTGTAACTTTGATGACGATTCCAGATCGCCAAAATACGAAAATGGTGGCTTGAAAACGTGTACAAAGTCAATAGGTTAAAAATCCCACAGCAGAAAAACTGCACCTTTAAATGCGTGATTTTCCTTTAAACTGAAACATTTTTATAAAATATTACTTGCTATTCTAACTCTTGGGAATATTTTCAATCAAATGAAAGGCGTAAAAAAATACGATTTCTTTTTCCTTCTCATAGTAATTCTCAGCCGAAATTCAGAACTACTCAGTAAGATATATCAGTGTTGTATAGGGAAAGACTTGTGGAGAAAGCTGTGTACAAAGTCTATGAGAAAAATTAATTATTCATAAATCCATAATAAATCACTTGATGACGTCACCATGACGTCACTCTTCGGGACACGTCTTGGCTATAGGGACTATGCTTATGGCAACTTTCAATGATATCCTAAAAAGATTAATGCCAAAAGTGCTATAATACGTCCATGTCTATGCGCATGCATGAACATAAAATCTGTCAAAGTTAGCCGAAAATCGGCTAAAACGGTCACTGTGGACAGGATTTGACCTCAGCAACACGTGCGCTGCAGGCTGACTGACATACGATGTACGTGCCTATGTACAACGTACGTGCATGTACATGTACATGTACATTGTGGACGTCCTGTCCTGTGCATGTTTTGAAGCAGAGGTGTTGTCAACGTGAAGTTTTAAGCGTGCACAGGGTATGTTCAAGTTTGCTTATCGCCTCGAAACTTTGAAATGTTTTAGACCTACCCTTCAATCGACAATTAAAGTAAAAACAAATATAAAAACTGCCATGGTTGATTTTTCAGGAATTTTCAAATAAAAAAGGGTCTTTTTATTGTAACTTCTGGTCTGATGACGTCATTTGCCTAAAACTTCGCACACGTCTTAAGTGGGTCAAGGTCATCATATACACCAATATTTAGGCGATTACGACAAACTTCGCCACAGACATCTATTCAAAATACATTTTTGCTAATTTTCAACCCGTCGCTAGAGGGCGCTCGAAGATTGCATGACGTCATCGGTAGATGATTTGAAGAATACTATTGGCCAAGAGACTAACACCGTTAAAAGCAAGTTTATATCTATTACCACTTTCAAATGATAAGCCACTTCCGGTTTGGGCCTTTTTCGACCGGAAGCAAGGGTCACGTGATTTCACGCACACTGAATAAAATAAAGACCTCAACCTATTCTACCACTTGCCGGCAACAAAATGCTGCGGACGCGTACGGTTGATTTCTTATGCATTTTTGAATATTAAAAGCGTCACAATTTAATTGCCTATAAATACACACCTGATGACGTCATCATGACGTCATCATTACACAATGTTGTTTAAATTAGGGTCTTTGCTTAGACAAAGATTGGTGTAAATGAATTACTGGCAAAGAGTCAAAAATGCCCTTTGCAAATCGACAATTTTTTTTAATCTTCTGTGTACAAAGTCTATGGGAAAAATTAAATATTCAAAAATCTATAATAAATTAGTCGATGACGTCACCATGACGTCAATCTTCGGGACACATCTTTGCTATAGGGACTATGCTTATGCTAACTTTGAATGATGTAGGACAAAGATTAATGCCAAAAGTGGCGTTGAGAAAAAACGTGCACAAAGTCTATGGCATTTAGGCGACAAAAAGAAGAAGCCAAAAAAAAAAAAAAAAATGAGAACAAAAACAAAGGCTTTTCCGCAACTTTGCGGAAAAGCCAATAACAAAAACAAGAGCTGTTTCGGTGTGTACACCGAAACAGCTAATAACATGGAATGGATTTTGTAACATTATAAAAATAACGTAGGCCTACAATTGACTAACTATAGAAAAATGTATTCCGGCATAGTCTAGTTCCGCCCACATGCAGTGGCGTATATCTGTGCCGGGGCTGAAAGGGGGGGGGGGGGTGGTGATGGGGGATGACTCTGAAAATCAAAATAATTGACGGGCCGTGGGAAATTTCAAATGCTACACCTCCGTGTCCTCCAGTTCGAGCTGAGGCCAGATAGGAGTTCCAGCCCTTGCCAACGTCAATTGCGGATGTTTCGTCTGTTAAAACTCGTCGATGTTCCTGGATGCATGATATGTCAATATGTTGTTCTTTGCAGAAATTCGTAAGTTGGTGACGGTGCGAACGTTAAATGTAGCCATTGATACAGATGCTGGGGCCGATGGTGTGGCCTCACGGCCCCGCCGCGCCGGGCAAGGCGCAGGTCCGGTTGAGCAGACACTGCAGAAGATGGAGAATAATGCAATGATCGGTTTGGGACAATAATGTCGGTAAACACAGGAACCGAGACTTATTACAGTGGCATCCTATCCACCCGCTATATAGTCACGACCCGAGAGTTAAACAGAAACGTTTACACCCCCCCCCCCTTAGGCCGCAAAATAATAATAATAAAAAAAATAGCACGGGAATTAATGCTAACCCTTTCCCCTCCTGGCGCCCCCAGCCAAACCTGATCTGCAAACTTGCTTCGGGTTTGAATGGTCAGATTTATATTGTTTCGTCATAGGTCATGGTCTCAACCAAGTTAAGCTGGGACTGTACCAACATAATGTGTCCCTGTTGGAACACTTTAGGGGCTATTCAGAATTTTCAATGTTTTACAATTTCGATCTTTTTTCCAAATTGTGGGTGGGTGGGTCAAGCTAAATAATTGAAAATCGAAATTCACTTTCCATGGAAAAAAAAGATAAAAAAACAAAGAAAGATAGATCTTTTGACTTGCCTGAACTACGCACAAGCGTTCCGATATCGCGATGCGTGTTTCTTTTCCAACTTCGTCCCCTGTATGTACTGTCAGTGGTGTAGCCAGGAATTTTTCAGGGGGGGGGGCTCGGGGGGCTGGAACATTTCATGGGGGGGGGGGCGTCATGTAGATCAATGATAATTTTTTTAGAAACTCAAAATCTCAGTGGGGGAGGCGACTGGGGGGGACAAGGTTTCATGGGGGGGGGGGGGGGCTGTCGCCCCCCACGGCCCCCCCCCCCCCGCCCGTGGCTACGTCACTGCAGGTCATACAGTTAAAGTTAATGTAAACTTGTATGAAAAGTCATCTATTTGACACCAAGTTTGTGTTAACTTGCCGGTAACGCCCTAACAAATTATCCATACAAATATGTTTATTTGGTAACATTTTATGGTCGTCTGTCGGTCTTCTATGCTGTTATGTTTACTGTTTACCTTCAATGGTACTATGTTTAATTAACCTGTTCATTTGTTTAATTAAACTAATAACGCACATATAGTTGCCAAATATGGCACTAACAAGTTTGAGGTCGGCAATTTCGTCTTTAAAAATCTGGGTACGTCGGGTTACCGTACAAACAATTGTCCTGGAAACAACAGTACCAAAGTACAGAACGTCGTACGCAAGAGCTCCCCAGCAAGTATCGCTGACGCCATTATGATTCCAAAATTTTTCACTGGGTCACACAGTGAAATAACTAAACAGCGTCGTTGTATTGTGAACACATAAAAGCATTCAAGTCGCGTTCTTGCACACTTTCTGCAAGTCGACATAGATATCCTTGAACCACTGCCCCTGCTTTGCATAACAAGTACACATGAATGAACGATTCGACTTTTATTCAAAGAAATTTCTTTGTACAGTCACCAGACTTTATTCAGTAAAGTCTCCGTCAAAACGAAAGTAATCAACGTGCACAACGCATGGCTACACCATCGTACAGTGTGGCAGGGACACCAACAAGTTACACAACAACTAAAAAATTAAAAAAAAAATTGATAAATATTCTGATTGAATTTCGTTAAAAGATACTTGTTGGTGAGGTATCACATATTCTAGCAAATTGATAAAAATGTACAATATTGCAATATGCAATTTTGAGGGAAATGGGCAAAATAGTGCATAAATAATTTCACTTGATCATATTCATAATACACAAACCGACAATTTTCATGTTCAGACCCACAACGAGAAATATTGTTAACACTGGGCTTATTGTGAGGAGTTGTGCTGGGAATCCATGAAGATGTTATTTTCAACATAATTTCTAAACAATTTAATGGGACATTCCGTGACATGAGCCTTCCAGATCTAATAAATAAATACGAACTAATAAATAAATACTCTTACAACCCAACAAACAAACAAACAAACAAACAAAACAAACAACCAGACTCAATAACGGGAATGAATGACAAACGGGCTAAAAAGATTATTACAAACAAAACAAAACAAAACCGAGAAACAAAAGCAATCCCATTCCCCAGAGAGAAAAATGCAAACCATAAAAACAAACAACCTAGTTGACATACATAGGTCTACACTCACATTAAATACCCACACTAACACTAACCCACACTGGAACATTTCATGGGGGGGGGGGGCGTCATGTAGATCAATGATAATCTTTTTAGAAACTCAAAATCTCAGTGGGGGGGGGGGGGCGACTGGGTGGCGACAAGGTTTCATGCTGTCGCTGTCGCCCCCCCCCCATGCCCCCCCCCCCCCCCCTGTGGCTACGCCACTGTGTACTGTACATGTACGTCATGTAGGCCTACGTGTATCCAATCGCTATAAAAAAATGGACTATTCAACCACTGGACTCCACGACTACGAGGACCGCAGCCTGTGGGGGGGGGGGGGGGGGGGGGGGGGTACGAGCGAATGTTTTTCTCAGCTATCTCACGTGACAGGCACAACCTCGTATGTCACATGTCATCCACCTCATCCAGAAAACGACAAAACCACGGTCATCTTTGTGGCTTCCAAAACTGCAACCTGTCATTTCCAACAGCATATCAGCTGGCAAGACACAAGAAAACTGAAGGTCACCAGTGCAAAAGAGGAAGACCGACAACTTCACGCCGTCACTGAACTAGACACACATGTACATGGTGTTCAAGTACATGTACATGCAAGTGCATGTACATGTACATGTTCAGTTTTTTATTAATCGAAATTAGGGGTGGGTGGGTGGGTCAAAATAATTTGGAAAAAAAGTCGAAATTTTAAAACATTGAAAATTCTGAATGGCCCCTTAGTTGGGACGAATCGATCCAGCTTAGGTACGTTGGGCCGTCCTAAAGTTGGAACCGAAGCTTAGTCTACTGGCTGGAGCGGAACAAAATAACACTGTGACTGCATGCCGCGCCAGAGCACTGCGACGGGCATCGCTTCGTCTGTTCAGACATCAGGAACTGTTTGTGTTCCAACGGTATAAAGAATTTAGACAAACTCACGAACCTTTCTTTATTATAGAATTTGATATCAAATGTCTTTAATTCTTTTTAATATGTAGGCCTACGGGCCTATAACAGCGCAACTTTATAATGTTCAAATACACAAGGGTACAGCCGATGTCCCTTGGACCTTGCTCGACTGCACAGGCCAATATTGTCACGTTGTTAACATCAATGAACTTTGGAATTACGAACTTAAGATATAAATTGAACGTTAAGCATTGGTTGATTCTCGGTTTGTCCAAAATCTATGGCTGCGATCAGTGGCACTGTCGTTGGTTTTGAGACCACACATAAAGCGTTTGGAGTAAATCGCGCAGTATGCTACAAGAGCTCAGCTGTTAATTTTAATATCATGCAATAGGGTCTAAGGTGAGTAGTATAAACAACATCGACGAAAACAATTTGTTTTCTCCATGTGAAAAACTACGCTAAATCACTCAGTGTAACCTAGACAAACAAGCGGCAAAGATCATTTTCCAGCTACGATTGGTGAGATATTCATTATGCCAATGCAACCGTTTGAAAACTTCCGATGTAGGCCTTAGTACTAGCCGCGTGTGGAATATTATACCTTGTACACATTATGACTACAAGAAGACAAGCTGACCTCGAATACCTAACTTCGCTCGTACCCCCCCCCCCCCCCGCCCTGCAAACAGGACGCTGGGATACTCTGATGAGCTTCACAAAATCTTGTGAAGGAAGTGGCCTATGACCTATGTAAAAAGCATCTGGCTGCAGCTAGCTGTTCAAGACCGCAGTTGGACAATGTGCGCAAATACTATCCGAAAACTTCCCATAAAAATGCGCACATTCCATACCGGATGTGATTTCTGTTTCATTGCGGACCATGTGGACAACATTATGAGCGTCGTATAATGCAATCCGACCGTTCGTGATTTAAACGGATCCTGAGCAAGTGACGGGAATTGTAAATTTACAACACAGATAAGTTTTACAGAATTTCCCACATTATTACGCTTTTCAACGAGAAAAACATCTCTCAACTGGAATAAAAGAGAAATGAATCAGTCTAAACGGCCGTTTCAAACCTTGCAGAGTCATGACCTTGATGACGCGCAGGTCACTGGTCACGCAAAATCCAACCAATCAGAGCGTGAATTCATCAGAGTATCCCAGCGTCCTGTTTGCAGGGCGGGGGGAACGAGCGAAATACTCAACAAGCCAAATGGTATTATTTTAAAACTACGCCATTACATGCTATCCATGCCGAATTCAAATAAGTGGCACGGCGTATATAGAACAGGCCTGAGTTTTGTTAAATGGAGTAGTTAAATGGAACTTGGCACTTTGTTTAACTGGCATTTTCTAAATTCTACCCAATTGTAATTTTCTTGGTTTAGTCTTAGCGGATTAGATTTCTGGGTCACTGTTGGTGTTTTGTTTTGCCAGCCAAAAATCTTGGTGGACTGAATTTTATTGAGATACTTGTGACTGGGACACGCACGCGGGTACATGCAGGGTTATATACAATCATGTCTAGATAATGTACAACGGGCTACAGTTTATGCTTTGGTTCTGCATGAAGTTCTGCATTTTATTTTCGGTTCCTTCCAGTCATTCCAAAGTTTATCTTATTATTTGTCTTTCTGTATCTCGTATTATGGTTCTTGTGCATTTCAGTTGTGCGTCAACACTCTCACTATGAACGCAACCGACATTGTCACCGGAGCCCTGCAGGTACGCATTGACGGGGTGTGCCGCGGTGGCCACGGTGGAGAATCTCTTGTTTGCTTGTACCAGCCGTCTCAGAATGAAGTATTACGGCTTCCTCATCAACCTGACGCTGGCTGACTTGTTCTACGCCGTCATGGCCATCGCATTCACTTGGGGAGGAACCGAAATTCTCTTCTCTATCTTCTTCTCAGGTTATTTCGTCGGCATTTGGACGATCCTTGCCGAAGGCATCAACCGCTACCTGGCTGTGTCCTTTGTGGACACGGCTCGCTACGATGTGTTGGTCACCAGGAACCGCTTGGTGGCAGTCTGCGTTCTCATTTGGATCGTGTCACTCACGATCCAGATCGTTCCGGAATTCGTGCCGCACGGCCCAGGTGAAGCCCTCTTTGAAGGAGTGATCAAGCCCACGATTGTGTACTTATTTTGGTTGATAACCGCCGGTCTTTACGTCGCTGTGTTCTGGAAGATCAAGAGTTTCACACAACGTGTCACCAGCCCGGCATTGCAGCCCAGCCAGGATGAATTCATCGACCGAGCGCGTCAGACCCGCCGCTTGCTGGTCACTTTCACTGTCATTCTAGTCACGTCGTTCTTCTGCTGGATGCCGTTCAGCGTGATGCAGATGGTAACACACTTTCACGAAGACTTGAAGTACCAGGAGGAAGTCTACTGGCTGACTGGCGTGTTCTACTGTCTGGCCCCGGTGATCAACCCTTGGATCTACTGGATACGACTGGATAGTTTCAGAGAGGGTTGCCGCAAAGTTTTCTGCGGTTGCTTCACACGGGACTCTAGTGCAGTCCTCGAGTCCGTCGTAGACACAGACGTCTTGTAGAAGAATCTTTGCCGTGGTCTTAGTCCTTGGTGGATGAGCATGGGCGTCGCCAGGACTTGTCATGTTTGTAGAGGATGATGGCATTATTGTAAAGCGGGGAGGCGGAGGGGGTTGGACATAATGGTGGATGACATATCCTGATCTAAAATGATGGCGTCGGATTAAATGTCATGATTAAAACTTCATTAATTTTTATAAAATCATATTTTTTAACGTCTATAGTTTATGAATTTACTTAGATTTATATACAACATACGATTTTTGCCCGTTTCTTTAATTTTCACGTTAGAAAACAAACTAACTTCAGGAATTTCGTACTAGTCAGAGACAGAATTAACAACAGCAGAAGAAAGTTAAGTTTCTTGTCACCTCTTTTGTCATCCTCCACAACTTTCCTTCAAATAAGAAACTGAACACAAACATTCGCAGAACAAGATGAACAACTGAACATACTTTTTAAAAAAACCTGCAGTATATATTCACAAATTAAGTGAATAATAGGGAAGAATCTGTAAAATAGACTTTGGAAGAACAAGATGAGTGAAAGTAAAGTTTGAATGGTACTTGCGGGGTTATGTTCACAGGCTATTCCATGAGTGAAAGGATATGATGTCAACTATACGGCAGTGATATTGAAGGACGCAAGTATTGACATTAGATAATAAAGACATTTAATTCAATTGAACATAGTATACAGCTGCTGACGCTACGATCTGAACTAAAACCCTGCACATTGATAAGTTAAATCCAAGACCCACTAACTATATAAGGTGAATTACAATAATTAGTATACCTTTCTGCTATTGTTTTTTTTAAATTTAATTCATTCTAATGCAGGTCATGTAATAATACCCCACAATTGAATACTTTTTAATGTATACCAAAAGCCGATTTCAATTGGAAGTGCGTTAACATGTATATGATAATTATTTGCCCTCATTTGCATTTCTTTGATTTGAAGAAACAATATTTCTCAAGATCTCGACCAAAACAGTCACCGAGTAGCGTGCGAAACAACCAATATGTTGAAATTGCAGCTCTGTGGATAAAATATACATTTGGAGAAAAAGAAAAAGTTTGCAAAATAAAACAGAAATTTATTTTTTCTTCTGTTAAATATCATTATATAATATTTTTTTTATAATGTAAACAAAAGGATCTTCCCCAAGTGAATGCGATGGCCATGACGGCGAAGAACAAGTCAGCCAGCGTCAGGTTGATGAGGAAGCCGGGCGAAATAGTAATCCGCCCGGGCGAAATAGTAATCCGCCCGGGCGAAATAGTAATCCGCCCGGGCGAAATAGTAATCCGCCCGGGCGAAATAGTAATCCGCCCGGGCGAAATAGTAATCCGCCCGGGCGAAATAGTAATCCGCCCGGGCGAAAAAGTGGGCCTAAAAAAATATTTTCGGTCATGTCCTAAATACGCTTCCGTAGTCAGAATCTTAGATTCATCAGGAATAGTCAGAATCTTTTGGTCTGGGAACCAGACTACTCAGGGGAAGGGCGCCGCTGACGGCAGGTAGGAAAAAAATTTAAAAAAAAGAAAAAAGTTGGCACTAACGGGCTTTCGTATGTTATCAATTATAAACGCACATGTACATTCCTGCATTTCTTTGCAAAAGACTTTAATGCAAAGAAAGAGGCAAGAATTTCCAGAGTGTTTATGTGAGCCTTATTACCTTCTTGAGGTGTCCAATGACCCCCTGTTCGTATGCCATTACAAACAGCGCCCCATCCTGAAAGGGATGCATCTGAAGTAATGAAAACATTTGGCTTTGAGTTTATTACACGTAAACTTCTACTGGCTTCAGTGGAGTATTTTCAATCCACCAGTTGAGGTCGTTTAATGCCTCTTGTGACAAACTCATTTGAGTATCGAAATGTCCGTCACTTTGTTGTAATGCTCTTATTTTGTCTTTTTCGACATGCCGGTAATACAGTTGGCCAAACATTACACCTGGGAAATTGGATAGTGCCAACAACCTGAGCCACTTCTCGTATAAGCACAGACTCTTTTGCAATCAAATGTTGACATTTTCCCTGAAGTTTTTTCTGCTTTATGTGATGTTGGGGAAATCAACATATCTTTGGATTTAAACATGAAACCTAGGAAAGTTATTTCCTGTTCGGGAATAAATCCCGAGTTTTGTCGTGAACTACAAAGCCTGCTTGGGCCATGAGTTGTTTTTCTGCTTTATGTGATGTTGGGGAAATCAACATATCTTTGGATTTAAACATGAAACCTAGGAAAGTTATTTCCTGTTCGGGAATAAATCCCGAATTTTGTCGTGAACTACAAAGCCTGCTTGGGCCATGAGTTGTTTTGTCGCCATCACATTCTCATAACATTCTTCGTATGTTTTCCCAAACAATAAAGAATCATCAATGTACGCAACTGATTGAAAACCTTGGCTTCTGAGAGCCGAGTAGATGGGTTTCACTAGTTGGGTAAATAAACGTGGAGCTGAAGCAAGCCCGTTTGGGAGACAGCTGTACTGATACATTTTATCACCCCACTGACATTTCAGAAATGTTCTATGTTCAGTTGCAATTGGCACTGAATACTATGCGTCTCTCAGACCGATCGATGCAATGAAACAGCCATTTGTCGTTACATTTATCGCCGATTGCAATGTTTCCATCTTAAAATGGTGGTAATTCACATGTCGATTTAACGACTTTAAATTCAAGATCAGATTGTTCATCCCGAGGATTAACAGTCAAGCCATTTCACAGACATTTCCGTAATGTAGTGAGCTGAGTTACGTAATAAACCACCCGCGTGTCCGTGGCTGTGCGGTTCACCCACACAGACACGAGGGCAGTCCGAAACATAGCACACTTGAGTAAAGACGTTCATGGTTGTTCTGTCCTGTGTACGAGACTCAACACGCCGCCAGCCAGCTACTAGGTAAGGCCAAAAAAAAGTCTCCGGTTTCTGGTATGCGCGCGCGTCGCCGTAGCCATGCGCGTCGGCAAAATAAAAAAGTTTTTTTTTCAATGAAAGATGATGTCTCAAAACCGCCAAACTCACTGGTTTGACTGGAATTCTGCTGCTGCACAATTTTAACGTGTTTTTAGATTGGGTTATGGTCGAGAATAAGCTTTATGTGGCCTCTCTAGACTCCCATATATTTGCACTAAGTTTAGTCGGGCACCATTTGCAGTCATCAGCACACATTTGAAGCAAAAAAATCAGGTAAAAAAAAAAAAAGCCGCGTCGCCGCACCACTTTTTGGGCAAGCTCCATACCAGAAACCGGAGACTTTTTTTTTGGCCTAAGCGACGCTTGCGGCCAATACAACATTGGCGACGGGGATAATTCAGTGCGTGCATTGCAACATTACGTTTCGGTTATGTAAGTACGGTTTAGGATTCTTTTTGGGTCGTCTTGAAAATTCAAGACACAAATTTTTCAACAAGAAAAGAATTCATAGTATAAATTAATCAATTCTTGTTGTTAAAGTTAGCGATTTAAGGTTCGCTATTTCTGTGTTTCAGAACAAGCGATAAATAAAACAAAAGTGCCGGTATTTTCTGCATTTGTTGGAAGTACCAATTATTGTCGATACCATTTGTGTATATATGTACTTATTAATGTGTTGTATGAATACCTTTATTATTGTATAAATAATAAAACTGCTTAAACCGCTGCTTTGCGTAGTGCGTTTTTCCGCATTACCGGGACATTTACCGAGCAAACAATTTCCAAACCAACGTAATTACTGTTAATCTGGTCAAACTGCTGTGCGTCACTCCCAACAGAAGGCGTTAACAGTAAAAGCGAGTGACTGTCCATAGACGGACATTGCTGAGCAGTTTTATTCCCTAATATTGTCAAGTAAATTTAATACCTTTCAGGACATAGTTTTGGTTAGCCCCATAAATGTGGCCAGTTTACTGGACTACCTCCGTAAACATAGGCCACACGTCCACCATGTACAAAAACATGTCGAACTTTGTCAAATTTTCATTTTCACATTTAGGCTTAGTTTGTAGTTTATTTTTGCTCTAGAAGCATACTCACCCTCTTTATAGGCTAATCAGAAAGTGCTGCCCTTTTCAGATGTCTAATTTTTGTGAAATTTCATGTTGAAATTTTGATACGAAAACGTGGGAAAACAAATCTTAAAGTTTCACAAAAAATAGACATCTAAAAAGGCAGCACTTTCTGATTAGCCTTTAAAGAGAGTAAGTATGCTTCTAAAGCAAAAAATCCTACAAATTAGGCCTAAATGTGAAAATCAAGATTTGACAAAGTTCGACATGTTTTTGTACATGTGGACGTGTGGCCTATGTTTACGGAGGAAGTACAGTAAATTGGTCACATTTATGGGGCTATGATTCATCATGAGTATAAACATCAATAAGGCCTCTGTTAAGGAACTCACTACCTTGCCAGAGATTGGGATCAAGCCATAATATCCTTCAGGGAAGAAAAAGGGTTCGTAACTTCGTAACCATAGACGGCTTTCATGAGACCCCCACCTTGCAATCCAAACTAAACGGACTAGCTGACTGTCACAAGTTGATTTTAAAAGGTCTTGTGAATATTTAATTTCCAGACTTATACTGTATAGCTTTTTCTTTTTGTGATTGTATTACGGGGAAGCGACCCCAACCTAATTGATATATATACTGTGAAACTTTTTGTGATTGTCTTACGGGAGAGACCTCAACCTAATAAGCCATTTGCGTGTAACCTATACCCTTTGGGATTTACATTTGAAAAACGTCTGGTACAATGACTTGCTCAGAATGCTTGGCACATTTTAACTGTGAATTCTCCAGACCAAAGACACTGTTGCTAATCACATGATTCGGGGCAAGCTCTTGCATAGTTACGTAAGAGACGCTCAGCACCAATACATCGTTCACAATGGGTGAGAATGGCACAAAGACACCAGACCATGCCGGAGCTGGGGGTTGCTCATTGAATGACGTGATATAGTAACAGTCTCTTTGGTCGGGAGAATGCTAGGTTAAAACGTGCAAAGCATTGTATTAAGTCAGCGTTCCAGATTTTATTCAAATCTAACACGCAAGTGGCTTATTCACATACTGTGAAACTGTTTTGTGTGATTGTATTAAGGGAGAGACCCAACCTAATTTTTTTGATGTATTAGAAGTCCACGAAGTTGGAATTGGGGTAATCTTATCATGACTTGACTCCAGTTGAACACTTTGGCATTACAATGTATAAGCTGTTAATCCTATAAGTATTTTACAATGGTGGGATTTAACTGAGCAGTCCGTGCCTGTCAGTAGATTAACTTAACATGTTTTGAGGTTTTGAAATACTTTTAGACCATCAGTCTTGGGTATAAAATCCAGATCTAAACCAGGGTTTTTGGGACGTAACGTCTGGTTTTGGGATCTCCGCACACTGTGAGATAGACATCCTCGGCGGGCCGAACTCAAGTCGACCATACCAGCAGGATTGTCAGCAAGGTCACACGTGGGCAGAGGACGCTACGGACACAGACGGTATACTACCAGGGCATGCAGGCACCGGTGCACCACAACCACACCAATCCGAACACTTCACACGGACCGTTGATTTGGGCCCACTTTCGTTGATTGTTTTGTAATGTATTAATAATGATGTATTTATTTAGTTTCTTTGTAGGATGAAATTTAAGTGTATGTTAATATTGGTGATATTGTGAATTAAATTAATCTTGAAATTATATACAGATCTGTCCTTCTTTCATTTTGTCTGAGTTGAGTCTTTACCATCAGAGTTTGATCTAAAGTACCATTCCGGGGTCCTCCTGGTTGAAGGGGATCTTGTGACACTGACAACCAATCGATAAGGCAAACAAAATAAAAATAAGTCGGTCTCTGGTCAGCGCGCGCGTCGATTTTAATCATGCGCGTCGATCTTTTTTTTCCCCCAAAATGTTCCACGGTAACTCCAACAGCGCCCTCTATTTCCGCACCTCCTCAATTTTTTTTTACCAAAGAGCACCAAGCAATGGGAAATTGCACCAAGGCAAATGATCGAAAGCACCAAGGCAAATTATGGAGGACACCAATGTACATGAGGACACCAAAATAGCAAAATAGTACCTACCTTGTCTGTACAATCCAAGCTTGAAGAAGAAAAAAAAAAAGCCGCGTGGCCGCGTCAATTCCGGAACTTTGGTCTGACCAGAGACCGAATATTTTTTTTTTTTTTGCCTAATCCTGAAATACGCCGATAACCTGCCTGACCAAAATGGCGAAAACAGCCAAAGCAGCACAGACACAAATGAAACCGCTAAAGCAATCACTATGCTCGCAAACCAAATGCAAATGTTCATGCAATCAGTTGAAATGAACACAACAAAAACTATCACTGCCATTCAAGAACTCGGCCAGAAGTTGGATGCTAAAGAATCTACAAATCCAACCCCACCCTCTTTCGAGAATGGGCAGAAAGTCCTTGCTTTGAAAAAGACCAGCAAACCACTGGGGACCAAAATGATTGATGCAACACTAAAAGTCATTGAAGCCCCACCACTACCGCCACACATACAAGACCGTAGCCAGTCCAACCCTCAATGGTATGAGAACACTAGTACTGAGGTACGAAAGCCCATTCGTACTGAGGCGATACTGGGGAACAAAAGTATAATCCCACACAAGCCAGTAACTAGTGAGAGTTTCGTGATTGCGCAATCTGAACAAAAGCCAGTCCCCCCCCCCCCAACACTATGCATGTATACAGGGAATTTTATTCTTCGTAATTTGTACAAGACACATTTTGGAGCACTGCACATCTGCAAGTTTAACCAGTATATATCACTTGATGAACTTTACATAAATCGTCAAAATTAATTCGTCACAATTTAGCCTATCGTAGTAAAAAGTTTTGGACATTTGCTCATCGCAAAACTTTTTTGGATCTAGATGCTCTGTAGTGCAATCTGAGGCATTTCTTGGCCACTTTCCCCTGACTTTTTGAATGAAATGTATTCGTGTTTTAGTGGGTGGGTCATCAAAGATGATAAATTACATCACAAGCATCACATCAAAACTGTAGCTTGACTCTCTTTCTAGATTTGTTTCTAGCTTGATCCATGATTGTGTTTACAGGGAAAGGGCGTAATCATACATGTCGCCATGCACTACACGTTAAGTTAAATGGAATTTAACCATGAATTTTAGATTTCCTCAGACTTGTACTTGTGTTTTCTTTAAAAGAAGTGGTTTTAAATAGCAAGGAAGAACCGGTATTGTGCAAGCAAAATTCAGGGAATAATCCGTTGATACTAATATCTTGTTGGAAAATTCCAAAATCATTTCAAGAAAATTGCCGCCGTGAATCAGAGTTTAAGAAGGGACGGAAAGTGGGATTTGCTATCAGCATCAACAGGGCCGTTCCTTATTATTTACCTTTTATGGGATGTGAATCAAATTGGAGGACGAGAGGCTCTGCGGGCTGATGTATTTTTTAGAAATTTAATTCACCGGTATGGATACCAGTGTACGTACATGATTGAACTGCCGAGCATTTTTTTTTTATAAAAAAAAAATACATCAGCTCGCAGAGTCTCTCATCCTCCAATTGATTCACATCCCATCAGGTAAAGAATGACGAACGGTCTTGTTGATAGCAAATCCCACTTTCCGTCCCTTCATAAACTCTGATTCACAGCGGTAATTACTTTCTTTGAATGATTTTGGAATTTTCCAACAAGATATTAACTTCAACGGATTATTCCCTGAATTTTGCTTGCACAAAACCGGTTCTACCTTGCTATTTTTTCATTTAGAAAACCACTTCTTTCTAAGAAAACACAAGTACTAGTCTGAGGACAACTAAAATTCATGGTGGCGGCCAATCGCCATTCCGTTTAACTTAACATGTAGGCCTAGTGGCGACATGTATGATTACGCCCTTTCCCTTTAAACACAAACACAAAAACAAAACAAAACACAAAAACAACACAAGAAAAATTTGGGGGAGGGCAACGGGGGCCATGCCCCCCCCCCCCAAAAAAAAAATGGAACCCATTTTTTTTTTCAGTGTCGTCGCAATCGAGGCAGGTACTGCATACACCACCATCTTTTCCTTTAAAAAAAAAATGGTTAAAGTGGTCCGAAATTGCCTCAGATCGCACAACAAAGCATCTAGAAACCAAAAAAAAAAAAATTCACCCTTGGGGCCATGCAAGGCCTTGTATACATTAAAAACAATTAAACTCCACCCGTGACGTCACCCTATTGTCCTAGCGCTCCATTATTTTGCCCGAATGGAGCGTTGGAGGCGATACCTCTCCATTCTTTTGGAAGGTAATAAAGCCTCCATCACTCCATTCCTACAAAATAATGGAGCGGGAAATAAAGAAACACCAAAAATGACACAGTTATAGTCTTACACCGTTTCTCAATGATGATTTTATGCATTTTCTTATACATTTCGTACAATGCTTACGTTAGTCGAGAACCATTTTTTTTCTCATACAGATTTTTTTCGTAGGCCCTACACCGTTTCTTAAATGGAATTTTAGGCATCATTCTTTACGTGAAAGTCAATATAACCATATTTTTTATACAGTATGCTACACCGTTTTGCAAATAGAATGTTATGCATTCTCGTATACAATTTCTTAGTGTTGAGGCGAAAGTCAAGAACCATTTTTTTCTTGTTCATAATGTTTGCACAAAGTAATGTTACATGTAACAATATAAACGTTTCAGTGATATGTTTCACATTGAAAGCAAATGTTTTGACAAGGTTCGCAGTGCAATTTATTTCTCAATCTTGTTCCTGGGTTTCAATGCCTAGCATGCAGTCCTAGAAATTCTTGATCGGCAAGAACTCAACATCCTGAAGAAATGTGTAGGTCTTTTCCATGGTGTCCAAGAAAAGTTGAAGGAAAATCACAAGTTCGTGCAATGTAAATCCGGCCTGGAACACTTGTAGCCATTTTGCACACAAAAAAAAAACCACCAAAATCTTAGTCTTGCAATTTTGAGTGGTTTTAGCTCGTCCTTCCTTGTCCAACGATGAGTAGTTTTACTAGTCTCGAGTTACGTTGGTAATGCCGTCGACGAAGTAGTCCGACTGGAGACTGCCCGCTAGTTTTGACCTTCTTCGTGACACTATCCACAGGCAGAACTAGGAGAAAACAAAATCAGAAAATTAGTTTTTGGGGTCAAACAATAAGACGGAAGCATAAGTTCATATTCCTGTAAATCTACTTAAGTCTCACAAAGCCGTTAAAAGCACAGGTACCTTTTACAATTACAAAGTGACGACACAGAAAGCTTCGAATTAGAACAGTTTTAGTGCAAACACGATGTCTGAATAAACTTTATCAGATAGCAAATTAAAGAAGAGCTTAATGTATCTGACATTATCGTGCTCAAAATACAACATTTAAATTTTTCTGATTTTATTAGCTGTTATTTCTACTTAACAAAAAGGGTACTTCTTACCTTTATACTCATTCATGCAATCTTCATATTCATTTGGAGTGTCGAAATGGTCTTTCATATCTTCCAGGCAAAATTTGAAGCGGCCGGCAAATTATTATCCGATATATCCATGGAGCTAGTATCAGCACCGTATCAAAGACAGTTCCCTGGCACGCTTTAATTCCACTGTATCTCACGTATTTTTATCATAACAGTCCTAACGTCTTGAGATTGAAAACTGCGTGTCAGACACGCTAGTCAAGAACGAATGCATGGTGCCTTGGTGGGGTTTAGCATTTATACCAAGCGCGCCTAGAATCCAGCATTGTATTGGTTACGTAAGAACATTATGCTAACATACTATTCGCAGTCCAATTCTGTACAATTCCTTTGAATGCATTTTACAGTTACGCAATAAGACAAAACGTGTGTCTTTGTATGAAACAAAGTCGCTCCATTCGTGCAAAATAATGGAGCGCTAGGACAATAGGGTGACGTCACGGGTGGAGTTTAAGTCGAATAATGCCGCTCGGTACCGCGCCATTCGTGGGTAAGAATGGCCCTCGGGCTTCGCCCTCGGGCCATTCTTACCCACGAATGTCGCGTACCTCGGGCATTATCCTTTACAGATATGCCTGTTATTATTGGTACGGCCATAGCCGTACCTGCCGTACCGCTTCCTACGGCCTATTGTCAGTTCAGTTCTCTTGCTTTGTGGCCGTTCTGTTTGAGCGGAGTTGAGGGCGGGGTCAGTAAATACTTGTATCCCATTGCCTGCCATGTGTACGTACCAACGCACGTTCGTCAAAAACGCATGAACACTATTTACACAAGCACTCAATTTGCAATTGGGCGTCTATGTGTTTGTCATTCCAGATATTCATCTAGTAAGGGAACGACGTACGTTGAAACCATGAACGCCAGCGACATCATCACTGGAGCAAGGTACGCACTGACGGGGATTGCCGCGGTGGCCACGGTGGAGAATCTCTTGGTGTTAGTGGTGTTTGCTTGTACCAGCCGTCTCAGAATGAAGTACTACGGCTTCCTCATCAACCTGACGTTGGCTGACCTGTTTTACGCCGTCATGGCCATCGCATTCACTTGGGGAGGATCTGAAATTCTCTTCTCTATCTTCATCTCGGGCTACTTTGTCGGCGTTTGGACGATCCTTGCCGAAGGCATCAACCGCTACCTGGCTGTGTCCTTTGTGGACACGGCTCGCTACGACGTGTTGGTCACCAGGAACCGCTTGGTGGCAGTTTGCGTCCTCATTTGGGTCGTCTCAGTCGCGATCCATGTCCTGCTGGCTATCCTGCCGGACTCTGACTTTGAATCCAACTTTGACGGAGTGATCAAGCCAGTGACTGTGTTCGTCTTTTGGCTGATAACCGCCGTTCTTTACATCGTCGTTTTCCGTAAGATCAAGGGTTACACTACTCGTCTCGAATCCAGCCCGTCATTGGAGACATCATGCATCGAAGAGCAGGTCAGCACCCGAGTGCGTCAGACCCGCCGCTTGCTGGTCACTTTCACTCTGATTCTAATCACGTCATTCATCTGCTGGATGCCGTTAAGCGTGATGAATATGGTGGCCCACATTCACAGAGATTTGGAGTATCAAAATGCAGTCTTCTGGCTCACTGGAACGGTCTACTGTGTGGCACCGATGATCAACCCTTGGATCTACTGGATGCTGGTGCCTGGTTTCAGAGAGGGATCACGCCAAATGTTCTGCAGGTGTTTCAATCGTGAGGTTCCTGCAGGCGATGAGACTGTCTTAGAAACTGGCATGTAAAAGAACATTAAATTGTGGTATACGTAGTTGACAAAAGAGTTTCCAATACTATACTTTGATTTAAAGGTTTACGCTGTTGTTATCGTCAGTTGTAATATTTGAAGGTTTTGCATATTTAGTAGCCCCGTAAATGTGGCCTTTTTGCTGGACTACCTAGGCCACACTTCCACATGTACAAAAACGTGTCCAACTGTGTCAAATTTTGTTTTTCACATTTAGGCTTAGTTTGTACAGTTTTTTGCTGTAGAAGCATACTCATCCTCTTTATAGGCTAATCAGAAAGTGCTGCCTTTTTCAGATGTCTATTTTTCGTGAAATTTCCAGATTCATTTGCACACGTTTGCGTATCAAAATTTCAACATGAAATTTCACAAAAAATAGACATCTGAAAAAGGCAGCACTTTCTCATTAGCCTATAAAGAGGGTGAGCATGCTTCTAAAGCAGAAAAACCCCACAAACTAAGCCTTAATGTGAAAATCAAGCTCGACACGTTTTTGTACACGTGGAAGTGTGGCCTATGTTTACGGAGGTAGTCCAGTAAATTGGCCACATTTATGGGGCTACATATTTAGTAGTGTAAAGGTTACATGAATACAATAGAATCAAGGAATTCGCTGTCGAGTGCATGGCGAGACGGCTTCGTACCTCTCCAATCTTGCAAGCTTGCTTCAGTATATATACAGTTATGATTCATATGAATTTTTTGTTGTCGCACAAATTCGGGAAAACAGGGAGTTTTTCTTAGCGATTTAACGGAATTTGTTTAAAGCGTGTATCGGTTTCGACTTTCCAGGACTGAGTCTCGGGCAAATTATGGCGGGAAAATTTGTAATGAGAGTTGGCAATACATTTACACATACATTTACCAAGAGTTTGTACTAAGATGACCGAAAAGGTATTTATGAATGCAACCTCGTCCCCAGTGCTTACTTTATTTCCAACTTCGTTTCCAAAAGTAAGCCCTGCAACCTTCTTCCTGTATCCTGATTCGATACCGCAATTGGCTAGAAATGGATATAGGCTATATCGTGTACTTGGTGTTGTTATTCACAACGTGCAGTACGTGTTTTCGCGATCATTCGTCCACGCCTTCCTTAAAATATTCATTTCCTTTCAAATTTGTTAATATTAATATGAAATTTAATAATGCATGTTGTCTCGTTAAGATCGTAACAGTTTAATTAAAATAAAATCGTATTTTCGTAACTCATGCCCTGCCCGCGTTTGCGGCTGCGACGAATTGAATCTGTTTTTACCCCAGACACCGCTTATAAAAACAAATGCAAATGTAATACACAAAAAAAAACACAGAGTGAACTTAGCAGCATGGATACTGATATTGGACTCTGTCATATTGATATAGAAATAATAGTTATCTGTTTCAGAGTCTGATTTTGTTAAGCATGACTGCATGACGTAGCTTGCGAGGTCAGCATGACCTCTTCATTCAGTGTTGTGGCCAAATCCTTCCGCTCACGTGACCAACTTTGGGGCGGTCACGTGAGAGCAGATCGTCATAGATGACGGGCAGGTCGTATCCCGTGTCTCTATAATAAATTCATGTGTGCTTGTTGGTCAGTATTAACCACTCTGTTTATAAGACCGCTTGGAGTCTGGGTGCTGATAATTACCCTCGCCTTCGGCTCGGGTAATTATAAGCACTCAGACTCCAAGCGGTCTTAATCAGAGTGATTAAAACCTCCGAAGCACACATTTATTCCCTTATTAAAACTTCGTAGTGTTTACGTTATTATATATGTACAATCATATGTATTTAAACTAACAAACAACATGTTTAATAATGTTTAACTTTTTCATGCCTCATTTTTTTCCAAAATGTATAGCATCCACTGAGGTGTATAACCGTTCTACTGATTAGTTAAGATTTTTAGCAGTTTTGTTGCTTCAAACAAAGGAAAAAATGCACATGAAGGAAAATAATGATCTTTTATACCTACTTTTAATTTTAACACGGTTTTTGCTATACAATTAGGAAATATTGTGCAGGGTTATAATGGTCTAGATTTTTAAGCGTCAGTATCTCAGCAAGTTTATTTGAATTAAATGTCTTTATTTACTGATGAAAAAATAGTTGCGTCCTTCCATTCATACGTAATTTCACTGCCTACACATGTATAGTTGACTTCGATTCCTTTTCCCAGAACACACTCATGGAATAGCCTGTGAACATAACCCCGCAAGTGCCATTCAAACTTTACTAAGGGAATAAATGTGTGCTTGGAAGGTTTTAATCACTCTGTTTTTCACTTGGAGTCTGGGTGTTGATAAGTTGCCTAAACTGAAGGGGAGGGTAATTATCAGCGCCCAGACACCAAGCGCAGAAAGGTCTATGCCGCGACTCGCGGCCCATAGGCGCGGCCGTACAACTGCGTCTACATAGTACAAATCCCCTGGTGCACGTGTGTCACACACATTGGCCACACACAAGGAACGGTGCGTGGCAACCAGCTAAATGTCTAGTCTGGTTCCCAGACCAAAAGATTCTGACTATTCCTGATAGTTCCATACAAGTAAATAAACTTCCATAGACCCCATTGGTAAATTCGGGAAAAATATTCACAACTCTCCAAGGTGTTCGAAACACACATCAAATTAAAGCTTATTTCATCACCTTTCATTTTCTTTTCAATTGTCGGGGGGTCAACTGATGACTTTTAGGAGAAATTTCCATCCGAATATTATCACCCCTTCAAATAGTCCTGAAGCCCATCGCCATTTTGAAAAACGATGCCTACACTCCATTGCAAAATAGAGCGCTTTTAGGGTTCAAATTACATCAAAATTACACAGAACTGCAAGCTCCCAGTCCTGTGCACGGCTTCCACCCACATCTTTTACAAACCCTTAAGATCATGGCCCACAATAATCTCAAATACTGAAGATTTTGAGGGCATGTAAATCGTGATTTGGCCGGCGTAGGCGATTTGGGGCCTATTTACTTGTCTGCAACCAGATGAATCTTTTAAACGTGTGGACGGCGGGGGAAATTGTCAGGTCTGGGAACCAGACTACTAAATGTCCCGCCCATGGGACGTCGTTGCAAGGTAAAAGGGCGCCCTCTTGGTTGTTGGCGCACGGAGCCCATTGCGCACCAACGTGATGATTGTGAACGTTCAACCAATAAAACGGTGAGCGCACTGGACTTTTAGGAGTCCAAATTTCATGTGACGCTGGAAAAGTATTTCAGACCAGCCAGCCATGTCTTTATCATCCGTTTAAGACCTGCCACGTGACGGACTCTCGACCAATAGGAATGGGTTAACTGTCTTAGGTATTTATGAATTCTGTTTAAAGCTACAGTCCATCATTTGCAGCTTTCCAAAAAGTAACTGACGTATTTTTTGTTGAAAAACAAGCTTGGTTGAAAGATGGTATTAAAGGGAATATACAACATTTGCAAACATCGAAAAACAAAACTACCAAATTTTTACGAAATACCTTACTAGGATGTTGGTAAATGACAGTCTAAAGCATCCTGTAAAATTATGGCACCTGGTGTGAAGTCATTTTCAAGAAAATTTGTATTTTTGTATAAATTTCCAACGTTGGTCGGCCAACCACCGTTGGAAAAACCTAACCATTTTTTAACTACTGCTCCAAATTTACCTCTTTTTTCAGTCCAAATTTTGTTTGCTATTGGTTACATGTTCATGAACGGGTGCAGGCCAGCTAGACTGGTTCCCTTACTGTACAATTTTCCGGCATCCATAAATTGATATATTTCATAATAGTGGAGTCAGGGAACCAGACTACTTGAACATTTTTGTTTTTCTTGGTTTTTCCAGCATTTTCGAACACAAAACTTCAAACATGTCAGTGTAACAATATTTTGATCTATTATACTAACCCCTCAACTAGTTCATTTCTGAAAATTACAGCAAAAGCCAATGATGTACATTCCTTTTAAAGGGGACTAAACTCCTTATGAAATAATTCTTTCTGGCATGCTGTCATGTTGAAGTAATCCACGAAAGAAGACCTTCAAACGATGCGCGCGGTTGCTATCCGCTCCGTGCACAAGTACCCCATCAACGGCCAGAAAAGAAGAGTTGGGGTGATCTAGACTGGTTCCCGATCCATCCACTGCGTATTTCGAATGTCTCCAAAGTTATTGGAGGCGGAAATTAGTCTCGGAGACCATTGCAAGTTGAATTCGAATGTATTCGCGCGCCGACGACGCCTGACGCTCACGCGAAGACGCGGTTGCTATAGCTTTTGCACACTCAGGAAGTCGTGCGTACTTTGCGCACGAACCAGTACAGTACAGTAAAGTACGCGCACGCTGTGTCCCCCGTCCACGGAGCTCTCAAAAGCGGTAAAAATGCGCAGTCTTTTGGTCGCGCACGGAGCTCATAATTCGTCGGATAAGAGCGCGACATCGCGTAGCTGCAATCGGCCATTATTATATGTCTATATCGGCTCAGTGGGAACGTGTGTCGGATCGGACGCTGAATTCACAACCTCGTTCCCATGGGTACGAGATCTTGCTGCGCCATGTTGTTTCCCATCATGCCTTGCGCGATCTTAACCCCTTGAACAACCTCGTGCCCCGTGGGTACGATCTTGCTGCGCCATGTTGTTTCCCATCATGCCTTGCACATGCCTACTATGTGAGGATTGTGAACTTTTTATCATCCGTTTAAGACCGGCCACGTGACGGACTCTCGACCAATAGGAATAGCAAAACTGTCTGAGGTATTTATGAATAAGGTAATAAATGTGTGCTCCGGAGGTTTTAATCACTCTGTTTAAGACCGCTCGAGAATGGGTGCTGATAATTACCCGAGCCGGAGGCGAGGGTAATTATCAGCACCCAGACTCTAAGCGGTCTTAAACAGAGTGATAAATACCGACCGAGCACACATTTATTCCCATTCATAAATACCTTTTCGGTAAAAAAATCAAACAATTCGTTCAAAAATCCTGAGTTTGGTCAAGAAGTTCACTTCATGCTTTTTGAAACATCCCTCTAGCAAAATAATGGAATGTTTAGCTGGAGAGTAAGAAGTAAACAACCCTTTTATGGAGATTGACGCGCGCGTAGCATTTTCTGCGTGATGTCGCGCAGAAGGCACCTGGGGCGTTGCGTTTTGAATTGAGAACTATAAAATTCTGACTCGCTGGTAGTGTTGCGCATGCCTACGTGGGGACTGTGAACGTTCAACCAATAAAACGGTAAGAGGCACTGGATTTTTAGGTGTCCACCTAGCCATGTTCTTATCATCCGTTTAAGACCGGCCACGTGACGTGCTGTCGACCAATAGGAATAGCTAAACTGTCTGATCTATTTATGAATTGTAAATTAAAAGGTACGAATCATAACGGGAGAAATTATTCATTATTATTAACAGACTTCTAAGACTGAGTGTAAAACCATGGTAAAACTATTTTAAAAAATCATAAAAAAGAGAGTGGATCACAGAGGACAGATCACTAAAGACTTGCTAAGCTAGACAAGAAATTGCTTATTAAAACTGGAGTGAAAATTTATTTAAAATTATCATTCATAAATACCTCAGACAGTTTAGCTATTCCTATTGGTCGAGACCCCGTCACGTGGCCGGTCTCAATAAACGGATGATAAAGACATGGCTAGCTGGTCTTAAACATTTTTCCAGTGTCACAATAAAATGTGGACTCCTAAAAATCCAGTGCCTCTTACTGTTTCATTGGTTGAACGTTCACAATCCTCACTTAGGCATGCGCAACACTACCAGCGAGTCAGAATTTTATAGTTCTCAATTCAAAACGCAACGCCCCAGGTGCCTTCTGCGCGACATCATGCAGAACATGCTACGCGCGCGTCAATCTCCATAAAAGGGTTATTTACATCTTACTCGCCAGCTGAACACTCCATTATTTTGCTAGAGGGATGTTTCAAAAAGCATAAAGTGAACTTGTTGAACAAAATCGTGATTTTTTGAACGAAATATTTGATATTTTTTACTGAAAAGGTATTTATGAATGGGAATAAATATGTGCTCGGTCGGTATTTATCACTCTGTTTAAGACCGCTTCTGGGTGCTGATAATTACCCTCGCCTCCGGCTCGGGTAATTATCAGCACCCATTCTCGAGCGGTCTTAAACAGAGTGATAAAAACCTCCGGAGCACACATTTATTCCCTTATTAAAAGACGTGGATCACAGACGCATATTACACTTATTATTTTAAAATTCTCTTAAAATCTGGGTATGACAAGACCAGAAACGGTTGTGGACCTTAGTTTTCTACCTTGCTTGTTATTATTTTCTGGTGGGAGCATATGTCAAAATCTGGTCGAGTACAAAAGTTTGCTTCCAAAGTTGTGCAACAAGTCCAAACTCTTCTGGATCTTCTGTCTGTTTTGAATGTCAAGTCTGGCAAGAGCATGGGAATAAGTATTATATTCACTGCCTAAAATGATGCGACAGGCACGCTTCTGGACACGTTCAACAGAATTACTTAGCTCAATACTGATTGATGTGTGCCAAACTTGACCGGCATATTCCAGGATAGGTCTGATGTAGCAAATAAATACTGTAAGCATGGCATCTACAGCAACTTTAGCCTTCTTAAGGATGCACAACGTATATAATCTACGAGAGGCTCTAGAAACAATGTCAGTAATGTGTAAATTCCACTTCAAATCCTTCTGTATGCTAATACCTAATAATTTCATAAGCGACACATCATTCAAATTGACCGAGTTAATTGAAAGTGATTCTCTAGGTATTTCACGTTTCAAACTAACTATTATGGATTGACATTTAGAGGTTTAGGCAAAACATCGTTAATTGTTATTACAGCAGACAGAGAGATTATCAAGGTGAGTTTGAAGTTTTGGCCCTTCGTCATATTTAACAATTTCAGCCAAAGTCAGATCGTCCACATATTTCCATCGTCTGCAGCAATCCTCAGACACATCGTTGACAAGTGCAAGAAAAGGAATTGGACCTTATTTTGTTACCTGAGGGACACCACAGGATATTGACTGGGTTGTGGAGAGATGATGATTGAGCTTTGCATTTTGTGTGCGACCTGAGAGAAAGCTGCAGACTATGGGAACTATTGATCGTCTGACACCAAGATTAACAAGCTTTTGTATCAGAATAGTGCGGTTAACAGGGTCGAATGCCTAGGTGAAATCAATTGTGCAAAGTCGAGCATAATGATCTAACAGTCAACAAGATAATGCGTGGTGGAACAGCCTTCCATCATGTTACCATACTGTTGCGAGTCTAACTTTGCGGAAATATCCTTTTGGATCCAATTTGCTAAAAAGGATTCAAAAATACGTGCGAATGTTGGAGTTAGTGAGATAGGGCGAAGCTGATCAAGAGATGTTATATTCTTTTTTTTGGCGACTGGAACAACCGTAGCAGTTTTCCATTGTTTATGATCAGGGAAAATACCATCAGCAATGCAAGAATTGAATACAGCCCGTCTAAAAAAAAATGGTACAATCAGAAAAAAATTGGTTAAATATGAAATTTCAAAATAAGTCATTCTTACTTAGCATAATATTAAAGAACAAAGACTGGGCTTTCCAATAGTGTTTGTTTGATCTTATTTGCTTTTGTCAATTCAGAGATATAATCAATTTAGTGCGATACACCAAAATCGATTTTGTGCCACTTTTATGCATGGGCAGAGTTGTTTCGAGTAATGTGCCATGCTGTCTTGAAGCTCACAAAAGATTGCAACCAGAAAGTGGCACAAACTCGATTTTTGTGTTCCGCAGTAAACTGGAGTTATCTCTGGATTGACAAAAGCAAATGAGATGAAACAAAAAGTATTGGAAAGCCTGGTCTTTTTTCTTTAATGTGATGCTCAAAATGACTTACTTATGTTGGGATTTAATATTGAAAACAAAATCGTTTTCGATTGTACCATTTTTTTTTAGACGGGCTGTATACGCGTCAAAGGATCTGCCAGTTCAGTTGCAAATTCTTTGATGAGCCGTACTAGTAGGTCATCACCCTTACAAAAATGTCCCACGGTGAAGCCATGGAATCCCCATGGGACCCCATGGGGAACCCATGGGAATCAAAGGGATACACATGGTGGTCTTTAAAACACCATGGAGATCTCTTAAAACACCATGGTGTCCCATGGGAACACCATGGACAGCTAAAGAAACGCCATGGTGTCCCATGGGTGTCCCATGGGGATCCCATGGCTTCGCCATTGAATTGAATGTCACCCAATAGGTCGTCATTTGACGAGCAATTTGGTTCACCTTCCGAAAGAAGACTCTGAGTTGGTGACGGAGTCAGGAACAACCACGACTGATTTCAGTCGTTTGAGTTTCGGCTCGGGCACATTGGCGCTCGAGGAGCTTTGCTTGCATTATATCCTTTGTGAGCTGCCTCCAGGAATTCAGTTGGGAAGTTGTTCAAAGCCCGCTTGAATTGCATGTGTTAAGGTATTACATGTATTTAACTCCTGCCACGGTTGAGTGGATGCGGACATCGAGGCTTGCTCGGCTACGCCCTGTAAGGGCTGACTGACTGAGGTTGCATAAGGGGAAGTGTGCGCATGTTTAGACAATTTCGCCTACCTTTACCCTTCAAAGACTTTTCCCTTGCAGTGTTCAATGGTTTTTGAACTTCTGTTTCGGAAGGTTCGGAATTCGGCTATTAAGCCATCTTCAATCATGTCTTTAGGTGCAGAAACAGGCGCGGATCCAGAGGGGGGGGGGGGGGTGTCACCCCCCAGCTCTGTCCCAAAAAAATCTCATACAAATTCCTAAAAAATAAGTCGAACCCCCCCCCCCCCCGTGACACCACCCCAAAAATTATACTGGTCTAATGTCCGCCTGTTCAAAATACTGTACGCCATTCTGTAATGAGTGTTAATAATCGTTGAAGTCGGTATCTTAAAATAAAGTAGCAAAAATCACTTAGGTTAAGTCTTTCCAGAATCCAGACGCCCGACAAGGTACACTTCAGCGCGCATTCCACTTCAGGCCGTATAACAATGCGCACACACTGCATGTACATTGTACAGCACGCGTATTACACGTGCATGTATATATACATGTGGTGCAAAAGTTACCAATTCTGACTTGATCAATTTGCCATCAGCACCCCCCCCCCTTGCTGCATCACTTGAAAATAACATGTACATGTACATGTACGTTTTTAACATGATGGTCCGGATTCGACGCATGGAGGCGCGCGTTATGTACTGTAAGGACGTTTGCAATATGCGCTGTGAGTGGGTTTAGTATATAGGCACAGACCGAGCGCAACCCAGACTTGGCAAAGTCTATTCTTCAGCTGGTTAGATCTCGCACAATAAAGGCTGGCTGGTGAGCGCTATCTCACGTAATCTCTGGAGTGACGTCATAATGGTGAGGAAGAATGAGCTTTAAATGAGCTTTGAAGGACAATAATCCTTTCAAAGAATGTAGCCTAGCATGCGGGAGATGGCTTTATCAACCGTGAGCAAACTGATTGAAAATCCTTTCCTCTTGATCTACTCAGATTAAAAGCAGACCCTAACAACTCATTTTTGTTGTCATCGTTCTAGTTGAGTGGAGTCTATCTGGGGGCAGAGTGGTAATTGTTAATCCGCACAAGAAGTCGTTCAATGATCGAAGGAATGTAGCAATCTTTATGTCAGTTCAGTTCTCTTGCTTTGTGGCCGTTCTGTTTGAGCGGAGTTGAGGGCGGGGTCAGTAAATACTTGTATCCCTTTGCCTGCCATGTGTACGTACCAACGCACGTTCGATCAAAACGCATGAACGCTATTTACACAAACACTCATTTGCAATTGGGCGTCTATGTGTTTGTCATTCCAGATATTCATCTAGTAAGGGAACGACGTACGTTGAAACCATGAACGCCAGCGACATCATCACTGGAGCCAGGTACGCACTGACGGGGTGTGCCGCGGTGGCCACGGTGGAGAATCTCTTGGTGTTAGTGGTGTTTGCTTGTACCAGCCGTCTCAGAATGAAGTACTACGGCTTCCTCATCAATCTGACGCTGGCTGACCTGTTCTACGCCGTCATGGCCAACGCATTCACTTGGGGAGGACCCGATTATTCCGATATTCTCTTCTCTATCTTCATCTCAGGTTACTTCGTCGGCATTTGGACGATCCTTGCCGAAGGCATCAACCGCTACCTGCTTGTGTCCTTTGTGGACACTGCTCGCTACGACGTGTTGGTCACCAGGAACCGCTTGGTGGCAGTTTGCGTTCTCATTTGGGTCGTCTCAGTCGCGGTCCACATCCTGCTGGCTGTCCTGCCGGACTCTGACTTTGAATCCCTCTTTGACGGAGTGATCAAGCCCCTGACTGTGTTTGTCTTTTGGCTGATAACCGCCGGTCTTTACATCGTCGTTTTCCGTAAGATCAAGGCATACTATACTACTCGTCTCGCATCCAGCCCGCCATTGCAAACATCATGCAGGAAGGATCAGGTCCGCACCCGAGTGCGTCAGACCCGCCGCTTGCTGGTCACTTTCACTCTGATTCTAATCACGTCATTCATCTGCTGGATGCCGTTTAGCGTGATGCAGGTGGTGTCCTACCTTCACAGAGATTTGGAGTATCAAAATGCGGTCTTCTGGATCACTGGAACGGTCTACTGTCTGGCCCCGATTATCAACCCTTGGATCTACTGGATGCTGGTGCCTGGTTTCAGAGAGGGAGCACGCCAAGTGTTCTGTAATCGGGAGTCTCTTCCAGTCGATGAGACTGTCTCAGAAACTGGCCTGTAAAAGAACATTACATTGTGGAATACGTAGCTGACAAAAGAGATTCCAATACTTTACTTTGATTCAAACGTTTACACTGTTGTTATTTTCAGTTGTATTATTTGAAGGTTTTGCATATTTAGTAGTGTATTAAGGTGACACGAATACAATGGAATCAAGGAATTCGCTGTCGAGTGCATGGTGAGACGGCTTCTTACCTCTTCAAACTTGCAAGCTTGCTTCAGTTTATATACAGTTATGATTCGTATGAAATTTTTGTTGTCGCACAAATTCGGGAAAACAGGGAGTTTTTCTTAGCGATTTAACGGAATTTGTTTAAAGCGTGTACAGGTTTCGACTTTCGAGGACTGAGTCTCGGTTCAATTATGGCGGGAAAATTTGTAATGAGAGTTGGCAATGGAAAGATTTCCATATACGAAGTTCTATAATTTTCCTCTGTATTGAATAACAAGCCCCCAGACAGCAATTTCATGTCATCAAAGTCAATTTGAGCAGTGAGAAAATACAAGCATTTTCTTAGAAAACACTTAGATTTTTTTCAGTCCAATCTCATAGGGTTTGTACACAGGGTGTTGAGTGAACTTCGTATATGGAAATCTTTCCGTTGGCAATACATTTACACATACATTTACGAAGAGTTTGTACTAAGATGACCGAAAGGGTATTTATGAATGCAACCTCGTCCCCAGTGCTTACTTTATTTCCAACTTCGTTTCCAAAAGTAAGCCCTGCAACTTTCTTCCTGTATCCTGATTCGATACCCGCAATTGGCTAGAAATGGATATATCGTGTACTTGGTGTTGTTATTCACAACGTGCAGTACGTGTTTTCGCGATCATTCGTCCACGCCTTCTTTAAGATATTCATTTCCTTTCAAATTTGTTCCTATTAATATGACATTTGATAATGCATGTTGTCTCGTTAAAATCGTAACAGTTTAAAACAAAATCGTATTTTCGTAACTCATGCCCTGCCTCAGTGCACTTAAAAAATGAAGAGAGAACGGAGTTTGCGTCCGTTCTTCAGCTAGACTTGACTCAAGTTGGAATTGCTTTAAAGGGAATATACAACATTTGCAAACATCGAAAAATAAAACTACCAAGTTTTTGCGAAATACCTTAATAGGATGTTGGTAAATGACAGTCTAAAGCATCCTGTAAAATTATGGCACCTGGTACACTGTCATTTTCAAGAAAAGTGGTATTTTTGTATCAATTTCCAACGCTGATCGGCCGATCAGCGTTGGAAACAACTGGCTTTTTTTTCAAATACAGGCCCCAATTGACCATTGCACTTGTTTGCAATCGATTACAAACCTATGAACGGGTACGGGCCAGCTAGACTGGTTCCCTGACCTTACAATTCCCCAATGTATGTAAACTGCTCTGTTTCTTCCTATATGGAGTCAGGGAACCAGACTACAGGAAAATGATCGTTTTTCTTGGTTTTATAGCATTTTCGAACCCAAAACCTCCAAAAAGTCAGTGAAACTATATTTGCTTTATATTTCCAACCCCCCAATTCCATCCATTTCTGAAAATTACAGCAAAAGCAAATGATGTATATTCCCTTTAAGTCGGTATCTTAAATAAAAGTAGCAAAAATCATTTAGGTTACGTCTTTTCAGACGCCCGACAATTAAGGTACACTTCAGCGCGCATTCCACTTCAGTGCCGTATAACAATGCGCACACACTGCATGTACATTGTACAGCACGCGATTACACGTACATGTGTGTGCATGTATTGCAGAGCATGTATATACATGTGGTACAAAAGTTAGCAATTCCGACTTGATCAATTTGCCATCAGCAACCCCCCCCCTCCATGCTGCATCACTTGAAAATAACACGTACATGTACATGTACGTTTTTAACATGATGGTCCGGATTCGACGCATGGGGGCGCGCGTTATGTACTGTAAGGACGTTTGCGATATGCGCTGTGAGTGGATTTAGTGCACAGACCGATTATGAATGCAACACACCTTTGGGGCGGTCACGTGAGAGCAGATCGTCATAGATGGCGGGCAGGTCGTTTCCCGTGTCCCTATAATAAATTAATATGTGCTTGGTCGGTATTAATCACTCTGTTTATAAGACCGCTTGGAGTCTGGGTGCTGATAATTACCTTCGGCTCGGGTAATTATAAGCACTCGGACTCCAAGCGGTCTTAAACAGAGTGATTAAAACCTCCGAAGCACACATTTATTCCCTTATTAAAACTTCGTAGTGTTTACGTTATTATTATACATCTATACAATCATATGTATTTAAACTAACAAACAATAAATAATTGTTTAACTTTTTCATGCCTCAGTTTTCTCCGTTTTCTCAAAATTTATAGCATCCACTGAGTTTAAAACTTCTACTGATTAGTTAAGATTGTTAGCACTAGTGTTGTTTCAATCAAAGGAAAAAAATGCACATGAAAGAAAATAATGATCTTTTATACGTTCTTTTAATTTTAACACGGTTTTTGCTATACAATTAGAAAATATTTAACCATGGGGTATTATTGGATTACGTGGATTAGATTAATTTCAAGGATATACAATAGCAGAAAGCTATAGTAATTATTGTAATTCAATTAAAAATCAGTGGGTCTTGGATTTTACTATAATGATTTTGCATTATAAATGTGCGGGGTTATATGGTCTAGATGTTTAAGCGTCGGTATTTGTAATAAGTTCAAAAAGTAAAAGGGCGCCCTCTTTGTTGGCGCACGGAGCCCGTTGCGCACCAACGTGAGGATTGTGAACGTTCAACCAATAAAACAGTAAGAAGCACTGGATTTTTAGGAGTCCAAATTTCATTTGACAACATAACTCTGTTGGCCAACTCTTGATTTGTCTATAACGTCCACCTCTGATCTCCATGTGATTTCAACCGGTAATACAACAGAGCGCCCACATTCAAAAATCATCTCCACACCTTTGAAACATTTTAAATGATGAATCTTAGGTCTGGTAGCCTCCGGTAATACATTGTATTACAATTTACATAACGTGACTGAAACGGGAGAAATTCCTCCTTTTTCCGAAAATTTCCGAAGTTTGCCGAATTCGTTTCGTCGACAATCGGATAGCGCTCGAGTATTTCCGAGTATAATACATGTATAGGTTTAATTAACTGCAAATTGCTTATTAATTTTTTTTTAAATGAGTTGATAATTAATATTCATTGTTTTCATTTAGAAAACTTGAAATTCAACGACGATTTTTGCATCAAATATACTCGGATCGAATGGGCGAACTTTTTGCTGCGTCATGTACAATTTTGAATTTGACGACCGTTACCGAGATTTTCCAAAACTCGGTCTTCATTCGGTACGCCTACAAACAGTGCTATTTGGGTGCCAATAATTTTGAAGATTCCAGATCATTATTAGTCAATGTTATCTTACAGAAACATCAAACTGTATTATCATAAATGTATGATATTATAGAAGCAACAGATTTATTTAAAAATTTGATCAGAACATTAAAAGCTAAAATTGATAATTCGAAATCGGAAACGAAGCCGAGCTTTAAAAAAGGGCGATCAATGTCGTCATGTTTATTTTTAGCCACGGAGGCTGCCTGACCTTAGATTCATCAGGAATAGTCAGAATCTTTTGGTCTGGGAACCAGACTAGGATTTACAGGTCAGGAGCGCCTTCGCACGAGCGAACCTTATTTATCTCTTTCCTATCCCCCTCCCACATGTTGAATAAAACATAAGCACTAGATAGATGTTACTGTGAAACAGAACCACAACTGTAATCACTCATCCACCGACGTCGGTTTAGGAAACTACACACGAACTTTTGGCGCAATTAGATCAGTTAAGGATCGGCTTAATTGGAAGGTGAGTTACCAAAACGAAACTAACTTCTTTTCTTTTTTGAGGGGGGTGATCAGTATCATTCCAGGTGACAATCTCAGTGATGCTCCACTGAATTGATGTTTTAGAGGCAGGTAGGAACATTTGCAATCACCCGCAACCGTACCGTATCGTTTTAACGAGAAAATCCTTACGCAAAGTGAAGATAGGACTGGTACCAAATAGGGAGGGCCTACCCTGTGAGATGATTGCGCCTGAAGTGGTATCATTCATTCGGAAGAAAACAATCATTGCACGTGGTTTCAGAAAGTCTGCCCGTGGGCACAGTTATATTTATATGTGCGTTAGCAGTCGTTCATAATAAGAAATGTTAAATAACGTAGCTGAGGACAGTTGGTTAATTTGTGGTACCACTATGGACTAAAGTGTTCCTTGTGTTAAATTATGTTTACACGATGAGGGTTGTCTTACGGTGTTTTAATTTAAACGAGTAGGTATGAATTCACATTGCAGCTGCACTATGTTCTGATGATAATACTTGCAGTGCAAGTACAATACTATGGCAAAAAAACACCACGTGACACGAACTCTTGCACTATGAATTACTCTGTCTCATTTTATAGCTACCTTAGGTATTCATTAGCTGTTTCGGTGACACACCGAAACAGCTCTTGTTTTCGTTAAGATTTTTTTTTTTCTTTTTTTTTTTTCTCTCCTTTTTCAGACTTTTTCTCCATAGGTTTAACACACGTTTCTTCCACCAGTCCACTTTGCCACTTTTTCAAATCCGATTGATTTCAGACTTGATACATACTTAGACCACCACCCACAGATGGTCCTAGAAGAAATTCGTGACCGTGACGTCATCAGGTGTCGGGTTACGTCACATTAAAGATGCATTTTTCCCCATATGTTTTGTACACGATTTAAAACACTCCACTTTGGCCTCTTCGTAAATCCGATCGACCTCAGACTTGATACATACTTAGACCACCACCCACAGATGGTCCTAGAAGAAATTTGTGATCGTGACGTCATCAGGTGTTGGGTTACGTCACATTAAAGATGCATTTTTCCCCATAGGGTCTGTACACGTTTTAAAACATTCTACTTTGGCACTTTTGTAAATCCGATCGACCTCAGACTTGATACATACTTAGACCACCACCCACAGATGGTCCTAGAAGAAATTTGTGATCGTGACGTCATCAGGTGTTGGGTTACGTCACATTAAAGATGCATTTTTCCCCATAGGGTTTGTACACGTTTTAAAACATTCTACTTTGGCACTTTTGTAAATCCGATCGACCTCAGACTTGATACATA